TGCCGACAAAGAACCTCGCCAGGACACATGCGAGGCCAAACGTCTCCAGTCCCAGCTGCAGGGCCGGAGCCTGCTTTGGTAAGTAGCTCCCCGAGGGCTGCTGTGGCGCTGTCCTAGAATGAGACAGATTTTCTTTTTGCTTAGGGATACATGTGTTTCCACTTTTTTTATAACAAGGCATCTTTATTTAGTTTAATTGGGGCAGAGGGAGGTTCCGTACATTTAGCCATCACGAGAATACTGCGTATACAGATGCAAAGGAGGAACCACCTGGGGTTCTTGTATCTTTCACAGGAGAGGAGGGTGGCGCAGCAGCTGCAGCCTCTCTTGTCCCTGAAGGTCAAGCAACTCTCGCCACAATTTCCTCTTGCATAAACTAGGTCTTGTTCTCCTTTGCGGTTGGCCATGGGGTCTAAGGATGCACTTTAACATGCAAAAAAATGGCATTCTCACGTTGGGCATTCCAATGTTCACGTTTAACATGACTTAATTCTTGAAAGCTGTTCCCCTCCCCCCCCTAAAAAAAGCACATTGGCAAACTCTTTTTTCCTCAATGCACAAAATCCAGTGATCTACTGTTCTATGAGATCCGCAGAGTATTTGCATTATAAAGGCCCCCCCGGTGTGGGTGGGTGTCACAGCTTTTTATTTTAGAACAATTCACCTGAAATAACAACTACCATACTCACAAGTCCCATTCCATGCAGAGGAATCTGTGAACTGTAAAATAGTAGGAAATGCCACCATCAGCTGTGTTTTCCAAGCCTGTGCATGTTTGCTCTGCTGTAGGTCCCACTGTCTTCAATGGGACTTAACTCTCCCAAGTAGGTTTACATAGGATGTTAGCCTCAGCCAGTCTAACAGTAAGGACAAAAGCTGTTTAAAGTGTGTTACAAGGTAGTTCCTCCATGTTATGTGACTTTGGATATGGATCCTTCCTTATTTTAATAGTGTACGCCTGTCTGCACATATAGAGTTTATAGGACTGTTTAGTGTCTGTCACTCTACCAGCTCCTGAGCCAAGGGAGCCTTAACCGGTGAGTACCAGGGAAAAGTTTGACTGGGGAAAACAATGAAGATACCTCTAACCGTAGGATATCAGAAGATGTATTCACTTATTCTCAGATTGAGAATAAGGAGGTATTTGTGCTTTTTTTCTCCATAGGTATTCCAGGTGCAGTACAAGGATATATCGAATCATAGTATTGTAAGGGACCTAAAACACCATTTTTTCAAACCCCACTGCTAAGGCAGAAAACCTGGTGCTATAGCATCTCTGAAAAGCAGCCATCCAGGCTCTTTTTTAATATCTCTAGCGAAGAAGAGCCCACCCAACACCTAATTCAAAGCACCCTGGCATCATATAATATAGAATATGCTCTTTCGCTCCACCGAATCCACAAGAGGAAGCATTACAACTTTCTTCTCTTCTTCTTTGGCGATCAGTGCATTCTCTCCTCTGCTTCTAGAAATTTGATTTGGCATGGTTAACCTTCTAGTTTCCTTCCACAGTAAGCAATATAGCAGGGCAGGGGGGCATTCTCGACTAGGGGGGAAAGGGAAAGGCACAAGACTTTCTATATACTGCTGAAGAATTCACAGGCATTATTTACACAGGCAAGGCTTGGAGTTTTCCATCTTTGGTAAAAATGCACTCCGTATTTGAATTGCATGAGAAAAATTCTACCTGGGTGCGGTGGAGGAGCAAAGGAAGTTGCCATAACAAAACACACACACACAGTCAAGGAATATCTTCAAGTGGTTCAAGTATGTGTGTGTGTGTGTGGTCATTTCCTTTATCTTTTCCACATTTGTGGATTTGTTGTGTTGTGAGTTTTGGAGGGTGAGGTGGGGGTGGGGGTAAGCTGTATGCCTAAATCCCTTCTAATTCCAGGATCCAATGAAGATTCAATTGTTGGAATAGCCAGGCAAGTTTCTTGGTAATGGCACCTAAGTATGGGTACTTAGGGTAACGAAGGAAGTGGCTCTGTGCCAGAGAGGAAAGGGATGGGGCCCCCACCCCCACCTGGCTGTTAGTGTGAAGGACAAAGGCCAGAGTTGTGTGTGAGCTAGAGGCTAGAAGCAGGCTGGACAGCTGCCTGGACACAGCCACGCTTGATTTCTGCTGGAATCTAATGTGGTTATGGGAGAATGCAGATGACTGTAGATTAGAAAATGAAATTAGCATTGGTGAACATTATCTGACTGGCATGTTTACCACCCATCTAGGAAAGAGGTGAAGGGGGCATTGTTTATGTGGTTATTCTAATATACACAATTTTAAAAGGTCTTCAGCAGCGTTGCTGACAATTTTTAAAACAAAAGTATCTAGCTGTAAAATTACCAAATAGCAGTCCCAGACTAGACTGGGGGTTTATCTACACTCACTTTTTGTTGAGTGTGGGGGTTTTTTGGGGGGGGGCTGAGCTTTCCCCATGAGAACCCGCTCTTTAAGACTCAGTTGGAGCAAACATCAATTTGGGTTTCCCACAGATTGCTGTTTGCTCCAACTGAACTATAAAGAGTGGGTTTACACAGAGAAATTACGGAGCAATGGGGGGAAAAGGCGTTTGGACATGGAGTTTTAAGGCACAGACCATGCCTGGAAAGCGTTGAGGAAAGGTAAGTGTGGATAAGCCCTGGCATTTTCTTGCTACCAATGCAGTCAGGTGCATAATCATCTTGGGGGGGGGAGGGTTTGAGAGAGAGAAAAAGGCACAGTGAGATGGACAATTCAGCAGACAATATGCTTATTTGGGGGCTGAGCTATTCTTACAGATAGACTGGCTACCATACAACATTTCTGTGTTATGTATTTGGCATTACATATTGGAATAATCTTCAAGCTGCCTCTGGCAAACACGTGGCTAAGAACACAATAATATAAACACTGGGACCTTGTGAAAGGTTCATCCATCACATTGAGCAACTCCAGGCGATGACATGACTGAGCCAGGAAATCCACATCATCGAGATACTGTTAAACCTACATGGTCAGGAAAAAAATATTCCATAGAAAACTTTTCATTGTGTTTCTGCCTGCTTGGACAAACTCGTCTAGACGATAAGTTTGTGCATTTCTGTGGAACATGCATAGAACTTGCAGAAAGCCTCTCCCACCTTTTACTATACCTTATTTCTGCACCATACTATACAATCACCCCTCCTACTCACCCCTATCCAGTCCAAACCAAATGTTGTTATTGATGGTTTGTGGGGAAGGCCCTTCTGAGAAGCAACATACTTTGGTGCTCTCTTTAATGTGTAAACTATCTCCTGGGCAGCAGTCCAAACCCGAGTTGTTAGTACTACTGAATAAACTTTTTCTTACATCTCGCCTTTTCTTTTCCCATACTCCAACTCTCGGTTCCTTTAGATGTCCCCCAATTTCCTTCTCCTTATTTTCCAGTGTTGCTTCTTTATTCCTGCTCACTTCTTGCCTCAGGAGGAAATGTTTTCTATTTGAAGGACTATCAGAGAGGAAAGTCTTCTGTTTCAAGGCATCCTTTATTCAACGAACCATCCAATCCAAGTCCGATGTAAAGACAAATAATCCTAAGAGGAGAGATCAGGGGTCTTGAAGTTGCCCCCTTAGCACCTGGGCAGCAGACAGAGCAGGCACAGAGAACATCTGGCCCCAGCCTTCTCCATCATGGGAAGATGCATTCTGTTTCTTTCCAAATTGCACAATGGAACTTCCTGCTTCTCTTCCCTGTAGCCCCCTGTGCACCCTCAATATCTGCGCATGTTGGTTGGGGGAGCCTCGGGACACTACTTAAAGTGTTTGGCTGTGGTTGCCTTAAAATGCCTTGTATATGTGTATCCGATATAATCTGACATCTTTACTTTCTGGAACAAATCGTGTTTGTGACACCAAGAACTGAGATCCCATCAAACATACCGTACTTTTTTCCAACATGGAAAATATGTCCATGCAAGAAAAAAGCATGCAACAAATGCAGCTCATCATGTACGATGATGGACATTTATTCTGCTGACCTGTATATCTGATCATCGATATATAGTTAGATAGAAACTTTATTTGCATTAGCCACTAGCCATAGCAATCTATATATGGTTTTCACAGTATATTTCCATCAGCATTTGTTGTCAATTTGAGATTGATTCATTGGGGCTATTATTTTAATAATTATCATCAATTTACTAATAGGTTTCTACACAATAGTCTCAAGACCGTGTACATTAAAAACAGTTAAAAATACAAAAAAAGCCAATACATTCCAAACAAAACCAAAACCAAACAGAAGGGCCCATTTATCCGGCTGGGAAAGCCTGTCGGAACAAAAATGTCTTCATTTGTTTCCAAAAAGTGGGTGGCTGTCATATCTCGATATGAAAGCTATTACAGTGGTACCTCGGGTTACATACGCTTCAAGTTACATACGCTTCAGGTTACTGACTCCACTAACCCAGAAATATTACCTTGGGTTAAGAACTTTGCTTCAGGATGAGAACAGAAATCGGGCAGGGGTGGCCGAGGCCCCATTAGCTAAAGTGGTCTTCAGGTTAAGAACAGTTTCAGGTTAAGAACAGACCTCCAGAACGAATTACCATAAGTACGTAACCAGAGGTACCACTGTATTGCATGGAACAGGGGCAGTCACTCAAAAAGCTCTGCTCCAGGTTACTGCAAGGCTACCTTCCCCCTCTCTCACACAAACACAATGAAATTGCATACAATTTTGCCCAGTGCTTGCTTGCTTCAGTGGGTGTGGGTGTGTAAAAAATGAGGTGCCAGTATTCCTCTCAATAAAAGTGCTGTGGGTGTCAGCACAAAATGGCTGCCATGGGCAGCAAAAAAACAGGTGATGGTTCCCTGCCCTGGTAAGAACCTTCACCCACAAAAAAGCACTGATTTTATCCAGGTTATCCAATTCTCCAACCTGCCAAAGCTGGTTTTGTCTTTCTACAGGACCCGCTCTCCCGCAAAGGGCCTCAACCCCCATCATGTTGCTGTTTGTATCTTAGCAGGCCTTGTGATGACAGTGACATACACATACCGTGTAGCTGATGCACGCCTGGGCACCTTCTCACAGCTCCTGCTCCGATGGAAAGGGAGCATCTACAAACTCCTCTATTGCGAGTTCTTAATCTTCATCTCTTTCTACTTCGGCATCAGCCTCATCTACAGGTGAGCACCGGCATTTCTTTTAAGCCCGGTTGGTTTCTTTAGGGTCTTTCTGCATGCATCATGCAAGCACGTTTTAGATTTGGCGTAAGACTTCTGCAGGGGAACAATTGGTAGAGGACGGCTCAATATCTCATTCACTTGTAGCCGATCAGTCTTCCTTTTGAGAGACAGGGAAGGAGGAGCCTGTACTTCAGGGTCTGCCTCCTCCTCCTCCTTTTAATCTGCATTCCATCCAGGAATAACTCCAGAGGGTAAGAAAGGGGATAGTGGGTGTCCCGTCAAAAATGCTTCCCGCTACGCTTTCTGCTCCCACTTAAGTAGAGCCAGAAAAACAACACAGCTTAATATGAACCACAGCAAACTAATTGTAAAAAACAAAACAAAAACCACAGTAGATTTTGGCCTTCGTTTTGAGCTCATTCTTTGGAAAGGCAGTGGGTGCTTTTAAGGAAAGAATGTTTCCCTCCTCCTCTCCCCAAACTCCAAAACCAACAAACAGGAGTCTGTTGAGCTGTAGGAAGGAGGCAGCTCTCCAGAGAGGAGGCCTGAGGCCGGGCACAGTTGCCTGACTCAACCAAGGAGGCAGCACCCTCAGAAGTCAGTGGGGAGGGTGTTTTTCCATGTGATCCGCAGGGGATCGGAAACATAGCACCTAAATTTTTATTTATAAAATCTGAAAGCAGACCCAACAGTGGGGGGATTGTGTTCAATCTTGTACTAGAGCTGTGCAATAAGGAAACATGGAGCCATAAAGAAAAAATTATTCTAAAGATTATATTTCCCCTAGATTTGAGTGTTCTGAATGCTCAGAGAAACGTGAGGTTCTTATATAAGCAAAGCATTACATTGCTACATTGAGGGACAACATCTTACTGCACACAACAAATGAAAACAAAAGTGAATTTGTTGTACGGTATTGTCCAAATAGCAACAAGAGCCCATGATTCTGCAGGAAGCTCTTTTTCTTCCTTTTTGCTTTTCTCAGTACCCATTACTGAGAAATCCCCTTTGTAGTTTTGAAACTGGAAATATTCCCCTGTGCTTCTATTACAGGCTGGTTCTGAATGAGAGCCAAAGGCTGATGTTTGAGAAATTGGCTATGTACTGCAATAGCTATGCCGAACTGATCCCGGTGTCCTTTGTACTAGGTAAGGCATGTAAAAATGGGGAAAGAATGGTGCGAAACCCTTACCGTATTTTTCGTCCCATAGGGTGCACCGGCCCATAGGACGCACCTAGTTTTTTGGGGGGGAAATAAGGAAAAAAATTATTTCCCTCCCAGGCGCGGGGCTGGGGTGGGGAATGCCCAAGCTTCCCCCGACCCCAGCCCCCAGAACAGGCAGCTCTCCCACTGCTTGCCGAGAGCTGCGCGAAGCCCGTAGCCTGGGGGGAGCTGAGCTCAGCGCCCCCCAGGCTTCTGGGTGCAGGCAGCTCTCCGCACCGACCCCTCTCGCTCTCCAGGCTTCAGTGAAAGCCTGCATTCGCCCCATAAGACGCACACACATTTCCCCTTCATTTTTGGAGGGGGAAAAGTGCGTCCTATAGGGCGAAAAATACGGTACATTATTTATTTGCTTATTTGTAACATGTATAGCCAGGACCAGCAAAAACATTTTGGTGCTTGAGGCAGAAAATCCAAAATGGTGCCCCACCCATCCCTAATATCTCTCTATCTGTACCTAGAATGATCAGTACCAAAGCACTTCAGCTGAGAATCACAGACTCTGTTTTTTCTCAATTATAACAATAGGGAAATATTTTTCGCTCTCTCATAACATCCTATTGAAGCTGAATGTTGGAAAATTTGGAACACACAAAATAAAGTACTTCTTCACAAAGGAGGACATAATTAGGCTATGACAGCTGTTCCTGCCTGGCATGAAATCTGAAGGCTGCTGGAGAATTTCTCACACCCCTTAAGAAACACCAGACAGAAGTTCACATAAATAGGTCTTCTCTGAGAGGCAAGATGGCTCTCTGCCAAGAGTACCATTCTTACTGACAGTTTCATGTCAGGCTTTGACAAAGCATTCTCCCTACTTTGGGCTCATAAGACCATGAGGAACAGTGTGGTAGTGCCCATTCTGACAGGGTACTGCTAAATGAGAGAAGAGCAGGGCTGAGGGATCTTTCTCACAGGATCAACTGCATATACTGCAGATAAAGATCTCTCAAGCTCAGGCATTACAGCCAGGGTGCTGAGCATATAATGAGGCCACCCAGAGTCAAGCAAACGTAATTTATATTCCAAAGATTTTCAGCTTTTTTCAGTTTTGTGAGACAAAAAATTGAACATGCACAAGTAATGTCTTCTGAAAGCTCAAAATGGAAAAGGTTTGTGGCTCAGAGCTTGTGTGTGTGTCCCAATTTTGCTCAAATTGGATCTGTTCCTGCAGCCCTTTCCTTTTCGTTCCTATCATCCTCACTAACCATCTCTTTGTTTTCACGCTAGGCTTTTATGTCACCTTAGTGGTGTCTCGATGGTGGGGACAGTACGAGAGCATCCCATGGCCTGACCGCATTATGAACCTGGTCTCAAGTAGTGTGGATGGAAAGGATGAGTATGGCCGCCTCCTTCGGCGCACGCTCATGCGCTACATCAATCTGCTGGGTGTGCTGATCTTGCGCTCGGTCAGCACTGCTGTCTTCAAGCGATTTCCCAGCATCGAACATATTGTGACAGCAGGTACTATCCATCGCAGTGATGACCAACTAAGACAAAATGTGCTTAAAGTGATTCCCATCCTCCGTGCCACAAATGAAGACGTCCAGGGGGACACTTTGTGAGATGCCAAGAGTTGGTTAGAGGAGGGAGGAAGGCAATCTTTCTTGTTAATTACATTTATATCCTGCTTTTTTTCCTCCAAGGAAACTAATAGGCAGCGTACAGGGTTATCGACATTGCTTTTTATCCCTACAACAGTCGTGTGAAATAGGTTGGATTGAGAGACAGTGACTGGCCCACGGTGACTCAGTGAGCTTTAGGACTGAGCATTGATTTGAACTTGGGTCTCCCCTTTCCTAGCCTGAGATTTAATCTCCCACGCTACACTGGCCCTCAATCTTTGATGCCTTCAGCCTATCAAATCTAAGGGTTCAGAACAACTGGGCAAGTTATAATTGTTATGGGGCCCACTCTGAAGCTACTGTTAAGCTCTTCCCACATCTCCAAGTGGTTAGCAGTTCTAGGGGTACAGCACATATCCAGGTTTGGTTTCCTTTGGAAGGTGGTCATTGGAAGCTTTTGGTGTTTTGTACGGTATTGGCCCAAATATATGCCGCACTTTTTTTTCCAAATTCCGACCATGAAAAGTTAAACTGCAGCTTAAATTTGTGACCTTACAAAAATTGGGTTTTACGATATCACTGCTGAAACAGACATACGGTAAAATGGAGCAGGTGTGAGTGCTTGTGGAATTTTAAGGGAGTGACATATTTGAGTACAGTATTGTCTTTTTTTTCCTTTTTCCCCTTGAATTTTAAAGGTGCGGCTTATATTCGGGTGCAGCTTATATTTGGGGCAATATGGTAATATCTGTGTTTATTTACAAATATATATTTGAATTCGTGCTGTCTATTGTGTTATTAATTTTTGCTGTTTATTTTTAAGGCGCTTCAATATTTTGAGGTCCCAAAAATTGTTTTTGAGATCAACAGGTTTATTTCCTCTCCAAAATACAACCTGCATGACAGGATTCCTGTAAACTGTCCTCCTCCTCTCCCCCATCTTCTTGTCTGCATAGGCCTGATGACTCCAGAAGAACACAAGAAGTTTGACAGTTTAAACTCACCCCATAACAAGTTCTGGATCCCCTGTGTGTGGTTCTCGAACCTGGCAGTGAAGGCACGTAATGATGGAAGGATCCGTGACAGCGTGCTCCTGCAAGGCATCTTGAATGTGAGTTCATGATATGCAAGTGGGTGTCAGCCAACCATGCTGTAGTTTCCTGAACAGAGAACATCAGGTCTGTCTCCAGGAAGGAGCAGAGGCAGAATACAGTGGTACCTCAGGTTAAGTACTTAATTCGTTCCGGAGGTCCGTACTTAACCTGAAACTGTTCTTAACCTGAAGCACCACTTTAGCTAATGGGGCCTCCTGCTGCTGCTGCACCGCCGGAGCACGATTTTTGTTCTCATCCTGAAGCAAAGTTCTTAACCTGAAGCACTATTTCTGAGTTAGCGGAGTCTGTAACCTGAAGCATATGTAACCTGAAGTGTATGTAACCTGAGGTACCACTGTAATTGCTGCAGGCCATCAAGGATGGGATACGATGATAGGCAGCTTAAGACCAGTGGTATGCGGGTAGCTGCGGACCCAAAACCTTCTGTGTCCCTACTGACAAAATAACAAAACAATATTGCAATTGGCAGTGCTCACTTTGGGCTCAGAGAAGGCAAGTCAGTGGAAAGGATAAAGCAGGGTCATGTGAGTCTGTGATGTGCTTCAAGGACCACAAGGAGGAACCCCTCGCAAAGAGCGGAAGGATGAGAAAAGGAGGGAGAACTGCTTCACTGGGTGCTTCCACACAGCAGCCGATTGTGACTCAGTGCTGCTCATGAACGCAAGTCTTTCACAGTGTCCACACAATTTCATCCTCCTTAAAACACCACCCCTGCATCCCCATTTAATCTGGATTTACCAGTTCTGGATTTATTTCTTTTTAACTTAATGGGTTTTCCATAGAAACAATAAATCCTGATTAAATGGGAAAATACAGTGGGATGGCAATTTGATGAGGACATTGTGAGAGAGACACTCTTAATATTTTTGCATTCTCCCAAGTTTCCTCTTATGTCTACAAAAACAGGACTTTTCGTGTTGCGGCATCTGCCCTCTGGAATGTGCTCCCAGTAATCATCAGACAGGTGCATATAGTACTAGCATTTAAGCATCTCCTTAAAATGCATTTGTTCATCCAGGCTTTCCTTGAGAGGCAATCCAGTTAAGCTGAGTTATTAATCTGATTCACTGATGCATTATTTGTAATTTGATTTTATTTATTATTTCACCGCCTCACTATTTTTTAAATGTTTGGCAGTATACAAATATTTGCAAAGAAACAAATAATAAAGGCAAAATGGGTGGGACTCTGTGGTGGATCATCTGTACCTTTATCAGTACTTGTCCTTCCCTCCAACAGGAAATGAACACTTTGCGCAGTCAGTGTGGGAGACTCTATGGGTATGATTGGATCAGCATTCCATTGGTCTACACACAGGTGAGAATTGGTATATATTCTCCAGACAAAATTAAATGAGTCTTGGTCCCACTTAAAATCAAGCTAGCTCACTTAACACTCATTTATTTCAATGGGATTTAAAATAATCAGAATTGCTATCAAAATGCAAAGTAAGCTGGAGCAACTCTCGTACAAGGAAGCGTAACAACATTTGGGGCTTTTTAGTTTAGGAAAAAAGGGGTGAGTTGAGGAGAGGGCAGTGGCAGAGCTTCATGCTCTGGCACCGGGGGGCGGGGGGGAGAGCAGGCAGGGGCGGGGCTGGTGCATGTCCCCGGTGTGGCACAGGGGTGTGGCACATGTCCTGGAGGTGTGGCACGCTGCCTGCGGGGGCATGGCGCCCAGCGCAGGTGGGGGGTCCGGCTGTGATGGCACCCCAGTGGGATTGCGCTGCCGGGGGTGGTGCGCTCCCCCTGCACTCCTCTTCCTCCGCCAGTGGGAGAGGGGACATGAATAGAGTGGGTTCCCCCCCCCCACACACACTTTCTTTCTCCTAATATTAGAATATCTGGGGTTATGCAAAAAAACTAGATGATTGGAGTTTCAGAGCAGACAAAAGGATGTATTTCTTCACACAGTGCACTATGGAATTTGCTCCCACCAGATGTGATGAAGGCCACCGATGTAAGGCAGCTTTGAAGTGGGATATGAAAAATTCATGTAGGATAAGGCTGTCAGTGGCTGCTGGTAGTCATGGTGGCTGTTGCTACTTCCAGGAGCAGACAGCATGCTTCACAATACCAGTCACTTGGCAATGGCCGCAGTAGAAGGCTGTTTCCACATGCCCTGCTTGTGAGCATAGGCATCTGGTTCACCACTGTGGGAAATGGAAAGCTGGGCTAGATCAGCCTTTGGTCTGACCCAACAGGGCTCTTCTATTATTAGCCTCGGAATACATCCAAAGTCCTCATGTACAAATATGTACCTGCCCTTAAACCCCTTCCACTTGAATCTCCAAATGGGAGGGAGGTTACTGGTTTGTGGCTGTTTCCTTTGCTCTCATTTTTATTGTGTATTTTGTGTTTTTATCTTGTATTCTTTATGTTGTGAACCGCCCTGGAATCTACAGATGAAGGGGGGTATACAAATTTAAGAAATAAATAAAATTGTTAGTTTTCCCCACCACAACCACAGATATGCATACTGCATGCATGATCTTCTGTAGCCTTCACACCCAATCCTTGCATCACCTTCTCATGTAACCTTTGTTTATGAATCCCATAACACAACTCTAGTGTGCCAGACGTTGTATGTTCAAGTCACAACGTCTTATGCGGTTGCAGTCAAACACATAGCATATAATAGCTCCCCATACAATGACAGGGAATTTTCAAGACTAATGAGTTTGGGTCCTTATTTTCTCTGAGTACATGCTCTTTTTCTCCTTGAGCATATCAAGACTTGCCCTACTAGCTCACTCCCATCCACTGAATCATGTTTTTGCCTGAGCCCTACAAACAGCTTCACAGCTCTTGGCATGCTGTTCCTGCCCTCTGTGCAAAAGGAGGGCTGTTATCTACATTAGACACCAGGCATGTTAACTGCTCACCACCGCCCAAACTGCAGCCTCGGGGTAGACGTTATGGTGCCAGCTTCCTCACATGTCTTATGCAACCCTGTTGCTTAAATAGTGCACTCTGCCAGACTCTGTTATGCCGAGAAAAAGGATTTCAGGTTAATGGAAGGTATATATCGAACCCTGCAAGCCAGGATGAAAGGCAGATAAAGGTCAAGGCTGTACATGGACAGTCTATTTCCATGAATTAGTTGTTTTCTGCATAGCCATAGGAACTTAAATAATGACAGGTGGCATTCTGAGCCAGATTTTGGATTGCAAATGATGTAGAAATGATATGGGACATTAACCATGGTGCCTTTAGAGGCCCCATATATTGGAAAGATCAAATAGAGAATTGTAAAACTCAAAAAAGCTGAAGAATTAGTAGAGAATTTAGAGCCAGAGTAGTTCTTTTGAGGCAAAAGGGATGAGGAAGTGAGACAATAACTGAGTTCTTCAAAATCTTTGGGGCTTTCCAGACAAAGGTCCTTTTTCATGGAAATATAACCATGCTTTCACCTAGGGCTTTTCTAATACTAGCCACATTTTAAAAATCCCCATAGATCTTCCCAGTGTGGAAGCAAATGGGCCTGAACTTGCTGCAAGAAGATAACATGGGTTGTTGTTTTCTTGTATTGAAACTGTACGAGGGATTCACTCAAGTACTGGAAGATGTGGCTGAAGTTTCTGGAAGAAGAAGAAAAGGAATGAAAAGAACCAATGAAAGGGGTTTAGAACAGTGGTGCTTACCCATGTGGTAGGCAGGTGGGCGAGGGGCAGGTGATGTGTCTTGCAGCAGTCTCATAGGCATTTCAGACCCCATGGGTACATGTGGCATCAGTGAAACCACAGCGAAAGAGACAGAACACAGCTGTGCTTGTTGGGGGCAAGAAGCTTGCTTTCTTGGGTTAGTGACTTTAGTCTGGGTCATAATGATACTACCCCTGCAGAAGCACTTCCTTTTGTGAACCATATCTCAGTAATGGCTGTGCAACCCCCACCCCAATAAGCCACGGTGTCTTAAAAGGCCCTAACACACTCTGTCTCTTTCTCCAAGGTGGTCACAGTGGCCGTTTACAGCTTTTTCCTGGCTTGTTTAATTGGTCGACAGTTCCTGGACCCTGCAAAGGAGTATCCTGGCCACGAGATGGATCTCTTTGTGCCCATCTTCACCTTCCTGCAGTTTTTCTTCTATGCTGGCTGGCTAAAGGTCAGTTCAAAGGACAGAGTGTGGATTCCCCCAGGAACTTCTGCCCATCAGGATAGAACTTCCGAAGTTCTTTTTTAAGTAGCCGAGACACACCCTGAAGCCACTTTAGACAGAGGCAAATCCAGGATTTATAGAGTGGCCAAAAGTCCACGTAATGGCAGCAGACCTAGATCTTCAAACATAGGTCTGCCCATCCATGGGTAACTGGAAGATGGTGGGTGATTTAAAGAACCAAAGGGGCATGCAAGTGCGAGGTACTGTGCCTTCTGTTCCAGCCACCACTCTTACTTCTGCAGTCCATCCCATCAAGAGGTTTTCTTTCTAGTGAGCTAGCTTAAAAAATATATTATTAAGCAGCTGGAGCTGGCAAGGTCTTCTTCAAATGCAAATTGTATTGGTAAGGCAGTGCATAGCAAGCAAATACATCAACATCTCACTTTCTTTTTTCCCCTTTTTTTTACAAAGTGCCAGATCCTTTTGGTCTGTTAACCTTGCCTTTTAATCCTGCTGACTGGACAAGATAAAATTGTCTTAAATATAATAGTGAAGCCCATTTTTAAAAGCAATCTGGACCACCCTTAGTTCCACAACTAAGAAGCTATTTTCATTTCAATTCATTTCATTTAAAAGCAGTTCTAAACCGCATAATATGTAACAATCTCTAACCAGTATGTAAGAGTACAAAACAAAAGCAATGAAACATTATTTTAAAGCTAAAAATACAACATATAAACCAGTAAAACAGCATTATGAAAACATAAACAGGATTTCAGCAATAACAGACCAACCTTCTGAGTCAAGGAAAGCCTAGGCTAACAGGTATGGGTGGTTTTCAACTAAGTTTTACTTGACTTAGTCATGTCCATTAATTTCAGTGGGTGTACTCTGAGTAAAACTTCGTTAACTACCAAACCATGTTTTTACAAGACATCTGAAACAACTGATGGATGAAATTTCATGTCCAGTGCTGATCAGCAATGCTTTCATTGCACACATTTCACAGGTAGCTGAACAGCTCATTAATCCATTTGGGGAGGATGACGACGACTTTGAAACCAACTGGCTCATTGATAGGAATCTGCAGGTGAGTTTGAGGCCTGGCTATTACAGAACTCAGAGAAGGCCTTTTTTAGGCTTCCCACAGGGCAGCTCTTTCCCCTTTGAGGCTCAACATTCCTTCTCAGCGATTCATTAGACATCCAGCATTCAATAAGATGAAATCATGGCTCTGAGAAAAAGCTTCATATAGCATTAGCAGGTCTCTGAGCCAAGCATGAATTTCTTGGTGTGTGGCTTTGTTATCAGAAGGCCTAGTGTGCTTCTAACTTAACGCATGACATTTCAAGATGTTTCTATATCAAAATTTGGAAGGAGGCTTCCCATACTCGCCCTCCTTGAGCTTTCACTCTTTACTGCACCTTTGATCATTTGCCTGCTACTCATGATCTCATGCTGCTTCCTGTACATCAAAGGCACCTTTCCTCCTAGGCAGGCTTGCGCAACTTGTGGTCCACCAAGCTGAGCATAGCCCGACTCAGCCATGAGCTGAGCCGACTACAGATGCCATAAACCTCCAGCTTTTTTTTTTGTCTGCCTGGGACTCGCCCACTCAAAAAAGGAGAAGGTTATCAAGACTCCAGCAAGCCACAATAACATAGTTATCTTAGTGAGCTGCTCTATTATCATAAGCTCTCCAGCACTCTCAACTGAACACAGTCATCGCCTCAGCCATTCTTAAATTGCAACTGCCCCCAAATTATTCGAAATGGATGTTTTCTTAGAAATGGAAGAATAAGAGCAAACACATTCACAATGCCATTGAGTTTTGACCCCATTGGGCCTGACGTGTATGTCTTGTCTATGCAGGTCTCCCTTATGGCAGTGGATGAAATGCACCAGGACCTGCCCACCCTGCAGAAGGACCCATATTGGAATGAACCAGACCCACAGCCACCCTACACAGCAGCAACTGCGGATTATAAGCGGACATCTTTCCTGGGCTCGACCTTTGACATCAGGCAAGTGAAGCTACCTTAAGCAACCCTTTCCCGACACAGGAGATGAAGTAGGCGTTTGCCTATGGAAGCTCATGACATTATACACGTGTTCGTCATTATAGTTCCCACAAGAGTTTTGAGAATTACTAGCAGAAAACCCAAGGAGGAGATAAAATAACATGTTGCAGTGGGGAGTGCTCCTGTTCAGGGTTCCAGCCAGCCAGCCATGCCCTCTTCCTGCACACAAAGTAATAAACCAGAAGAGGACAGTGTTCAACAGAACATATTAAAAAAAACCTTAAAACATTTTGTACTTCCGCAAGCCTGCTCTTGTGCATGGATGATGCCATTTGGGCTACGTAAGGAGAATGAGTTTGCAGTTAGCATATAATTTGACATTCCTCCAATGCTCACACCACTCTTTTTACATCAGCATCTACCAGAACGTGTCATTTGGCTGTTTTGAGGTGCTGTGGAGCTTGTTTTTGCTGTTGCTATGGCTCCCAGCAGAACCTCAGTCACCCAAACCACAAATAGCCAAATTCTTTGTGATATGTTGCCAAGACTCACCTCTTTAGCTCTGCCACACCTCACCTTGTGGCCTGCAGGTAATCAAGTGAATACCACTGGCCAAAGTAATCAAGGCGCAGACTGCCAAATAAGCTGTTTATGAACATCTTCATCCTCTGAGGTGTTTGAATAAATAGGACTGTGCTATATGTCATGTCTGAGCAACTTGTCTCATGGGTCAGCTTATCCTGGTGCAGGATTTTCATATTTGGTTTTGTAAGCACACATAGAGCAGGCCCTATCATTGGGCAGAGTGAGGCAGCCACCCCAGGCAGCTGATTTTAGATATCATAAGAAGGCAGCAAATTGTTAGTGATTTATTATTGATTTTTTTTACTGCCAAGGAGTGGGCAGAGCTGCTTGTGGATTTTTTTTTGCCTCAGGTGCCAAACTAACTTGATCAGCCTTGGATATTGCACCCCTTGACGAGGAGGAATTTTGCAGCAAAATGTCTTGGGCCAAACCTGGAAGTAACAAACAAGCATGAGTAGACATGCTAGTACAAACACAGAAGTATTCCTACTGGGCACAAGAATCATTGACTGGCATGGTCAAGCACCTACCAAGTCCCATACGTCAATAGTTGAGAGCCCCCTGGTCCCACCCCTTCTCCTCTTCCTTGCTGTTGCTGCCCACTTGCTCACCTCTTCTCTCTCTCTCTCTCTCTCTCTCTCTCTCTCTCTCTTTGACCCACTAAGGGGGTGAGCAAGTGAGAAGCCATGTTAGTGAGGAGCAGCAATCTGTGCCACATCTGCTTGCTCATTGGTTCTTCTCTGCCTGGTGAACACTGAACAGGTGACAGCAATAGTCAGGGGAAGCAGCAGCAACAGGGGCTGGAAGTGGGACCCCTGACATAAGTTGGTGGTAAAGGGGCATGGAGGATGTTTTCTCTCCAAGGGCTCTCCAGAACATGGAGATGGCCCTGTTCAGAGTGCACCCAACATAGGAGTTTAGAGCCACCCTACATGTTCTAATCTCTCCAGTCACTGTGTACAACTGCCTGTTTCCCTTCTCCAGCATGCAGAAAGAAGAGATGGAATTCCAACCCCTGGAACAGATTAAAGAGAACGAGGAAGCAAACCACTCCACCCCATTGCTGGGCCACATCAGCCGATTCCTGAACGTCCAGTCCCCCACCTTCCCCAGGTCGTCCAGAATGAACCTGATGCGCCGTAGGAATGACAGTGTGCCTTCTTCCCCTTATTACGCATACCCAGATGTGGGCAAACCCGGCAGCCCAACCAGTATCAACCAGCAAAGGGGAGACTGCTCCCCGGCAAGCTTCAGCTCCCAGGACCAATGGGACAAGGCGGCCAGCAAGCTGAGAGAATTTGACGCCTTCATGTCCACTCCGTTCTACGAGAGGCCTGGCTTCTACAGCGCCCCACAGACGCCCATCAGCTCCATCCCCATGATCTTCCCATCCAGACGTCAAGGCCGCAAGAAGCCGCCTGCTCTCTCCAGCATTGCCGCCTGCTCTTCTTCTTTGAGGGACAACTCCACCAGCCAATCTCCTGGCAGAGCCAGTGACATGGACAGAAGTGAGAACTCTCTTGGGTCGGGAACTAGAGAAACTTTTGTTTGGCCAACGGAGAAAGGCCAGGCTTCAGACTCCTTGGCAGTGACCATTGAAGAGGTGGCAAAAAACTTGACCAAAGGATCGAAGGAGATTGCCCCTTTGGGAAGCCCAGGAGGGCCTCTGTCCTCAGCGAGCTCGGCAAGTCCCAAGTTTCCTTTCTTTGCGGAGTCCCCGGATCCTGAGATGCAGGCAAACGTCAAGGGTCCGAAAGGCCACCGGCAGCCCTGGTTTACACCAGACCGCTCAGCAACTCCAAACCCAGACTACCCCACCTACCTCCACTCCTACGGTATCAAGACCCCTAGCAGCAATGGCCCTCCCACCTGCTTTCCCTTCACACCCTTGACATCCCCAGTGCTTGAGAGATCCCGTCTGGGCAAAGCAAACGCTGCTGTTGGCTCTGCCTCGGAGGCTTCTCCTGGAGGCATGGAGCAGGATTCGCCAACAGCCCCTGGGGCTGCCAGAGATGCAGGAAGTGGAGTCACCAACACTTATCATACCAAGGATCAGAGAAAGGCAGCCAGCTCTTCTCCCAATGACTCGGGCATCTCCCTAGCAGAAGGAGACTTTGTCGGGCTAATGGAAGTGATCATGGAAACCAGCGAGAGCACAGCTGACGAAGGGAAGGAGGCAGAGATGACTAAATGAAATGGGCTCACAGATGCGTTTCATCTAGGATGGCATGATTTTTTTAAAAATGAAGCTTCATGGGTGCGCAGCCTCTTAAGAGACACCAGAATCACATACAATGAGCTACAGAACTAATGAGAAGGCAAAAACATTGGGTTGAACAGATCACACCATAGATAATGCATAGGCTTTTGCTTACATGCTGGTTAAGAGTCATTCAGGGCACTTGAGCACCACACGATTATGAAACCAGTTCTCATTCCAGCAAGCCAAGGAGAGTGTGGGAGTCCCAGAAATATCCCAGTTGCTCCCAAAGCACAATCCCATCCTTGAGCGGAGGATCAACAAGCATCAGAAAGCAGTACTAATTGGTCAGTCCCACCATTGCAAGGAAGAGGCCCGCCCAATGTTCTGAGACAATATAGTGATATAATCTTTTTGAGAATGAGAGTGAAGTTTGCTTCCACTTCTGACACTGCAGGGGAAAAAAGGTGTCAGGTCTCAAAAATTTGGGGAGCACACACACAACAGCATTTATGGATAGAAAGATTAAGGCTGTGGTTAAAAACCACTTGCTTGATAAACATTAAGAGTTTTTTGCTGGCTGCCTAAGTCAACTGTAGGACAGATAATGAAGAAGCAGTTTTGCTGAGTGGCCGTAGCTTGATTACACTATATACAGAGCACCGTCATTTGCGCTATATCCCTTTACTAAACACACATTAGCAATAGACAGCATCACAGTTTTTATTTGCCTACAATCTATTTCTAAAAAGCAGGTGACAAGTCAACTGAAGAAAAAGTTTCAGTTCCTTGTAGCTTTAAATAGCACAAACATAAAGCACAGCTAGACAATGCCCCTGTTAAATTACAGAGAGTTGGATGTCTTGATCTGGCTATGTTTTAACACAGGATCTTGAGCCATTTGCAGGTCCAATAAACGGCTCCTGTCAGGATATAGCAATTGCTGTAGCAACATTCATGGGGGCAGGAAGAGAATCACTTACAATTTTGGGTGTCAGCATTTGCAGAATCTCATGCTCACTAAACTGGAAACCTTGAAAAACACCTACACTTCTCAGGGTATCAAATGAGAACCACCTCCACTTTTTATTTTCTGCTACTGCTCTGCCGTTTTGGCCTAGCGCACCACAAAGCACAGGAAACCCATTTGGGGCCATTATTGACAGTTCCAAGGAAGAAATCCCTTCATTCGATCTAATCCATTGGTTTTGGCATCCGTCTGTCTCGGTAGACAGTAGGAGAGTGCGCCTTTGAGGGTGAAGTGAAACAGTTGGAGTTGCAACACCTGCTGTGGTAGCAGAGACTGATAATGGAAGGGACATGTTTTGTTGCAGCTGGGGCAGATGAAGGCATCCGGTTTAGTTACTTACAGGTGCATCATGGGGTTTCTTTCTGCACTTCTCCCAGCAGTCATTCATCCTCTCGTAGACACACAATCTAATCCACAGATAGGGAAACTGTGGTTTTCCAGATTAAGAGTCTCACGCAGTACCAACTGCTCATATGAGTCACAGCCAAGGCGGCCAGTGGTCAGACATGACTGCAGCCCAACATCTGGAGGGCCCCAAGTTCCTCATCCCTGATTTAATCTGTTCTTTGAGGAAGATTAACCTTTTTTCCAGTTTACAGGGGGGATTAAGATGGGTCAGAAACATACCAACTATAAAAGCAGTTATTAGTAAAGCAACAGACTTCAAAAGAGTGTAATTTCTTTCCATTAAGGGTGGAGAGGCTTCAGGCATGCTTTAGGTATAAGCAAAGCTGCCTACATTCCACACAAGAAAGATTTCAACATAACCTGACATCAGCTATCATTAAAAGAAAGAGGAAAAAACCCAAGTTTCTAAACCTTTTGGATAGGAACCTCTCCCAAATATTGTACTGAGGACACAAGATTAAGACAGAAAATCCCAAGCTGGGTTCTGTCGTGAACATGAATCAAGTTCCTCAAACTTCCCCCCATAACTAGCACAAATCCAATGGTTGTTAACCGTTTCCCTCCAGATATGCTTAGCTACACCTGCATCATTCTTAACCTTTGACAGGAGTCTAGAATTTAACAACTCAGAGCTGCCCCTGAAAGGTATGGAGTGCATGAAACAAATGGGAAAATTACTCTGGAATGAACCATTGTTTCAAAAATTCATTGTGGAAAGGTACATTTCATGGCAGCTATCAATCCTTTACCCAGAACTGCTCCAAAGAGAAAGTTAAGATCTAAACTAATTCATTAGCTGTGACATGATTTCAAAGGATCTTAGGACAGTGGCTAGAGCAGATCTTGTCTATCTCTATATAGTTTATCGGAGTGCCTTAAACAGTTTATAGTTCCTAAAGCATGAGTTCACATCCTTCACTGAACTTACTGGAAAAGGAATGGCCTTGAAAATGGCTGACAGCAGCACACATCCAATTGGGAGTTGTGTGGCAATTTTGTACCAGAGACATTCATGTATGTATGCATATGCATATTCTGAGGGCTAAGGCCCAGAAATACCATACTAATAATATCCGCAGTGGGGTCTTATCCCACCCTTTGTTAGCATTCCCAACCATCTTCATTATAAGGTGGCAGAGTAGCATTTCATGTAGTGATTAACTTGCCAAGGCTCACTGAAGAATCAATTTTTAGAAAATAATTTACCCAGACATGTCTCCAGGTTCATAGTTCAACACTCCTCCATGAACTTTAAAAACAACCAAACATCCCACTTGTTAAAACTGACCCTGCCCCCTTATGAAAACGTAGCTCATTTCCACAATGGCATGACTTTAAAAGATTTAAGCTACATGTATAATTTCTCTGATGTAGAGGTCACATTTAAGTGCTTTTTTTATGGAAGACACAGGATGAGAGTCCAGCACAGAGAACAGAACATTCAAGAAGTCTGAAAACATGCACAGCATGTCCACTCAGAAGTACCACTGAGTTAAATGGAGCATACTCTTCACATATTTTTGTATCCCAGGAGGTTGGGCTAGATGACCCTTGGGGTTTTCAAACTTTACAATTTTATGAGAGCATATAGGATTGCAGGGTTGTACAAGTCCCAGTGTGGACAATGGAGCGATTTTTAGAAGTTTAAGCCCCTTCACCTCACTTAAAAGGCCAGTGGGATAAATGTGAAGGCCTTGTGGTGGAGCTTGGGGGTGAGAACTGGGTGGTATTCCTAAAAAAGAAGGTATAAAAGATTTATTAAGTTTGGAAGAAACCCTGCTCTCACTACTTTGCCAACACTTGACCTATATACATACTATAGGACAACTGAAATTTAGTGGAACCAAATCACTTTTATTGGGCATTTGAGTTACAACACAAAAAGAACAATAGATGGTTTTATACAGTTATGGACAATAGTATGGATAAACAAAAAACAAACAAACATGCACAGCTGAGTAAGAAGGTAAGAGTCCCTGCTGAAGCATTCACGGGAGGTTTAGTTTTCACTGTCACTTTCTCCCAGGGTGTGCTTGTCAAAGAGATACTCTGCCATTCCAGATTTTGGTGCCCCCATCTTGCGCAAGTTGGTCACATGGTCACCCAGTTCTTTGATGGATTTGACTTGCTCATCCAAGTAGTGGGTCTCAATGAAGTCACATAACTGGAAAATAAAACAATGCATTAGGCACACCACACTATTGATCCTGCCAGCAAAGAAAAGCAGTCTTCAAAACTATCAAGAAGTCAAGGTTTCCTGATGAAACCATGAGCAAAGTCAGCAGTCAAGGTACTGCCAGTAGTTTAAGCCTGGTTTGACCTTAAAATGCAGCTCTGCCTTCGGATTCTCTTTGAACAGATGTAGCACACAAGTAGCGTGTGGGGTTTTTGTTTTTACGAACTCCCATTAAAGGAGAGCAGCTCAAGAATTAGAGCACGATCTACTACTTGATCCAGGCAGGGATGCACTCCATGCTAAAAATGAAAAATCTGTATCAATGAAGACCAAATTCAGTTGCATGTATAGACTATGCAGATTTTGCAATCTGTCCTGCAGTTTTTGCTAGCTACTAAAGAAGTAAGGACTCTGAAGCCCCACCCCAGCCTCTAAAACAAAAGAAAAATATCTGAAAGCTTCTCACTTCTGCAATCATAGTATGCAGTGCAAAAATATACCAGGAAATGTGTGGACAGGCATAAAGGCTAGAAACCGTCTCTTTAAATAAAAACGGCAAAAAATCTCATGGTGTCAAGTTCTCTACCCACACGAACACATTATATAGTCCCACAGCTTCTCTGAACACACAGTTCCACCTACCAGTGTGGAATTCCGATTCAGCCGTTCTTTTACTGTTTCAAAATTTCATTTCTTGCTTTTTTTTCAATCGCAGCAAGTATTTGAGCATATCATTTACATAGACAAACATGCTATTTCCATTAATTTCCAACTTACATGGGGGTCATTTTTGTCAGTTGCCAGCTTGTGCAGTTCCAAAAGTGACTGGTTCACATTCTTTTCCAAGTGCAAAGCACACTCCATTGCTGTCAATCCACTCTCCCAGTCATCACGATCTGGTTTCTAATAAAAGCAAAGGAAACCACTCTCAAAGCTGAACCACTGGAATAACAAGGATTATTAGTACAACATGCACCTATCAGAATAACTGGCAGGTATTTACAGGACAAATTTAGGGCCCTTTATCTAGGAATACACTTTAGATTAAATACTTCATTACAGGGCATGTTCCAATGCAAAATGTGTCTATTGCAATGTCCTCCAGCTCCTGAAACTGTAACTGGCTGCTCCTAACCCAGCTGCGGGCATTGCCAGATTCCATCTACCTCTCCTCTCATCCCTAATAGGAAGGAAAGAGCAACAAAAACTACAGCAGCTAGCTAAACATGCCCATAAACACCCAAATGCTCTGAAAGAGCCAAGCGCTGATTTAAACTGCTCTTGGTCACACCTCAAGTTTCTTGTGATTAGACTTTCCCCTTACTTCCCCTGCCCCCAGTCAATACTTTTTCCTTTGACACAAGTCACTTGCTTTATCACCGAATACTGAAGTTATATGGAACACCACATATTTATCTGCAGATTAGAGCTGTTCCCTGTTTATTACATAATCACCATAAGATTGGTTGATGTTGCAGTTTCCATGGCAACTAAATTCTCAAGCTGCATTTTCACTGCAGAACGAAGGGCATGTTCCATTTTGCACATATCTTTTAGCCAAGCACTGGTAACTCAAGACACCTCAAGCCACTTTAAGCTTGAATGAACTTTTTCCTGGTCAGCTTGGCCAGCAAGACCACCTGCAAGTTGCAAAGGACTGTAGGAAATTCTAGGTAGCTAACACTTCATAGTGTTCAGGCTAGGCCTGATGGGACCCACTTTTGGCCTGTGTGAACTGACCCTAACTTTCCTTTTTCATGCAGAGGTGGTAAAGCTGCATTTCAGAAAAGGAGGCCCTACAGTTAGAATTTAGCAGAGAAGGCACCACAATAACCCTACTATGGCTCCTTGCCACACAGTCTGAAAACCACTACTTCAAAGCAAGACGTGATCAGCAACGACACTTAGTGCTGCAGTTTATCTACTGCTGGACTGTACCACTTCAGATTGGTCACGGGGAGGGAATCCAGTTTTGAATCGCCCTCATAACTCCATGCATAATTAAAATGTGAATGTTGGTGAGGGTGTTCTAGTTTCAAATTACCCCCAAGTAGTTTTGTACAGGCAGCAAGGAATTTGTTTACGCAAAGGGATATTTCCCTTCCCTCAGCCCCACCCTGGTGTACAGGTATAATCTAGCAATGCTACATCCTATGAGGTCCGTTATTCATGAACTCTTCTTAAGCAGATTTAGCTTCTGTAACCTCTAGACTAGCTGTGGATTTTTCATCTAATGATACACTCAGTCTTTGGAAAGCACATTTTAGTTCTTTTCATAATTTTAATCTGGATCCCAGCCCAGGAAGCAACAGCGCTGTATTTACCACACTTTTACAACTCACTTTGATGTCCTGCAAGAAGATGCGGCCGCCTCTCTGGTTCTGCAACTTCATAAGTTTCTCTGCATGCTCACGCTCCTCGTGGGACTGGTGAAGGAAGTACTTGGCAAAGTTCTTCAGGGCCACATCATCACGGTCAAAATAGTAGGACTGAAAATAAAGTTCAGATTCATTAATTAGAATCAGGGAACCATGTATTTCAACCATCAATGTCCATACCACTTGACATATGCAGGCGGGAACTTGCCGCTACTGGTTGGCAAATCTATTTTCCTACATGGCAGTTCTTGAAACTACTGATCAACAAATCTATCAAACTTGGCCACATTAAAGGTTTCCATTGCTGTGTTACTTGTTTCTGGTATACCACACATAGGCTCAAGGGTCTAGAAGCACTGGAGCTCCAGCCTCAGTCAAGCCACAACACACTAAAGTGACCTCAATGTGGAAAATCTAGTTGACTTTATTATTTAGCAGTAGTGGTGAAAACCTGCCCTTAACAGCACAATGGTGCTTGCTGAACACTTAAAATGATTAAGGTGGTCTAGGAGTAGGAAAATAACTATCAAAGTGACAATCATTGATAAAGCTAGTTATGAAACAAATCATGACACTCCAAAGCAGGATCGGAAACCTGTGGCTTCTTTGAGACCATGTTGTCTCAAGAATCCAGCCCTTTATAGTCAGTTTTGACAGTCCAAGTCTAATCCCTCTAATACACTTGCAAAACATAGTCCAGGTGAATAAATTAGTTTTAACAGGACTGCAGAAGCTCCAACAGCAACTTTATAGGTTCTAACTTGCTCAATTGTGTAATTTAGTTGTTTAAAGCACTACTATTCATTTGCTTACAAGCTAGTTGTATGTTCCGTTCTACTTTCCAACTAACGCTGATAAAAGCTCTAGGGTTGAAGGAGTCATCCTAGTCCTTTAGTGGAGTTTGTAATATGGCAGCCTGCTTTAATTAATGCAAATTGAACCGTTAATGCAAGTTGAAATAGGCAGGCCAATCTGTTATTTGCTTATTAGATGCTGCCAGACAAATAATAAAGCTTGTTTTACTATACCAAGCAACGAGCAGTAGATTGCTCACACGTGGTCCACTTATCAAAGTTCTCAGCACATTACAGTACATTCTAGCACTCAAAACAGTGGGCACCAAGTGAAAGGCAAACATTTTCAAGCTAGGGTCGGAGAAATGGCTTGTAACTACACCTACACCCCAAACGACATACTGTTTGAAGCTTCATTGAAGCTTCTTGGCGTTAACAAGCCCACGAGTCCCACCCACCCTCCTCCTGGCAAGTTTAAGATAGCCATCTTGAAGTCCTACTGTTCTCCACGTTCACATACGCTAGTACCAACATTACAGTGGAAGCCTGTTTATACCAAACGCGTATGTGGAAGGACTGGTTAAAGATTAACTTTTAAAATGCAATCCCCTTTTATTCAGAGGCAAGCATACAACCAACTGCTTATTTGTGAGTCCACCCCATGTTACCTCCTAGCAGGGCTGTGTCAAAAGGTGCCCCCCAAAGCCGCTTTCTGCCCTCCTCGCCGGTCCCGGCAGCGCAGTGCCCAAATGTTTGCCAAACCCCAGCGGGCCCGGCCTGCCCCCCCCCCCCAAGCCAGTGGCGCAGAAGCTGCATTGACCTTTAAGCCGAGCACGGAGCATCACGGAAGGCCTCGCTGGGCGCGAGGCAGGGCGCACGGCGATGCGCTTCTCGCTCCCGCCGCAGGTGCGCGCAGCAAAACTGCCGCTCGGCAGGAACGGAGAACCAAGAAAACCGCTACAGCGCAGCGGGAGCGGATCAAGCCTCCCGTCTCAGAACTGGGTTCCCAGCAGCGGCCCAAACAAGCAGCACAGAAATGCAAGCTTCAAGGATCTTTTTTAATGGCGGTTCTTCGACTCCAGAGCCGATTCACGCTCGGAACGCGTTGCGCAAGAGGCTGGCTGCTCCAGGGGAGGGGAAAAAAAGAAGGAACGGAGCGCCTTGCGGCTCCTCGGAAAAAAACAAACCACCAGATTTATTACGACATGAGTAGCGAAGTAGCCCGCGGCTGAAAAAAACCTGTTGGGCCTTTTAAGGCGTCACAAGACGTTGCCGTTTTATGCTCCAACGGGCAGAGGGCAAGCCTCTCTGCACCGTCTGCAGAAGGGCAGCGGAGCGGCTCGAAGGGCGCCGCGATCTCCTCGGGAAAGGAAACCGCTCGGTTGTTTACAGCGAGGAATCCCGAAGGGATCCGCCTGCAGGAGCACGAAGGCCTCGCTCGCCCTCCAAGGACAAGCCAATGCACGGCTAGTAAACAGAGACGGAGGCGGCGCCCCCGGGGAGGGGAGGGGAGGGAGCTCCAGCCGCCGCCGCCGCCGCTTCCATTTCCTTTGCCCCCGCCTCCAGCAAGGCACCATTCCCTGCTCCAGTTCAGGACCCCCGCCCGCCCGCCCAGGTCGGAGCTCACCATGCTGAGATACACGTAGGAGGCGTAGAGCTCCAGGTTGATCTGCCGGTTGATGGCGGCTTCGCAGTCCTGGTGGTAGTTCTGGCGCACCTGGGAGGGAGACGAAGCCATGGCAGCGCGGCTGTAGGTGGTGCAGCTGGGTCGGGCAGGTGGAGGCGCGGAGGTCGGGTGGGCCCGAGCAGGGGTGGGTTCCGTCCAATCACTGTTGAAGCAGGAACCTCCTCGGCCGGGTGTGACGGAACGTTCTAAAGCCCTGCGCCTTACGTAGCGGCCGTATATACCCGGACCCCAGGCTGCGTCACAATCGGAGGCGGGAAAAGCCACGCCCACCGCCGCGCGAGGAGGGGGGCGGAGGGAAGGAAGGGGAGCTGCGCTCCGATCTCGCGCCTGAGGAGTAAGCGTGACGCAGCAGTTTCTCTGGCGGCGAAGGGGGCAGGCGGCGGGAGCGAGAAGAGCGCTCCAGCTCCAGGGAGAAATCGCTGAGTCGTGGTGTTATTCGAAATTCAAATAAAAGTTGCATGCTGAAATATGGGAATGAAAGACCCGAAGGCGGTGGTACCCTATAGAGAAGGAAGCCAGTTAACGCATAACCCAAAACAGTGTGTACGTGAGCGCGCGCACATATACTTCTGGATATACATCCATAGGAGCCAATTTCTAGGGGGCCCACCGCCCCCAACAAAAATTTTGAGGGGACCATTCAGATAGTGTGCGTGCGCGCGCCGCATCGTGCGATCGATTATGCAGGGCGGGGCTTACCTGCCCGCTCCCCCCTTAATATTTTATTCCAAGTTGGCATCCCCAGTAACATCAAGTGATGAACTACCCAGAGACTGGAAAAATAGTGACACAATAACTTCATCTCTTCTGAGAGAAGAGGCATTGTGATGTAGTGCAATGGTTCTAAAAGTGGGTTGCAAAGCCAGTGTTGGCAGTGCAAAGATCATCTCCAGCCTTCTCTGGGTGATGGGCATCTTACCAGCTTGAAAGCAGAATACCCAAGCAACTAGCTGTTGAATCAGTGCGCTCTTTCAATGCAAGGGGAGGTAGAGGGGCAGCTGCCTTTTTGCAATTAATTTTTTTTTAAACTATTTATTTAAATTGTTTTTAATCCCACTCTTCAGAAGAAGAAGAGTGGGAGAAGAAGGGAAAGGAAACTCAAGACACCAGTTCTTAAAGTTTCAGTTCTTTTAACAGGTCAATTATAACAGGCCTGGTAGCCTGAAGGAATGGCTATTGCTAGGTGACCCACAAGGGAGAAGACTAGCCAAAGGTAGCTGGTCTTCCAGCGGAGCGGCTGAAATAGCCCTGTTACCTTTTCTTTCTCACTACTGTAACCTGATGGAACAGGCAAGGCTAGGATGCTGTTCAGCTAGAGCCCAGAGACAACTGGTCTCTCAGAGCAGCTGATGGCCAGGTCGCAGCTTCCAGAGAGAGAAAACGCTTATTCTTCTGTTTTAATGTGCGTTCACAGTTCCTGTAAATGTAGCACCTTCTTTTACAGCAGTGCTTTTTAGGGGTTCCTCAATCAAAAAGAGAGTTGGAAAAAACTGCTTTATAGCACTGTATACATTGCACACATACTTCACTCCTTGACAGGAGAAAATATAGCTGTGTACATACACAGTGCTCATTGTACATAGAACAGGCGTCAAGCCAAAATCAATAAGGCTCTTCTGTGAGGTCTGGTGATATGTTTTGCCAAATGATTTTTAAACAAACAAACCTCCAAGTATACATTTTCTTGAATGCGCCAGGAAACACCTTTTCACAATGATGCACTATATAACTGTACTTCTTTCTTTTTATCATCACGTCATCTTCAGCATCCTTCATATTTTCAGAATTTCAAAACACTGGCAGAATTGTGAAATTTGGTTCCCAAGTGAGAAAGTCCTGAATCAGCCCCAGTAACTTACTAGTTGGAGGGGAAGCTGCAGAATCAGGTATGAATTCAGAGATGATTCAGAGAGCAGAAAAACACTGCAGTAATTATAAAATAGATGCCCTTAGTGGCTTTTGATTCCCTTTAAACTCTTGTATTACCAGGGCGCGTTGTCAAAGGCTTATTGTTTCAGTCCATAACTTGTAGACTGAAAGCCGGAAAGAAGCAGCAGACTTCAAACTGGTACGAATTAAAAAGGTTTATTCTTGTCAAAGAGAGTAACAGGATAACTAAAGGATTTCAATAGCAGCTTGGTCAGGGTGATGCGATTTGATATTCCAAAAAGGGAAGCAACTCGCAACATTCTGAGTACAAATGATTATGATTATTATTATTATTAAAATTTGTATACCACCATCTGAAGATCACAGGGCAGTTAAATATTGATTGATTGTTTAGAAATGCCGTGGTATCTAACATGTTTCAAGCTACAGCTCTTCCTTGGGGGCAATAATTAGCATGCACTTTCAACATGCAACACTATTATGTATATTTGGTTTATAGCTGCTGGTTTTATTTGTATGTTGATAAATTTTATATTTGTGTTTAGCACTTGATTCTAAATCAATTGTAAACTGGTCAGAGGTTTTTGTTAATTAAGGTATATATAAATATGGTCAAATAATATATCCCAAATAATATATCCCAAATAATATATCCCACCATCCTCAAAGATAGCCCATCAAAAAAAGAAGAAAGTAGAACCAATAGGCAGCCAAGCTAAGAGAGCCAGGAAAGGAGGGGAGATAGTGGAAGGAACTTTATTGGACAGTGTCCTCAGTGGGTTAAGAGACAAAACAACAACAACAATGGAGAGATTAGGTAAAGGAGGCAGAGACCTCAAAGAAAGGCAAATAAGAGACAAAACCCCTCATGGGCTTCCATTCACTGAGAAGCTCTATATGTATTCATCAGTTTGCAGGAAGGGCTCCTCACATATGGGGAGGAGTGGCTACAGGCATGGCAAATGGGACAAGCTAGTCTGTGCAGCCGCATGGTCCTCTTACGCCTTTTGAATATGTGACAGACAGACTAGTCCCACATGGGACCCCCTTCTACAACAGCTCTACTGGCTAGCTATTTCCAGGCTCAATTCAAAGTGCTGGTTATGACCTATAAAGCCCTACATGGCTTAAAAGGGTAAAGGGACCCCTGACCATTAGGTCCAGTCATGGATGACTCTCGCTTTATTGGCCAAGGGAGCCGGCGTACAGCTTCCGGGTCATGTGGCCAGCATGACTAAGCCGCTTCTGACGAACCAGAGCAGTGCACGGAAACGCTGTTTACCTTCCCGCTACTTGCACTTTGTGCTTTCAAACTGCTAGGTTGGCAGGAGCAGGGACCGAGCAACGGGAGCTCACCCCGTCGTGGGGATTCGAACCGCCAACCTTCTGATCGGCAAGCCCTAGGCTCTGTGGTTTAACCCACAGTGCCACCTATTTGAAAGTCTTATTCCCTCATATGAAGCTCCCCAACGTTTGAGATCTTCAGGGAAGGCCCTTCTATTGATCTCGCCACCCTCACAGGATCACTTGTGGACAGAGCCTTTTCGGTGGCTGCCCCCAGATTTTGGAACTCCCTCCTTAGAGACGCTAGACTGGCTCTCTCTCCTTGTTGCCCTTCCGCAGGCAGGTGAAGAAGTTCTTGTTCCAACAGGCTTTGAGGAATCGATTGCTTTTAATGAAAGGGCTGGTGCTATGCTGTTTTTATTGTAATTATCTGTATGTTTTTAATGGATTTTATATATTTATATAGTTCTGTTTTTTCCTGTGTTTTTAGCCATTATTATTTTTAATTGTAAGCCACTTTGAGTTGCATCAGGGGAAAAGGTGAGGTATAAATATAACAACAACAACAACAACAACTTTAAAGCCATGCCCCCTTGTTGTAGTATCTGCCATCCATACAATTCACTAGTACATCACTTTGTCTGCCCTCCTGACATGTGGGAGTTCTAGACATTTGGTACACTTGTAGGAGCTCTCCTTATATGCACCAAATGCACAGCTGGCAAGGGATGCATGCAGTCCAGGCATCTGTCAGCAGCAGATGGCCCTGCTTACCTGGTGACACCCTGGTCTCCTGCTCAACATGTGGGAAGGGTGTTTGTAAGAATTCTTCTAAAAGGAGAGGCCAATGGATGGCAGGAAGGGATAAGTAAGCAAAGGAGCTTTGGATGCTAAGGGGCTGTGGTAAGAGATGCCAGAGTAATTGTTTGAATTAGCCACCCATACGTTTGTCTGCAGTTCTCACAGAATAGCTTTGATCCAGCAGAGCACTTTATGGAGCTGACCTTACAGTGTGTTTTCAGAAGAAGCTTTTAGGCAGAGTAACTTTTTTAAAAAATTGTTTAGCTGTTTGTTTTGAATCTGACATGTCACCCAGACAGGAAATGAGTGTAAAAGTTCCATTGGGTAACTACTGGGGCTATCACTTGTAGAAACCCAATTACGTCAGGCAAGCTATGCAATGCCCTGTAAGGAACTATGTGCAACAATGAGGAAAAACAAACTACAGAAATATCACCTTGTGGTGAGTCTACAAAATACTTAAGAGATTAGGAGAGCATAACCTGGGTTTTGAAAATACCTTTAAGAAAGCCAAATCACAGTAAAATGCTATGTCATGTTAAAGCCAATCAGAGTATTAAATATTAAGAAAGCAGAGCTACACAATGCAGAATTAAAACCACAGTGGGAAGTGCCACAGAACCCCACTGGAAGATGAACCAAGAAGCATTGGTCAATTACTCATCTTACATGACTCACAGGGGTGCTGGTAATTATTTGTACATTTCCTTGCACCAGTCCCTATGACATAGGTCAGAATTAGGAAAGGTAATGCCTGCCACTGCCCTGTACTGTGAATGAGAAGCTATTGCTGCTACTCCATAAACCCTAATACATAAGCTGCTGTATACAGTGGTCAAGGTACTGTACTGCTGAGAAGTATTGGGCCACTTGTTGGAAGTGTCTATAATGTCCAAAACCTGTATTGATTTGCCGATCCGATTTTTGTTCTCCAGGCCACAGATGCCGCTGGAAATGCTGACAGTCTTATTTGCCAGAATGCAAGAGCCTTGCTGGGTCAGGCCAAAGGCCCATCTAGTCCAGAATGCTGTTCTCACACCAGCCAGCTTGAGCCACTGCCTCCTTTTGTTGTTCTTCTACCAGTTCCCTTAGCCTCCTGGGCTGTCTGCAGGCGACTGGGCTGTCTGCAGGAGATTGGAAAGCAGTCACCTTGGTGCTGATTTGCTGCCTCAAAAGTATTTCAACGTATGTAGGCACCACCTCACAAGGACCAGACCACCCTACACAACAGAGAGAACATTGTTGAGGGTTCAGTCCCAAGACGAGAAGCAGATGTCCCTCAGGCACTGAGCTGAGGTGTCAGAGGAAAAAATTCCAGAAGCTAAACACAAGAAGGCAAATGAGGGGGAAAGAGATATCTGTTGAAATGCCATTACGGAGACTTTCCACTCCCTATAACCACTTCAACCCCCTTCCAGCTACTGTGCAAATACAACTGGTAAACAATGAGGCTGACTGGTAGGTCTGATGGCTGTGGAAATCTAGCCCTGCCCTTTGCTCAAGTTAGTGAGAGAGCGCTGCTTGTTTTTAAACAAGGGCTGAACTAGGCAGTGTCATTAAATACCGTATGTCTCTGCCCTTCCTGTGTAATTTATTACGATTTTTAAATGTAAGCTGCAGCAGGTCTGGGGAATTGTCCAGATTGCAGAAGGCAGAAGTAGGGAGCTTTTCCCCTCCCTTGCTGAAGTCCTTTGAAGCTATTTGCATAGGGAGGAAACCCCCCCCCCTCCTTTGGCGCCAGAAGCAGGGGCATGTAACCTCAGGTCTAGTTAAATATCAGCAGTTCCAAAAGGCAAGCAGAGACAATAAAAACAACTGGGAGTCCTCCTCCTCCTCCTCCTCAATCGTTTCCTAATCCCCATCCATGTCCCTTCTCCTGCCCCCAATCCCTCATGTGTGCTGTCAGTCCCTATTTTGTCCTATAACCATGCCCAAAAGCTGGGCTCACAGTGGCCATTCCACATTCTGCTCATTCAGGAATCCACACACTGCTCTTCATGTGATGAGGGGAAAGCCAGCATGTTGCAACTTGGGCATGTGGGATTATTTTTTTAAAAAAATAGTTAAACAAATGGGTCCAAAACAGCTGTAGAATATGCAAGGAGGGGGGAACCAGCAGCAGCTGAGCAGAAAAAGCCCCCACATATCAGGAGAAAAGAGAAACACACTTCTTGTAAACAAAATCTGCCCTTTTTCCCTTATGGGGGTATCCAAGAGCCACCTCTCCATACATCATACATGCATCACAGAAGGGGTGTAACCCAAGACCACCCCCCACAAACATCATACCTACTTCACAGAAAAGGTGGTCTACAACAGAAATTTGAATGTTGTTGTTTTTCCTGTCTGTCACGTTATCTGATAATGCCTTATCTGATTGCCTTTCCTGGTAGTCTGCCCATTCCTTTGAGATGGTGATTTCCCAATTCCTGAGACAATGGGAAGGCTCCCTGACCCCCCTCCCTCCTTGCAGAGAAAACATTTGGTCAGTTTGGGAGTCAAAATGGTTTCAGGTCAGTCTTCCTGTGCTGATCTATGTAAGTGCTTGGTTGGTACATTTATGAACATTTATTATATATAAAAGACCTTAAATTTTATTATTACACACTCTTCACAAGGCAGAGTCAAGATAGCTTCGTCACACCAAAGAGCGCAATTTGGTTAACAGAGCTCAAATCTATAAAAAAAAGTCTGGGTCTCACATGCAAAAAAAGTAACAGAGTTCTTTGTCCCTTTATTTTGGCATAAGCTGTCATGTGGGAATCGCCAACGGCGTGCCCTTCAGATGTTGCTGAGCCACAGCTCTCAACCGTGTGGACAATGCTCAGGGATAAGGAGAGTTGTGAGTTCAGCAACATCTGGAGAGCAGGAGCCATTTTTGTTTTGCTTTGGCTAATGTTTATGGGAAGATTGCCAGCAGTCCTCTTTGGGAAGGGGTGAGGCAAAGTGAGGGGGAGAAAAGGGACATCATCACTCCTCACTGAAATGTAAAGTTGTGTGCTAAATCCAAGTTAATTTTTGGTGTACTGACTAAAGACAACTAATCTCAGATTTCTAGTAAGGAATTAAAGGACATTTCTTTAGTAGCTGATTGATAGGGGCCCAGACTACAGGACATTCTAGCAAGACCTATTTATTCACTTTGCTCTAGGTTTGACATACTTAACAAAACAAAGTTTTACTCTCACGAAAAGCCTTTACGCTACAACATTTTAGAACTCCCCTGGTGGTAGGGCTCTTGCGCTGGATTATCTCCTCATAACACTAACTCTGTCAGAATAGAGTCTATTGATGAATCTTGTTTCACCATTTTGAAAACATTATTCCACGTAATATACCCAATACCACAAACAATTGCCAGAAGGCCCTTGGAACTGGACATCAGTGTCCTGGCTGAACGATGGGAATGGAGACGCTCCTTCAGGTATACAGGGCTGAGGTTTGAACAAGCTTTCAAGTAACCTAGCTTGGAACACTTTGTTAAGTTGGATGATGCACAAAAGCAGGGGTGGGAGATGAGTAGAACAAGAACAAAAAGTACTAGACTTATGGCAGGCAATCTACTGCATTTGCAGCACCCTTTCTTCCTCAGTCTATCATCAGCTGAAAGACTTGGGTGCCTTGTCCTTAAAGCCCTTACATATTGTAGAGTCCCCATACCTTTTGCTGTCGGGAGGCAATTTGGAAATCTAATAAACTGTCGAGGGCACAAGAAGATACCCATTTTGCAGAAGAAAAACTGGTGATGTAGCAGACAAAACACCAACACATCCAAAGCAAGTAAGAGACAAGAGAGTGAGAGAGACAATCCCCCCAACAAACATGTAACCTCCCCAAACAAAAACAGACACAACGCTGTTCATAAATAACTGGGAGGATTGAAGACCCCAGTTATAGAGGGTTCAACAGAGTGGAACTATAGCATGGAACTTCAACCGGTGCTACGCAGTTTGATCATATTACACCAATTTTGCATCAGACACTTTAGTTACTCATTCCCAGGCTCAACTGAAAGGACTGGTGCTGGCCTCTAAAGCCCTGAATGGTGTGGGACCAGGTTTGCTGAAGGACTACCAACACCAGGGATGGGGAACCTCCATTTAGAGCACAATGCAAGCCGCAAGGATCAGCTGATACTTGGGTTTGAGTGTTTTGCACATAGAGCTATACAACCCCCACAAATCAGAGACACCCCCCAAAAAAGTTTTTTTTATTAGATTTCTTATTTGCTCTTCACTGTATGGTTCCAGGGTGGGTAGCAAGCAGTACATTCATGCAAACAAGTAAAACAGTTTATATAATATTATAAAAACCAAATAAAATGATTTCAAGCAAAAGCAATAAGCTTCAGAAAAATGTCAAGGGACCTAGGAATAGAGTTAGAAAGCCACTACTCTCTATCTTTCACCAAAAATCATTATTCCACTCTTGGGTATATTCGGAATAAATGTGTAGTTTTACTAGCTTTCATAGGAGGATACAGTAGGGAATTCAAATCTGACTTATTGCACACTTGGCCAGTTTGTGATGAGAGAGCTTCTGGGTAGTTGCACTAGGCCCCTTAGGGACTGACTGTTCCATCTGTGTGCATCTTCATACGCATTTCTGAACATGTCAGCATATATTACAAACTTTAGCTAGGTATAAAATCATTTTTTATCAGGTACTATTAGTCATTCATCGTATTATGGAGCCGACAGACATACAGTAATTACCATCTTGCCAAGGCCCTCTTAGGCTGGCAGGCATTCATGCTGTAGCGCTTCCTCAAGTCACAGAAGCAATACTAACCCTCTGTAATTATCACTAGGAGACAGAATCACAAAGGAGCACAGCTTGGGAGAACAAGAGCTGCAAATTCAGTCATCACAGTTTAGCAAGCGGTTGCTGATGGAAAGAGCTACATCTCACTCTTCAGAAACTCATTTGAGTGAGTGGCAGATCCTTCATGACTGGGTTGGTGTAAGGCACACACACACACACACACACACACACACACACACACACACACACCAGTCTAGGGGGTGAATGGTAGAATCATCACAGAGTTCTTTGGAAATGCAAAGGTTGGCAAAAGGACACTCAGTGCTCAGGAAGCAGTGTTCCTGTAGAGAATTGCTGTGCACATCCTTTCAAAGCAGCTCTAGGAAAAGTAGCAAAGCACCTTCAATCCTGTGCCATTACCAATGACTTCCAAAAGAGCCAGTATTTCAATTGCATTACAACTGAGCACTTGTTATTCACCCAAAATTGTGTAAGTAGTAGAGAATAAGGAAACACATTCCATCAACAGCCTTGACTCAACATCTGCAGTCTTAATGCAGATTAAGTACAAATTACATGGGAGCCTCTGTGGTCCAATTTATGCAGACAAAAGGAATGAAAGGTTTTTGTTTTGTTTTGTTTTGCTGATGTTAAAGGAGATTCATGGGATTAAAAAACCCACATTGTACAAAAATATGTTTCCAGTCATCTGACAAAGGGTCGTTCTTTCAAAATCCATAGCGACTGATTCATCTTTTTCCTTCCTGCTCTTCTGGCTATGTCATTATGCCAATTCAGATTTCAGCTGACGGGACAAGATTGCTCTGACACAAGACATGAATATTACTTTGACAAACAAGGAATTGTTATGAATGAGTGGGTTGTTGCTCCAAGGCCAATTTGATAGCCTTACCTTCAATTTTCTAAGTCCACATGCAGATACAGACTGTAGCAAATTGAGGAGCTGTAAAAAGGAAGATCTCTTCTTTGGGTTGAGACCACCTGCTCTTCAAAACACCAAAAATCTGCTCCAGGACAGGGATGTACATGTGTACATTTCCCTATGCCAGCAGATATCCCTGGTAGCATTCGGTGGCTTGCAAGCATTTGCCCCGGAGGGGGATAGAAGTATGTTTGCCAATGCAACACAAGAAACACCTGGCTCCTTTTGCCTACTAGTATCACACAGTTGCTAGTGCAAGAGGAGTCTGTGACAGGCAGCAACCACAATCTGCACAGTAGGCTACTGTTTTTTTAGGCAGAGGTGAGGCATGCATAATAGAGAATGCTGGAGAACTTACAATTCCAATAGACTCCCCTACTTCCAAAACAAATAAATCAATGAAAATTACTGTATTTTTCGCTCCATAAGACACACTTTTCCCCTCCTAAAAAGTAAGGGGAAATGTGTGTGCGTCTTATGGAGCGAATGCAGGCGAGAGGCTCTGCTCAGCGCTCCCTTTAAAGAGCCGTGTGGAGCGTGTGTGCGGCTCTTGGGGGCTTTTCCCTGAGGAGGAAGAAGGGCAGCTCTGCTCAGAGCTCCCTTTAAAGAATTTTTTTCCCCTTGCATTCCCCCTTTAAAAACTAAGTGCGTCTTATGGTCAGGTGCATCTTATGGCATGAAAAATACAGTAGCTACCAACTGATTGATTAATCTCAAGGCTCACTTTTATAGCATGACCAGTAATATAATATTAGTCTGGATTCACAACTTTTCATCAAGGTTTGCCTAGCAACACAAATCGTGTTTAGCTACCTTCTGTGCCAAATTGCTGTTTTGGACATTGAAACTGAACACGCCTGCTAGGACAGATCTGGGCTTGTCTCTTCCAAGGAAACGGCCTTGGCATCCTCATGTCGGATAATCTTTGCTACCAAGACAAGGGCATTACTTCTTGTCCTTTGATACAGCAGTCCCCAGAGGCAGTTTCAAATAAGAAAAAACACATTTGTTGCAATTATCATTTTAAAACCCTAAAGCTAGCTACCTCCATGTAAATAAAGCCAAGGTCACTGCAATACTCCCATTAGACGAAGCCATGAAAAGTGAGTTTATGTACTGCCTTTGTCAAGATGACAGATTTCATCCTCCTCAAAATTTCAGAAATAACCATGTGAGCTGTAACATCCCTTGGTTTTACTGCCTTTCTAGGAAAGTCATCAAAATATTTGTCTTTTATTTACTTGACTGCAAATGCATGTAACCTTTGTATGTCACACTGAAATCTAACTTTCTGAAGAAGTGAATCTGCATTCTGATCTGGGAAGGTAAATAAGGCTTGTCCCCAAGCTACTGAAAATCTGAGAGGATAACATTTGGGAACTGTGTGCTAAAACTAAAGGCTGGTAGTAGTTACATAAGACCAAACCCACTTTTTTTTAGAAAGGCAGAGGAAGTCCCATAAAGTATTAATATAGTTTAGTCTGGCAATGTTCCCTTTGGTTCATACTGAGCAAAAATTTAGTTCACATCATTCTTGCCAATTTGTTTACTTGTTCAGTTATTCCAACTACTGTCAGTTTGTTTTTTCAACGGCCCTCTTTCTCTCTCACCATTAGCTTGGAAGAACCATTTGTGCTGGTGTGAACTAAGAAACAGTTATAAACAGTCTATTATGACCTGAAGGCACAATGGGAAGAGATAAACCCAGCAGTATTGAAGTCTACTACAACCTCTTTCTTCATCTTAGTTGGAAGATTCGGTAAACACCTGCATCCAAAATAAGCAAAGCAAAATTGCCCTGGTTATTTGGTGTGTTTTTTAAAAAAGTTGTTGACAGTTTCAGCATTTAAACCTTTATTGCACAAGATATAAAACATTAAAATACCTTACAGATGCATTTTACATAGACATGACAGACAAAAAACAGCTGAGCGCCATAAGTGGTTCTACACAGCTTCAGTGCTTCTTCATACTGTTAGAGGCACGCAATGCTGCTTTGGTACCTGGAAGAGGTGGAGACTGCCAAACAGCTGAACTTGTGCGCTTGAAATACCTCGGCTTACTTTTGTAGAAGATAGCTTCTAGTTTAGGACTTAAGATTACTCCAAAGAACTTGTTGATGTCCGGAGGGTTGTAGTATTGGTATGTAACAGCTTCATTAAGCTGAAGACCTGAGGAAACAAGCAGTTATTCTGTGAGTAATCCTTCAAGTAGCAACACATCTCCACTTGAAACACTTCTACGTAGGGGGAAAAATGTGAAACCCAATCTATGAGTGGACTCTAGCCAGCAGCTCAATTCAGCTGCAGCACTCACAGGATCTAGGTATGGCTCGGCCTACATACGGAATACCCCACTGTAATTATCCAATAGTCTCCACCACACAAGCAGACTTATCACTTTGATTCAAAAAACCCTAAAGGAATTAAAAAGCAAGTTTGTCAGATGACCAAATAGAGGCAGGCCTGTAGAACAGAAATTATATTTCAAGCTGGTCAAGTTGGCTACACGATGAATCTCCTTTTTTCCCCCTGTAAGATTTTATTAAAGCTTTTTCGCAATGCAAGAAACTAAATAAAAAACAAAAACAGAGGAAGAAAGAAGAAAGTGCAGAGTCCTCTCTCAAAGGTAGTTCTTAACCCACAGAAAGCGGGGGACCCTCCCAGCTCTCACCTGGGGGCTTGCCTTTCTTCTCCCAGTCTCTCACCCCAAAAGATCTTCCCTTCCTTGCATCTTACTCAGGGTCCTTCCACCAACCATCCACCATCCAAAAAGAGCATCTCATAGAGAGCAATGAAGCCTACATTGACTTTGCTCTCTCCGTAAGGTTGTGTAGAGGCGCTGTAAAGGCTCTTGTGGTACTGTCAGGTTCTTGTAGGAGAACTGAGCTCTGAGAGATTTGTTTATGTATTTTACGTGTTAGGACAGACCCAGCAAAAACCGAGAGGACCCTCAGAATCTGAAGCAAGAACCCTGTAATTTCAGTGATACCATTTTGCGGCCAGTGAAAACTCACTCTTACCAGTGGCCCATGCAGGGATGGGTTTCCTGGGCTCACTTTCGTCATCCGTGGAGTCATCGCTATTCAAGTCCATTCCATAGTCATTGTGGTTGACTTTGAGGGACTTGGTACCTTTCAGACCTTGGGGACTCATTTGACTAGAGCGGCCAGCAGGAGATTTCTGTAATAAAGACGAGGCCTGAATGGATTGGTTAATGTTACAGGTGCAGCAATTTGCCAACAGGGCTCTGTGGCTACCCATCTTCCAGTGCCTTCTTAAGTTTCTTATTATGCAAGCACCTCAAATGACACTGTGGATATGTCCTCTGGGATCATTAATCACTATGAAAAGCTTATGATTACCATATCAGAATATTTAATATGGAAGACGGATGCTCTAATGAGCTTGAAGTTTTTTATTTTACTTTCTGTAATGTGTGTATATTATTATTATTAAATTTATATACTGCCCTTCATCCAAAGATCTCAGGGTGGTTCACAAGTTAAAAAGATAGAATCACAAATAAATAGTTAGAAGCAAAGCAAAGCAAAACAAAACAAAAACACCCATCCCAAATACATTTAAAAGGCCATAGAATATTAACCAGCCCAAGGCCTGGTTGAAGAGAAACATTTTTGTCTAGAACCTAAAGATATATAATGACAGAGCCAGGTGAGCTTCCCTGGGGGAAGCATTCCACAAGCAGGGAGCCACCACAGAAAAGGCCTGTCCTTGTGTTGCCACCCTCCAGACCTCTTGCAGAGGAGGCACACGAAAAAGGGCCTTAGATGATGGTTGCAGAGGCCAGGTTGGTTTATAAAGGGAGAGGCGGTCCTTGAGCTATTGCAGGCCTGAGCCATTGGTGGTACAGTCCAAAAGATAAATAGCTAGGGAGATGCTGGTGACTGCGCCACAGTACTAAAAGGCACCAGCTATGCAAGTTCCTGAAAATTAAGGCTTGAGATTGGTAGTTCCAGTTTGTCTATCAGAATATGCCACCAGGGAGTGGCTACTTCAAGAATGAATACATGAATGTACATGATGCAAAAGCAGCCAGTTACATTATACACCGGAACTGAGCTTGTTCCAACATGCTGACACTTTGAAACACCACGAAGTCTAGGACTTCACAGACACACAAGGGCATTGCTATATATAGCGCTCACAGCTTCCTCCTTAACTGGCTGAAAGAAAATAACTCCAGGTCTAACCAGAACAATGCTGAACTGCATTTTTGCTGGCTTCTAGTAATCAATCCTTCTCCTGCGCTTTTGTGAGTTATTGGAGCTGCACACCAGATACTCACAAGGCAACATGGGAGATTATGAAGTTTCACCTCCCTCATTCTGGTTGCTGCCAGGCTAAATGGAATAGCGTACCGGTAAGTGTGTGTGTAGGGTGCGAGACACCATTGCTCCAAAGTAACCCCCTCAGTATTAGGAAGTACTGCTTCTTCTAAGTCCTTCCTATGGGGGTGCTACAGCCAGTACATTTTTTCTTTAAAAAGGTTTAGGGGGTTCTCTCATTTTGACTCAAGAAAATGACCATTTTATAGTTCAAATTGGGAAAAATAAATACAGCAAAAGGACAAAAGTACAAAGATTCACAAAAGGTTAGGGGTATGTGTCCCCCCAGAAAAAAGCACTGGCAACAGCCATGGAGGGGCTGCCCTTTACAAATATTCCCAGTCTTCTTTGATAACAGCAGTCAAACAGCTTAGTTTATCATATTCTCATGCCCCCTTGTGCTCATTTGTTAGAACTGCAGCACCTTTAGAATTCATAAACAGCTGTAGGTTTCTTCCAATATGTATTCAAAAGAGTGTTATTTTTGATGCCTTGTCTCCTTCAAAGAGGAAGGAAGTGTACAGCCTCAGGAAATGCTTAATGCAGCGTCTGGGTCACAAAACTCACTCAAAACCCTATGCCAGTGACAGCCAAGCGGCTGTGCTAGGTGGTATTGGTAGGGTGAGGGGAGAAGAGAAATAAAAGGTCCCCAAGTTGGAGGCATTTAACATTCAGCAATATACCACCTGGCTGTTCTTGATCTGCTTTAATCACAGTGTAGGCCCCACTGATGCTTTGAGGTACACTACACAGCAAGGATACACTGCAGGACAACTGCTTGCTCTATAGCCAACAAGTGAGGGGAACTGCAGAAACAGACACTGCCCCATCCCCAAGTGCTTACTTAAGAGGCAAAGGGAAGGGAGGAGCAACAGAAGGCAATTTTGGACTGCGTCTGCCCACTGCTCAGGGCATAGGCAGAGTGAATATATCTCCGAGCATAAAACGGAGGACTGCTTTTAATTTCAGTTACTGAAAAGGTGTCACAAGTTTGTGAGATACCAATGGACATCCAAGTCACTTTCCAGTTCAAAGCCCAGGTATCTGACTACAGGCCTCAACTATCTATTGCTTACCTGGGCAGTTATATTCAACCATTTATTAGCAGCAGGAACTGTGTCCACCTGCATAGCTTTCTTTTCTTGCTGCAGCTCGTCTAGGCGGGTAGAATTCTGTTCATCCTATTGGCAAGATCAGATTTATTAGCTGACCATTCTACAATGGTCTTTGATTCCATCCACTTCACCCAGACTGCATTGAAATTTAGCAGGGTAGCCTCTTCACTAGAAGGCACCAGCAGCTATTTTTTGTAAAGATGCAGAGGGTCTTCAAAAAACAAGTTTCTTTTCAGAAAAATCCATTAAGATGATCCACTAATAAGTCCGTTAACTCTTCCTGCCTGCTCCCCCATCATCAGTGAAGCATAATTGTGATCGCTACCTTTCCCCGGGTGATTCCCCAGACACCCATCCCATTCCCCGAAGAACAAATATAACTGTAAACTCAGTTCTCTTGTAGAGCATATCGTGCAAAAAATGTGCACAAACTTACAATCTGGTTCAGTATGGTGGGAACATAGCTGCACAAGATTAACACAGCACTTTACAGAATTTAAATGGTGTCAGACAAGCAAGTACTCAATTCAAGCAGTTCCCATCAGCAGTACAAGGGTCAAGTTGATGTCCTGCATTTTGAAAATGCATCTGCTAAAATTAGAGGGGTTTGTTTACATAGCTGCTGGCAAGTGGGGCTTTATGCCCAGCCCCACTTCAAATCCTGGTTTTCCAATTCCTTGGCGTACCTTCAGATTTTCTTCCTCTTCTGTAACTACTGCTAGCTCCTGGGGTCTCACCAATTTCTCTTTATCATGCTGTCCATGGTGTCTAAAAAGTGAAAGGAGAGCATACATAAACATGTTTACTTGTGACTAGATTACTAGCAAGTGTGTGTTAGGACTGCAGCTTTAGGCAGTTTCCCTTAATTACAAAATGCACATATTACCCCAAAGAAAGCCATATGGTTTTAGAACTGGCCCTTTTACACACAATTTTGGGAAGTCATCAGAATTGCATCTACACCATTCCATCAAGTGTTCCTAGGGTCATCCAACCTTGTAACCGAGGAAGCAAAGTCCTCACCCTTTCCCCTGTTTTGTGCAATTGTGCTCCAGCATTTTCTTAATTTCTCCAACGGTCTTCCACTCTCGAAGTTTGTGCCCTTCTTCCTGAAACAAGGAGTACAGAATCAGCACCCACCATAAACACGAAGAGCAGGTGGGGAAATGCCAAATCCCTGTCGTGCAGTGTTTCTCAACCTTGGGTCCCCAGATGTTGTTGGACTACAACTCCCATCATCCCTGAGCTCTGGCCTTGCTAGCTAGGGATGATGGGAGTTGTAGTTCAACAACATTTGGGGACCCAAGGTTGAGAAAGGCTGCTGTAGTGCAACGAAGAGAACTCTGCCCCATTATATTTAACTGCTGCTTATGTGCACAACAGTAATTGTATTAAGAGAGGTTTTATTGTAACAACAAGGTTTATTAAAACATAAATAGCCAAGCAGAATGCTTTAGAAACAAACCAAGCAGTTCAGACAATACTTCTCAATTCTCACCCATACGTGCAGCGAAAACCACAGTGGGACTTGGGTGCTTTTTTCATGGCTCCCCAGGAGATATAGAAGGTAATGTCTGAGCTAGAGGATTTTGCATTTAATATCTCTGAGGGCATGTGGCAATGGTATTACCTCTTATCCACATGAATGCTAGGAAGCTAGATGCAAAGACATTGGGGTAGGTTTTAAAAACCTACATATTCTCACCACCAAGAGTCCCTCCATATTTTGCTCACTCCTCACCCCTTCTGACAACTCCTTGTGGTCTGGCTTTGTTAGTAGGAAACAACAGGTCAGCGGAGATTTAAATGCATCTTCCTCTTTCCAAGGAGACCTCCAGGGTTTGATACTTCAGGCAACAGCAAATGCACTTTTCAGGATTACAATAAGACGTTGCTCAGGAGTTTGACTATTTCAGTCTCCAGCATGCAGGGCTTAATCCTCTGCCTCAGTTTCATTCTCTTCTGTACACCCTTTCACTTGACATTCAATACAGTGCTCACCATCTGAAGCACCTTCTGTTTTCGCGCTTCTGCTTCCCCCATTTTCTTAGCAGATATTCTTTTCTTGGTCTTTTCCTCTGCTACTTTCTCTTCCCGCACCTGTGTGAAAGATCCTTTTATATTTTAGTTTTCATATTTCAGACCTCAAGACCATACTGAATAACAATTCATATAGTATCTGGGAGGGAGGAGGGAGAACAGAACCCAGTTAAGAATTATCAACCCTACATGCCTGTGAAGTACTGATTTGAGTTTATGATCTCAGTGCCGAGTACCAAGAGCGATCCTGTAGTCAGTGCCAGACCAGAACTGAAGAGACCCAGCTTCAGATCCCCACTGGGTGTAGCTCATAAGGTGACCTTGAGCTAGTTGTAGCCCCTCAGCCTCCCTGGCCTCACAGGATTGCTAGGAGCAAGGCTCGGGAACCAAGTGCCCTCCATATGTTCTTGGACTGCAACTCCCATCATCATTACCTTGGGTCACAGAGGCTGGGGCTGATGTGAGTCAGAGTCAAGAAACATCTGAGCGAAAGTTCTTCAGCTCTTGTTAAAAGGCCAAACCAAAAGTAGCCAATGTGGTGCTTTCCGGAGATTGTTGGACTACAACTCCCATCAGCCTCAGTCAGCATGGCCAATAGTCAGAGATAATGGGAGCTGTTTTCCAGCAACTTCTGGAGGATACCACATTAGTGACCCCTGGATTACATATACTGTATACAAAGAATTAACGTTGGTAGCCTATTTAATAAAACATAAAACCACATCTCTCAGAATGGATGACACAATATACCAATAGGAATCCGCTTACATGCTCTGACCACTGTCATTAAAAGGCTAGGAAGAAAATGGGACCATCTCCTACCTTCTCGCTCCTTTCTTCATGTTGAGATAACTTCTGCTCCATTCTCCTTCTCTTTTCTTCCCCCATCTGCTCCACCCGTTCTCGAGCTTGCAGTGTCTTTCTTAGCCGTTCTTCCCGCTTTCTGTGAGATGTAGAGAAATAGGTGTGTTTATAGTAGAGGCTGGGGAACCTTAGGCCTGGCACAAAGCCCCAATTTGGCAAGCAATGCTGCTTCCCCCAAACCACGTCCACCAGGCCCATACCTGGCATGATATGTGGGATCAGGTATGGGGCAGGCAGGGAACGCGCCACAGGGAACCTTAACATGCACTCCCAATTGCTCATTAGCAAGGAAGGCTTGCTATCATGGCCAATCAGCCTGCTGGAAGTGGCTGCAGTACAGAGCTCCCCATGGGTGTAATTTGTATAAATGGCCTGCCATGCCTAGCTTAGACTGCAGGCTGGACTTATCTAGGTGAATGGCCCCCAGTTATGCAAACGGGACTGAGGGTGAACAGCTACCTACAGCCTTATCTCTTCTAGTCGCCGCTTTTTTTCTTCCTCAACTTTCTGCTTCCTCTGCTGCTCAGCTTCTTGCTTTTTCCGCAAACTCTCAAGACGCTGTCGCTCCTTTTCCTATGATGTGTAGAAAGTTTAGCCTACTTCCGGTTGTGGCAACCATTTATTATTATTATTATTTACTATTATTATTTATTATTGACCCAATAGCCAAGAAAAGCAATGTTTTCTCCAACCTCACTACCACGAGTTAAAGCCAGATCAGTACGTGTAGCAGTACTTAGGTACGTGAAACACCAAAACCTTCCGAAAAGATCCATATGCAGCTAAAATGGGTAGTGCATTTAGGGCAGTTAAGTCTTTTTTAAAAAAACAATTCCCAGGCCACAAAATGAGAAAAATAGTTACTTACAACAAACTCTCCCTTTGGTAGGATGAATATGAAAAGGAAAGGAAAGACAAGTTACTTAGTTTCCAAGTCTAAATGCTAACTAACCAGTTCATTAGAGTGATTCAATAGCAGTTCCTTCTGCCTTAGTAAAGGAAAGGCTTGTGAGAAGATGCAAAATGGCCCCGGGGCCCAGCAAATAACCTCTTTACCTTATCAGTAATAACAGAGGAGAGAGGAGGCAAATAAACCCCAGTTTGCTGCCTTAAAGCTATCAAAGATCCCAAGTTCCACAGCAGGAATCGGAATTAAATTAAACCAAGCCAAAGCTGGGAAGTCCAACAAGCTTAATTTTGAAGAGACTTCAGCCGTGCTTCAGATAGGACAAAGGGCAGAAGATGATGGCTTGGTCTGACTGGTGACCTCCCAAATTGGTTTCCCCAAGAGTAAGGCAGACCGATCGAACCCACATGCACAAGTGGAGGAAGAAACTTCTCTTGCTGGTATGCGCTGGAAATTTCCCACGAGGCCACTTACAAAATGACAGTCCTAGCCCCAACCTCACATCTCTCAGTGTGATAAAAGGATGCATAAGCCCACACTATTAGTTCACCAAACCCAATCCAGCTGGCAGCAGTTCTGCAAGGTCTCATGCAGAGGTCCCTTAGCCCTGCTACGCAAGGTAACTGCAGCTGCCAGGAGCTCAGTGTGTAGCAGAGTTTTAACTTGAGCAGCATCCTTGACACCTACCTTGGAGGTAGGCTTACTGGGGGTGCCACGTTTGATGAGATTTTTCATGACACTATTGTGGCCTGCAGACCCTGGGGATTTGAGTAGCTGGCTCTTCTGTATTGTCTGGAAGAAGTTTTTGAAAGGCCGAGTGATCTGTCGGAAGAGTATGGATGTTCTTAGTAGCTGGCCGGTGCTGTGGCATCAGAAAAGGGCCATTATGTTGTCCTTGGCGTTTACTTACCTTGCCTGGGCCAGATAAGGGCTTGTTTGCAGGAGACGTGGGTTTGTGACTAGGAAGAGAAGTGCCTTCATCCTGTGTGTGCTGGGCAGCAGGCAGTTCATCCATTGCTTGTTTATAACTCTGGCTCCTGAAAAGAGCATTAAGTGTATACATAGCAATCCCAATTACATAAATTATCCTTGCTGTCAGAGATCTGAAGACTCCCAACGATTAAGCATGATCAAAAGGTTTTGGGCCTCTTACTCATAGAGGTCAAGGTGCCCTATAAGCTCTCCAGTGACGCTCAAAAAAAAACAGGGGAGGGGGAGAGGGATTACAGAGGAAACCACAAAAACAAAACAAAAACCTAGCAAGCACAAGAAATAAAAAACCTTCTATATATTTTTGAATCCAAAATTTTGGACTCTTCAGATAGAGTAAAATAACACCTTGATATAGTAACATGTTCAAGAATATACAGTTGTTCTTGGAAGTAAAACAGAATCCGTTCCAGAAATCTGTTCCAACTTCCAAAACGTTCGGAAACCAAAGCATGGCTTCTGATTGGCTGCAGGAAGCTCCTGCAGCCAACTGGAAGCTGCGGAAGCCCCTCAGGCGTTTGGGTTCCAAAGAACATTCGCAAACTGGAACACTCACTTCTGGATTTTCGGTGTTCAGGAGCCAAAACATCCAAGTACCAAGGCATTCGGGATCCAAGGTACCACTGTATACTGTTATGCCACATGGTTTCATGATAGCCAATTTTGCCTGACACTTCCAATTCTGAGTCAATGTACATGTATTAAGCTTACCCAGATATCCAAATTTCCTCTGATCTGTTATACTAGGAGATGTTCATTATGGAGCTTTTACCAGTAAAGATAATGGACTGCATACTATTTCTAAGTCCACCCACCTGCCAATGGTGACCCACAGAGTGGAGGGATGGGGTGGGGGGGATAAGAAAAGAGAGAAGAATCTGGCTCACTGGCTGGACCCATCCTGGAAGAACTCATCTCCCAGAACAAAGATAAGCTTTCATCAGATATACTTGTGTAACCAATCCCTAACACAAGGCGTCATGATACTTTCCAGGAGAACTCTTTCTACCTGAAACAACTTTTGGTAACTGCATTGACAGGAAACTGAGGTGGATTATATCAAAACTGAAAAGAAAAAAGAGAGGCCACACCAGATTATGCTCCCAAAAGAAAACATACCGTATATTCTGCAATTGCTCCTGGGGACAGCTCTGGGCTGAATAGTCAGCTCCACAGACCTGGGTGTCAGTAATTTTAGTTTCAGCTGTTTCTGTGGAGAAGGCACAATTAGTTCAATGAAGGGTATTTTCCTGAAACAGTATCACAAAAGCCACCCTCAACTGATGGCAGCTAAGGTTAGGTGGAAATTGTACTATGGGCGCAACGTGTACTCTAGACGATGCTAACCTAGGCATAGTAACAGTATGGCAGGATTCAGGTCTCTTGTGCCTGGATCTTTTCCACCGGAAGGACAAGATGCTAAGCATTTATGCAGGTTAATTTATATGACAGCTCCCCTTTATTCTAAACTTGGAAACACAACCCATATAATTAAAATTCTAAAGAAACAAAAATAGATTTTTAAAATAAAAAGAAAATGATTCAAACAATGCTATAGTGGGTTGATGGCAACTTCTACTTTCATTTCTTTCACAAAGTCCTATGCTGCGCAGGCAGCTTTGATTGCATGAAGCTGTTTACCTTTACTGCATGATTCCCCTCGCTGCACCTCAAGCGGAACTGGACTTTGCACAGTGCAACAAATATTCAGACTAGGTGCACCCAGAGTACAAGTCATATTTTGTAGTGTGTTCAAAGCCTAAAGGAAAAAATAATGTTTTAACACTAGAGTGACAATCCTTCCACAAGGTTGAGCGAGCTGAATCCTAGATGAAGCACATGCATAACTTTTATTAAAAGGTAAAGGACCCGACAGTTAAGTCCAGTCGCGAACGACTCTGGGGTTGCGGCGCTCATCTCGCTTTACAGGCCAAAGGAGCCAGCGTTTGTCCACAGACAGTTTTTTCTAGGTCATGTGGCCAGCAATGACTAAGCCACTTCTGGCACAATGGGACACCGAAACCAGAGCAACTCACACAAACAGTAAAATAAGCACGTGCCATTTTTCACGAAGAAAGATGAAAGAGAGAGAAATATTAAAAGTCTATTTCCAAGAAAGCAGCTATATAGCACCCAGTGAGGGAACCCAACCGAAGTCAAAGAAATATTCAAACACCAGAAGCAGGAGTCTTGGGATCAGTTTATACTATTAGAAGAACAAAAAAAACCTTCTTAGACTAGCACTACAGGCAGTGGTGTCATGGGGGAGAAAGGAGAGAAGGCATGCTTATTCAATTCCTCCACATAAAAGCTAAAATATCTGGGCAAAGGGTTCAGTGTGGTCATGTAGGTTGGGCCTACCTGGCTTAGAAAAGACAGAGAGTCAGAGATATGTAAAGTTGAAAGGGACCACAAGGGTCATTTAGTCTAACCCCCTGCAATGCAGGAATCTTTCACCCAACATGGGGTTCTAACCCACAACCCTGAGATTAAGAGTCTCATGCTCTACTGACTGAGCTGCCCCTCCATAACATAGCAGTGGTGGTGTCTTATTTTGGCAAATTAAGGTGAAAAATATCCCAACACAGTAGCAGCCGGCAATACAGACTTAATTACTTGCATTAGTTAAGATGGATAATGTCTGTTCAGTTGCACAAGGGGTAATAGCTCTATCTTGACACAAGAACCTACCGTATTTTTTGTCCTATAGGGCGCACCGGCCCATAGGACGCACCTCGTTTTTTTGGGGGGGGGATGAAAAAAAAAATTATTTCCCCCCCCCCAGCCGCGGCTGCCGCCCCAAGCCTTGTGCACACCTGCCTGAAGCACGGGGCGCCCTCCGGAGGGCTCACTGTGCTTCGGGCTGCCGCCCCAAGCCTCGCATGCCCGGCAGGACCTCCCGCCGGGTGCGCAAGGCTTGCGCACACCCGCCCGAAGCACAGGGCGCCCTCCGGAGGGCCTCCCGTGCTTCGGGCTGCAGGCTGCTGCCCGCAAGCCTTGTGAGCCCGCGGGAACTCCCGCCGGGCTTGCAAGGCTTGCGGATAGCTTCCTGAAGCCTGGAGAGCGAGAGGGGTCGGTGTGCACCGATGCCTCTCGCTCTCCAGGCTTCAGCGAAAGCCTGCATTCGCCCCATAGGACGCACACACATTTCCCCTTCATTTTTGGAGGGGGAAAAGTGCATCCTATGGGGCGAAAAATACGGTAAGTCCCTGCAATGAGATACTTTTACAAGTCTAATCTGACACCCAAAACAGAAAACAGGGGTGTCAAATAAAAACTTCTTCCCAAGACCACACACAAGGGTTAAGACTCAGAACCTCCAAGAGGCTCATGTCTAAGGCCCTAATTTACTTCTCTACCCGACAGATACAACACTTAGTTTTCCTCTGCATTTTGCACAAGTCTCCAAGTTTTGTTTGGATGCCTTTTAACACGGAGCATCTATCACTAGCCATCCTGACAGAACTAACTGACCGGTCCTCTGATCCAACCGATAGATTCGTACAAGATTATGAGGGAAAGTGATCTGAACTAAAGCAGGTGCAAAGAAAGAGCAGGCAATTCACCAAGTGTAACCCAGTGAATAGCTTATCAATACCTTACCTCACTGGTTTCAGCATTCTTTGCCAAAAAAGGCCTAAGGAGAGTCATTTTGACAAAGCATTACCCATCCCAACAGAGATCAAAACAATGGCTGCATGAACAGATTAAAACCTTAAGGCACTTCCAAAGAACAATTGATGGGTTACTTGAACAGAAGTTGAATCTTCTGATAGAACAAAGCTGAAAGAACAGCATATTGTGTCCCCAGGTCTAGCAGTCTACTTTTTTTATGCCCTTCAGGGTGCAACTTCAGAAGTTTAAACTGAACATAAGACTCCAAGGAAAGGTAAAGACTTTTTGCAGAGCCACTGGTCTTAAAGTGGACAGTAGAAAACAGGAATGGAGAGCTTGTAGACCTCCATAAGTTGTTGGACTCTGGCTCCCATCATCCCTGACCACTGGCAATGCTGGTTGCAATTGATGTTGCAATGACATTAGGAGGCCCACAGGTTCCCCAGTCCTGACGTAAAGTGACTTTAAGCTATATGTTTATTAGGAGCCTCAGAGCTGCCAAGAGAGCAATGACCAATCCTTTAGTCAAGTGTGCCAGAAAGACATCCAAAGTGTTAAATAAGCACCATTTAAGCATATATCACAACACATATGTATGCAATGAACCTCTTTATACCCTGGGGACATTTTACCAGTAGATTCCTGAGCTGAGGAGCAGATCGCCACATAAATCTGGGAAGGCGAGGAGTATAGGCCAGACAACTAGGGCTTTCTTGTCAATTAGGACCAAAAGCTCCCTCTGCCACTTGTGACCTTAGTCAAGAACCAAAGTGCAACAGAGCCTTGAGACTGAGGCTGCTCCCAGTCTTTGCTCTTCCACCGTAAACTACAGACAGAACCGCAACTTATTTTCCACATTATGAGTATTTTTCTTAAGTGTGCATTCCACTAAGATCCATCCACACTAGAAGGCATGACATAGATGCTGTGGGTAGGGTGTTTGATGCTCAACACACATTAGCAAAACACTTGTGATAGGTGCCATTTTATGACCCTGTTTGTTTGTTTGTTTGTTTGTTTGTTTTGTTTTAACTGCCACTAAGACAATTTTCCAGGTAGGGGTGATTTTGGGTTTGGTATTTTTTTATAATGAAAGAGATATAGTGCTAACACATCACTATGCTATAATGTTAACATTTAAAATGAATTAAAAGGAAAACATATTTCTCTTATTTCCATTTTAGCAACCTTTATAATGGCACTGGTCAGAATTTTTTTTAAAAAACTCTTTTTTAAAATTTAAAGTTAAAGTTATAGCAGAATCTTCCAAAGGGCTTTGATTTCTGTATGTTTGTAAAGCTTGCTCACCTGTGTTTGCTGGTTTCATCATCCATGAATATATCAATGGAATTGTGGCCTGGAGAATAAAAAAGTTAAAGAAAACCATTAGTTGAACAAATGCTTGAAGGGTAAAAGTGTGGTTTGCTTCTCTCCCTCCCATTAGCAACTCTGTCAGTCTAAGAGGCAGAACTTTAAACATATCAACAAGTTCTGCTACAGTGAATGGTGTATGTGTGTGTATTCTCTCTGGTGTGTGCACATACACATGGACAGAATTAACATACCAGCCCATTTGCTACTTGTCTTCATTCAGCACTTTCACTGTGCATGACAAAGAGCATAGTATGCCACAGGTTTTATTAAATCAGTGTTAGTTAAGGGGAGATGTGAGGCGTGAACTGTTAAGGAATACCAGTGTACTTTTCAGAGTAGTTCCTAGCATGCAAAAAGAAGGCTAATACACTGGGTGTACCAGGGTTAGCTATCAAGTTTTGAAGGCGCTCCTATTAGGAAGTGACCCCGCACTTTCTATATAAGCAGCATATTGGAGATGCCAATTTCTTTCCCATATGTCACAAACTTAAGGCTACATGTTGTCAGCTTGTAGAGCCTTACATCCCAGAAGTGAACTGAATTGTCTTTACTTACAGCTTACTTGGCTAGAGGTAGATGAGGAGTCCCAAACTGCTTTCTTCTGAGCAACGCTCTTGTGGATGGATTTCCGAATCATGCTTTTCCTTTTGTTGGCTAGTGAGTATTTCTCCGCGAGTGACACCCGCCTGCTCTTGCGAGGTCTATTTGGAGGGGGGTGGCTTGACTGAGAGTCTGCAGAAGTTCCAGTGTTGTTCTTTAAACCTTGGGAAAACTCTGCCTCGGGCACCATATTAGTGACTAATTCTTGGGAAGGAAAGTCTTCACTTTCACACATTGCTTTTTCATTCAAAGATGTGTTTGGAGTGGATGTACGCATTGACCCGACTGCATCTTTTTCTGCGTTTCCCGGATCAGTTGTGTCTGTCAGCACCAGCGCAGAGCTGTTTGCTACACCTGCAGCCTCTGTAGCCCCAGGCCTAGCAACTGAACAGCCGCTAGAACCCACAGTGATGATTTCAGGATCTCCATTCATCTCCTCATTCAGTTTTCCTGATAATTCACTATTTTGGCTACAGTCAGTACCAAGTGCTCCACCACCTGCTGGATACATAGTCAACTTGTCACACTGTACTTCTGAAGTTGGTTTAGCAACAGAGCAGGCCGCAAAACCAGACATGGATCTTGCCAACCCCACATCAATTTTTTTCAGTTTCTCTTCACATGGGGACAGACACTGAGAAGGTACTATCTTTACACTGCTTCGTCTTCTAGACAGTCTTAAAAGAGAAACAACAAATAAACATTTTGTTAAAGTTTTTTAAAATCTAAAAAAATATGTCTATTCTATGTTAAGCCACAGGGTGGCACCAGAAACTGGGATACAAATTTCAGATATTCCACAGAGGTTTTTTCCACTAGAATTGAGTGTGACCACACCAAATCCCTCCATTTTCTTTGTAGTGCTATAGACAGGATAAACCTAGAAACTAATAAATGCTAGGATTTTGGTTAATTGTGGTATGAAGGGAGAGTGCAAGCTGCAAAGGAATTCCTGGGCTGGCTTATGCAAACCAGCCTGGCTGGCTGGGAGAAGAGGAGACCTGCTAGCATTACAAAAAGGTGTTGAGGGGCCACAGAAGGATCCTTTGGCCTGGGGAGTCAGGTGTCACAATAGTTGCCAGGGTAACTGTGTGTTTGAGGGGCCAGGAAAGGGGAGTTTTGAAACAGGGGCTTCTGGGCAGAAGGAGGAGGAAGTAAGGCTGAGATCCATCTTAGAGAAGGGGACAAAAAGCCATGCTGTATGATCTAGACTCCCTCCATGCAGGCTGAAGGTATAAACAGGCGAATAAACCCTATTTCTTAAAGCATGACAGTCTCCGCCGTGTCTTCCATTCTCCAAAGGGACACAGACCTTGCATGTGTGCCTGTGACCCCATGCGCTCTTGCCACTGCTTGGCGGAGAGAGGGGCAGGCACTGGGCTTTTGTAACAATAGGTTACTCCACTGAATAGTCATTGTCCTTATTAAAGGTGCCCAGCGCAGGGTAAAACTAAGGCTTGATTTAAGCACTGCATGGTGCTGGCTGACAAGTATAATCTAGAAACAGAGAGAAGAACATGATATCAGCAAAACCTGGGAACAACCAATTTAGCAAGTTATAATTCAGTCCTAGGCAAGTACAGAATTGATATAGCTCTTTTAAATACACATAGATGAACAGCTAAAAATATTATATCTCTGTGACCTCTGACTGCAATACCTTTTTCTAGTTAGTTCCTTATATTCATCCTTAAAAGTTGAAGATCGTTTCTTCTTCCGATACTTCTTTTGAGAAGGCGTTCTGGGCATCAGCTCAGGCTCAGCACTGAAGTTGCTATTAAAAACAATCTACTGAATAATTGAACTGAACCAAAATCAAAAATAAAGATTGCAAGTTGCATTCAATGTTTGGCATATTTAGAGGAAACCCACTGAAATTAATGGACATTACTAATCCATTGCTCCCAATAGGTCTAGTCTAGCCTCAGCAAAGTTTAGTTGGATTCAATACCATACGCTGGTCCCTGTTTCAGAAGAAAATCTTAACTATTATACTGCCATTCTAGCAGGCCAGAACATGTTGCAATACCAGCCAGTTGATAGTAAAAGAATAATATATTCATATGTATTTATCACAGTGACAGCCACTGAATCCACATGCAGAAAAGCCCATTAAACAGTCAGTCCTAAACTTCTGATGCAAATATCCAGCTTATGCCAGGAGCAGAATAAAGCAAAACCAAAAACAAAACCCACATGCCAGAGAGACAGCCTTGGTTTCCATCAGACTGGTACTCTGCATTTTTTTAATCTCTTAAGAATAGTGCAGAGCTTATGGCACTGGTGGAAAGTCATATTCCCCTTTTATAAGATGCCTGGGAATCAAGGGTCAAAGCCTAAGCCTACCTATCAAACATCTTCAGGGCTTCGTCCTCGATTTCCCGCAACCACACCAAGCATTTATGTTCAGCATTGAACAAGAATTCCATGAACTTCCGACTACAAACATCTAGAAGATGAGTGGGGCCTCCTGCCTCTGCCATAGCACTGGTTAAAACAGGAGAAAAATACATTAATCATTGCATTCTGCATTTGATTACATAGTGATTTCCTCCTAGCAGCAGATAATATTGACAGCCAACCAATTTTCTTACAAACATGCTTGTCTGAGTCTACTACGGAAACTGAAGTTGAGCGAAAAAGCTAACACACCAGCAAGACAAATGAAGAGTAACCATCAACTTATACATATGTAATATTAAACAACTTACATCATGCAAAATCAGTAATAGGGAGAAACTAGGAAGCCAACGCTGCCCGGGTTTTCAATACGGTTAGGAACGGTTACTTTTCAACTAGCCTGATTAGATTTTGCTTTTAGAAGAGTTAGATTAAGCGCCATTACGTTTGCAAATTGTTTAACTCCTTTGCTGCTTGCCAGGGGCTGAATGGGGAAAGAGCCTCCTGGGTAATATAAGAAAGGGAAAAGAGGATGAGCGCAAGCCGCTCTCTCCCTACCAAGATAAAGGAGTCGAGCAAAGCTAGAGGAAAATGCTCAAAACCTGCTAGTTAATAGCAAATCCAAGGAAACAAACTTAAGTTCTCCTTTAACTTAAGTTCTCCGTCGGTTGCCCAGAAAGAGGCAAACTGCAAACCCTGCACACTGCAGGGAGCACACCTAAAACTTGCACGGTAAGTGCCTGAATTCTTAAAAACACAGCAGGACGCCCTCCGCCCGCGCGCGCCTCAGCGTTCGAAGCGAGCGCCCGCCCCCTCGCGCGCCTCCTCACCCCTTCTGCAGCGCAGCTACATCGCGGCTCACGCGCAGAGAGGGCGGGTTATACGGATAGACGACGCCTATTGGCTGCAGCCTTTGTAAGTTAAATCTTAAAGAGGACGTTGCATCCCCACCCCTTTGAACATCAGCCGGACCGAGATGGACAGGGAGACGGACTCTTTCCTAGTCTGTCAAGCCCCGAACTCAGATTTTTAAAAATAGTACAGTATGGACTGACCATTCTTTTGTTCGATGACGGGACCATTTGCTTATTTTTGAATTTTGATGGGGGGGGAGGGGAGCTCGGTAGAGGAATGAGGGCACAGCTACTTATCGGAGACAAAGGAGAAGTTTCGAACTTTATGGGAGCTGGGACTGGGCAGCTGGACCAACAAAGAAAGGAGGTCGGGCTCTTGTAAGCTCACATTTGTGTCCGTGCGCGGTGGAAAGGAAACGAGAACGTTGTCCTACCAGTGCAAACGTAAATATGTCGGGGCTGTTAAAGCCCTTTTAAGGTGCAGCTGTGGTTTTCTTCCCAGACCTGCCCCATTTTTTGTTATTTTCTGCTGAAAACCCCCCAAAGGCCAACAGCCTCAGGTTGCAGCAAGCACGAACGGCTACCCCCGGTTTACCCGCGCTGATGTTTAAACCCCCCCAAGTTTGAACGCGCCATTCACCTCCGCGCGCCCGCCCTCTCCCTCCCTGCAGCACGAAGCGGAAACTCAAAGCCAGGCAGTGAGCCGGCGGAAAGACTTCCGAGCCCTTCCCCTCCTGGCTCGCCCAGTCGCGTCTGAGCCAATAGCAGGCACCGCTCTGAAAAACCGCGCTTCCCATTGGAGCGCGGCGGCGGTGACGCTCTTTGAAAATAGGAGCGGGCGGCGTGCCTGACGTACCGAACCCTGGGCGGTTTTTCTCGTTTGGCGTGAGGTGCTCTCCGGCTCTTGCGGCGGCCGGACAAACGGGACTTGCGGCGGAGCGACGGGGGCCCAGCCCAAGTGAGTTTACAAGCCGTGGAGGGGGGGAAGCGGGCGCGAGGGGAGGCTTTCGGAGGTCGGTCTCCTGGGGACACCGGCCGTTGCTCGGCCGGCTGCGGCAGAGAGCCGGGGAGAGGGTGTAGGTGGCGTCTCGGCGGGCGTGGTGGGTGTCTGGAGCGGAGGGGCGCCTAAGGAGCCTTACAGAGCTTTGCGCGGGGGGGGGGGTGTTCAAATGCGGCCCTCCAGGCGTCATCCATTCTGCCGCTCTCACTAACTCTCGTCCATGGCCTTTGTGCCTAACACCAGTGTGCTACTGACCAGGGCTTGTGTTTCGGAATGGACAGGAGCTTACAAAAACCTGTTCTTTTTGCATGGCTCGAATGCAAATTGGTGCGCGAAGAGGTCGTAGCTGCTGCTGGTGCTCCGCCTCCTTTTTCCTCTGCTCGCTGCAGGATGCTCTCCTTGGGCTTCAGAAGGTTTCCTCTCCCCCCCCCCCCGCGCAACCTCTTTATAGGACGTGGTGTTTCCCCAGAGGGGGCTGCAAAGGCAGAAGCATCAAGTGGTTATCCGCTTTGAGATTTTTTAAAAAATATATAAAGTGGTATCGATATATAATAATAATAAATATGTCTACTCAGAAGTAAGCTCCACCCAGTGCAGCGGAACTTTCTCATGGGTAAGCGGGTCGTTTATAGGGTTGCAGCCTGGGAACTACTCGGAGGGGATGCCAGGCTGCTTGGCGACTCCTTCGGGAGCTGGTGGGCTGAGGGTCAGACCAGGCTGCGGCGGGGAGGTATTGTAAGCATACGCAAGTAGCAAGAGAGTCTCTTAGTTTCCGTATTTGGCTGCCAGGTACCGTTTGAATTTAGCAGGGCAAGCCCGAACAGAAGGAATGGGAGGAGAAAAATGGAGATATCAAAAAGGCAGAGTGAATTTGAAGTTAGAAAAAGTCGCTTCCGTATGAACCATTATTAAGTCTCCCTTTCCTGGGGAAATTGGAATCATCCATAGAAATAGAGAGAGCTAAGATTTTAAGTTGTAAGGTAGTTTTGCAACAATTCTGTAGCATTTTCCTATGGCTTGGTGAAGATTAACATACTTTCTGTTAATAAAACGTCTCTCAAGTCATTTCCAGCACTCAGCTTCATGCCAAGGCTTGCATTCCTTTGATTTGCATACAGAGTGATTGTGCTTTTCAAAAACTGTTCTTTAAAAAAGTTTGCATATTAAATAAGATTCAGACTAGGAAGAATGTGGACTCCTGTCTTTTCTGATTCACTGCTTTTTTATTGAGAGGTACCTGTTCCCCAGTTCAATATGGTAGCACCTGAATTTCTCCTTTGATTACTATTAACTGCTCCCATTTCAACTGTGGAATAGGTTTTATCTATTTAAAATATAAATTTGTGGGTATGTGTGTCATGTTTTTGAATCTCTGGGAAAGCGGAAATTGCAGGAAGGAGGTGGGTGGAGGACAAGCATGCAAAATGGCCATAGGGAGGGGAGGAAAAGCTAGCGTTGAAGGAGGTACTGTATAAAAGTGAAAAGTGTAGTGCAAAAAATAGGTTGAGTGCTTGCTTAATATTCACTGGATATTAACATCAGAAGGAGCATTTATGAAAAAGACATTTGCACAAACCAATGCTAGGTAAAAACTGAGATTATTACTGCATGTATCTTGTATGTAAGTTTACAACTTTGCACTACAATTGTGTGTGTACTTATTCAGAAGTAGTTCTGTGTTCAGTGAGGGCCTTAATACTCAAGCAAGCGCATTTAGACAGTGTTAGAAACTCAAAAATATATAGGCACCAAATGGTTCCTTAAACCAAGGTTACAGGCACCAAAATGGAATGCCCAATTACCATTTTGGGTAAGACAACTCTAAAGTCTTTCAAAGGATTGGCTGGCTGTGATTATCAGTGAAACATCTGGCTAGTTCAGATGACAAACTTGAGCTAGGTTCAGAACTTTGAGAACCTAAAGAAGAAAAGTCACTTTATCCAGGGATAGTCCACATATATATTGGCCTATTTTTCTTAACAGTGACACAGACCATTCATAACACAATATTTTTCACATCTGTGAGCAGGGCAGTGCGGTGGGGTAAGTGGAGGCAAGCTACAGCAGTTAACTATAGCATAGTTCACCACTCCTGCTCAGGCTGCACAGCAAAAGCATTTTGGTTCCTGAAATTCATTCTGATTGTACAGGTAAAATATAACTGATAGAATTCTACAGGATGTGGTATTAGTGTGTGGAAACAGTCAAGATCCAATGATCCCCAGACATGCACCTCCAGATGGTGGCGGTGTCAGGTGCCATCCTGGCATCTAGGCATCTTCACTTGGTCGCAAATGGCCGATATGCTCGGCGCCTGGCTAATTTTGAACACTGTAAATTTGTGTCTAACTTGGAGCAAGACCCATTTTACTTTGTGGCATTTAGGGACATGGGATTGCAGCCTCAGGGCTGTGTCACACATTACAGAAGTAGGCGTTCCTCCTGTCCCAATGCATATGTAACAACATGTATTTTTAAAAAATTAAAAATGGCGTATAGTTGGGTGCCTACCCTTCTCTCTGCCGAATGGTGGCAAGAGTCCATGGGGTTCTAGGCACTCACCCAGTGTCTGTTCCTTTGGAAAATTGAGACATGGCAGGGCTGTTGTAGCTTTAAGAAATATGGTTTATTCACCTATTTACACTTTTAGTCTGCATGGAGGGATTCCAGACCTTACAGCATGGTCATTTCAAAAGGAACTTGTACCCCACAGCAGTGCAGCCCTGGAGTCCAAGGCATCTCTCCAACCCAACTGCAGATAGCCCACCCAAAGATAGATCCCAGCCCTCTTCCTGCTTCTTCTTCCCAGTACCCAGTGCTACCAGGTTCCCTTTTCCTGTTGCCTCAAACACAGTTACCATGGCAACCTTCCAAATACCTGTCTCTGTTCGCACCTCTGGACAGGTGGTTTTTTTTAGTAGCCCTAGCTTGGCCAGGTCATTTTGCATAGGCTAGCTCAGGAATTTCTCTGCAGCTTATATTTCTCCCTTCACATTCCAGTAATCAAAATCCAACCATTTAATAATTTCTAGGGTATAGTCCCCCCCACCACTGTTGCAGCAGTTGAGACACTGGCTGTCTGATTATATTTTTTGCAAGAGATGTGTAGTGAAAGCCACAGACCCTGCTGCCTTTTGCTCACTTCTGTTTTTAAGATGTAGAGTGGCCTTGAGGTACAGGAGGCAGGCAGAAGGTTGAGAAAACCATTTGAGTTTTGCAACATGATGCTGTTTTACATTGTTTCAATATACTTCCTACCATTTGTGGGGAGATCAATGGATTTTTGTTTTTTTTTTGTGCCTTGAGCAAGAAGTCTCTTTCATTTTTGCAGGCCAAGCCATGTGGAAGATGGGGAACCCAGTGATGCCGGAAGAACGTGCAAGGAAGAAACTTGCTGAATTTCTACAAAATATTGACAACAATGACTGTGTGTGGATGGATGAGATTATTGAAGAGGCTAAAAAGATGTTTACGAGGTATGAGCAAGAGATCTAGAAATGGTGCCCCAAAGCATGAGTTTTTTGTTCTATGAATCCATTGAAATCACAACAGCCCATAAGCTGTGTATATACCATAGGTTAAGACTAGGTTTGTCACCCATGCTAGATTAATTTTAAATCTGCAAGGAAAAGATATTTACTTTATTTATTTATTTTACAGCCCACCCATCTGGGTGTCTTACAGCATATTTAAAAACATAATAAAACATCACATATTAAAAACTTCCCTTCAGATGTCTTCTAAAAGTTGTGTAGTTTTTTATCTCCTTGACATCTGAAGGGAGGGCATTTCACAGGGACGGTGCCACTACCGAGCAGGCCCTCTGCCTGTTTCCCTGTAACTTCGCTTCTCGCAGTGAAGGAACCAGCAGCAGACACTCGGAGGAGGACTTTGGTGTCTGGGCTGAGCAAATGGGGGTAGAAATGCTCCAGGTATACTGAACCACCCTGAGACCCTTGGGTATAGGGTGGTATATAAATTCAAATTATTATTATTAATATTATTAATATTAATAATAATAATACTGGGACAAGGCCATTTAGGGCTTTAAAGGTCAGCACCAACACTTTGAATTGTGCTTGGAAACGTACTGGGAGCCAGTGAAGATCCTTTAGGGCCAGTGTTATATGGTCCCGGCAGCCACTCCCACTCACCATTCTAGCTGCCGCATTCTGGATTGGTTGTAGTTTCCTTTTTTTTTTTTTTTTTTTTTTAAGAATAATTTTTTATTAACCGACCAATCACATCAAATCAAACCAAATTACATAAATTCCAAATTACACAGCCGAATTTTAAATTTTTGTTGGGGGTACCCATATTTCAAGTTCCGAAGGGGATCCAATCAACTTCCTGCTTCTTACTGCTGTTTTAATGTCCACAAATCTAACCTTATGATGTTCGCAGTACTATCCAGTCCTTTCTTACTGTTTTTCCACATCTCTTGTTGTTATTTTCATATATTTTTCTTTTCTCTTTGTGACCTCTGATAGTCTCCACAAGCTGGTTAGAACAGTTTGTAATCAATACAACCGACGATTCTAATGAGGAGGGGTTCTTGTAAATCACATAGAAGGAAAGTAAAAAAGGTTCCCCCCCCCCCCATTCAGTCCCGTTGTCAAGATACCCAGCCTTTGGTGTATCTTCATCGTAAAATATTCCTGTTTCTCCAACCTGTCGTTTTCTTTCGCAGAGGTCACTTAAATTAGCAGACTTCAGTCCCCTTCTTCACTTGAAATATGTGCATTTGCTTCTTTTGTAATTAATTATTCCAAATTGCTGCAGCTAGTGCGCGATCAGAGACAGCGTCCAGGAGAGCCGAGGTCCACACGGGGGCATTCTGCCTAGGGCCCTCACCCCCTTCTTTCGAATTGGGGGGTGATTTATGGGCACAGCAGACAAGGGCAGTGTTCCCCATTTCCTTGGGGCAACAAGGGTGGCTGCCTACTCCCATAACAGCCTCTTAATTACCCCGTGTGGGTCGGAGAGATGGTATTGTCGGCTATCTTCCAATGCGCCCCTAGTGGCCCCTCCCGGATTGGTTGTACAGTGGTGCCCCGCAAGACGAATGCCTTGCAAGACGGAAAACCCGCTAGACGAAAGGGTTTTCCGTTTTTGAGTTGCTTCGCAGGACGAATTTCCCTATGGGCTTGCTTCGCAAGACGAAAATGTCTTGCGAGTCTTGAGATTTTTTTTTTCGCTTTTCCCCCCTTTTATCTAAGTCGCTAAGCCTTTAATAGCCTTTTAGCAGCTAAGCCTTTAATAGCCGCTAAACCACTAATAGCGCTAATCCGTTAAGGCGCTAATAGGGTTGCTTCGCAAGACGAAAAAACCGCTAGACGAAGACACTCGCGGAACGGATTAATTTCGTCTTGCGAGGCACCACTGTAGTTTCCAAGTCACCTTCAAAGGTAGCCCAACATAGAGCACATTGCAGTAGTCCAAGCGGGAGATAACCAGAGCCTGCACTACTCTGGTAAGACAGTCTGCAGAGAATGCTTCTGGTTGGATGTTAGCTGGTTGCCATAAGTCAGTGGTGTCCAAACTTTTTTCAAAAAGATTTGATGAAGTGAAGGGCCGTGAGGGCCGACCAAAGTTTTTTTAGGATTGAAGTTGTTGAGCTTTTTGGTTTTACCCCAAAGCGAGATTACATACTTGGAAGCTAAACTACAATTGTAGGGCATATAATTCTTATATGCTATATTATTAGAGAATATGTTACAGTATTAATGTGTTTTCTCATGTGGGAGTATACAACAAAGTGATTACTCCGTCACATGTAGTACAGTACTAAATTTTATTGTATCAGGCTACCATCTTATTCAGTGTCATTAGTCTCTGGGTTTCAGGAAGTTTGATGCTGTGCCAGGGTCAGAAACCAGACTGGCTTTGGGAAAAGAATCCCAAGCTGCAAACAATATCCTGAACTTCAATGTTTTTTCCTAGTCTTTACCAAAAGGAGAACTTGAAAGATGAACTTTGAATGAAAGTGGGATACCTGCAATTTTAACCTGTCATCAAGCCATTGCTTCTGAGGAAAATGTTGACATTCTCGGTGTCCAATAGCTTGACCTCTGTAGGAATCGATACCTTGATTGTTCCAATCCTACAGCATGAATTGTGTGAATTGGTCTGAAATAAGAAATTGTCATTCAGTGAGTAGTTGGCAATATTCCTAGGTAAAGGCACTTGGCAGACCAGAATTTAAACTGCTGCTCTTATCTCAAAATAGTGGCTCCAGTGATGAACCTGAGCTGATGCCAAAAACACCATCACAGAAGAGTCATAGGAAAAAGAAGCGTTTTTCTTCTGTTAAGAATGATCACTTTGCTACAAAGAGGTAGGGAATGTATTTGTGGGCTAAGTAGCAGGGAATAATCTGGAAGATAATGTTTAAAATTCCTAGTTGTTACTTCAGGAAAATGTCTAGATTGGGTTGCAATGTTTATTTGATTAGCTAAATATGTTTTGAAGATTTAAAAATGTGTCCTTTTGTGCTTTTGTAATGAGGGATGGATTGTAAATGTTTTTTAAAATTAAAAATAATTACCGCCAGGAGATCTCCACACACTACCTCACAAAGCACGTCACAACAAGGATAGGACTTTCCTAATTCCATCTACCAGGTGTCCTAGGACTGCAAATCTGAAAGGAATCCCTCTCTCTGTCCCTGTCCATCAGCCAGTCTCTTAGTCTGTTCTCTGTTGTAAGCAACATAGTTACCCTGAATCAAAAGACAAGGTTTAAATCTTTAAAATAAATATTGATTCCCAGTAATTTCATCAGCCCAAGGTTTGAATGATATATAAGTGGTAAATTGTTGATGTAACATTTCTCACTCAGTTTGTCTAGGATTTTTCAGTTCATCTACACTATTGTCCCTTGCAACACCAAATTGGTCTTATGATACAATGTGTTTCTTTTATCAGGTTGTCAAGAAGAGAGAGTACTCGGTTATTTTCCAAACGGATTACCCGAAGTCGGAAAAACTTGGAAATTAATGTAGAGAATGCCTCCCCTTGTCATCGTGTTACTAGATCTCGGGCTGCCTCATCTGCCAGAGTCTCAGATCCTTCTCTTAAGAAACTATCTTTCAATTTAGCCAAAGATCGGTTACCACTAGTAGTAATCAGTGCTAATGAGAGGCGTAGTGCAGAACTGCAGGCAAAAAAAGTGCTACCTCAGACAGATACAGCTGATTTGACTCTTAAATTATCTGAGGAGGGGTCTCCTATAAAGAGATCACCTTTGACCAAAACTTGCCTTGTGGCGAAAGAAACTCCTGAAGCCGAAATAAAAGAGGGACGGGGAATATGCAAGATGAAAATAGCAGAAGTACCTGGTGCCGCTGAAAACAAAGAATCCAGCACTCAGAACCAAGAACCAAGTGCCCAGAACCAAGAGGACAGCTGGGCTTCTGAATCAGAGGCTGCTCAGAAGTTAAACCAGAGCTCACAAGCACCCACTACTTCAAAAGCAAACCATCGCTCAGTCCGCCTAAGCAGGACCTCCAAGCCCTCCAGAGCCTCTATGGCTGAGAGATACTCACTCAGTACTAAAAGGGAAAGAATGATCCGGAGATCTAGTCGGAAGTCTTTGTCAAAGCGGAAAACATCCCAGCGGTCATTATCTGCTAGGCATGAAAGTTGTAAGTTTCAATAATGTGAGATAAGAGTACAAAAAAAAGTGTTGCTGTTTTTACCTTGTAGCAGGCTAGCTTGATATGAACTGCAAAATGCTTCCAATATTTAAGATTTATTGATTTATTTATTATTTTGGTTAGGCTTCTTTCCACCCTCTTGATAACTTCCTTTGTAGTTTCCAATAACTCAAGGCAAAAGTAAGGTTTAAAATTGAAGGTGATGTATTGGAATAATTTTACTCTATACTCAGTGAGACTTTGTCTTGAAACACCTGCTTCCTATTTTTTAAATCTATCCTAAGTCATGTGGTGCAGGCCTTAAGTACATCTAGGGGAAACCTACTGCTATCATTTAGGTTTGGGGGCACTTAGCAATAGTTGGTTCTTGGGATAGGTGGATGCTGCCAAAATGTCCCATACTTGCTGCCCATCAGTTGCCAGCTGAGAAGGTAGGTCTTCTGCCAGTTTTGGGCGATGCATCAACTTTGTATCTCAGAGGAAAGTGATCCAGAGACATGAAGCTGCTGTGGAACAGTCACTGTCAGGTGCTTACATAAATGTGTGCATAGCCAGAGGCTCCAATGAGAAGAGGCATGGTCATAAAATGTTTGGAATGCCTGCCAGTGATGGGTGTAGATTTGTGTTAATTTGTAACCTGCTTTCAAATTGGCATGTGCAGTGAATAATGGGCAATAAACATTTTAAATAAAAGAAAAATAGTGGCCACCAGGAGATCTGTATACACTGCCTCACAAAGCACATCACAACATCCTACTCTCATCCTCCAGCTCCAAAAGGAGCAGCTGCATCCAGCTTATTGCTCGCTGACAATTTTGTGATGTAGGGAAGCTAATGCATTCTGTATATGCTACAGAAAGTAGTCCTGGAGTATAAATTAACCATTGTCAGGTGTCTGTCTGAGATTGTGTTTCAGACTCCTTACCAGGCGGAATTAGCAAAAACTTTTCCAGTCACAGCAAATTATTTTTCCAGTACTGAAGATTTTAAAATTTGAGCACTTGTCCCTTAGCCCATGGTAGACCCCAGTGATGCTTAAGGAGGTCCAGGATGCTGTTCTATATTGTGAGGTGCAGTGTAAGAGCCAGGATGCTTCTGCGGATGTTTGACTTTGTTGGAGATGTAACCTCATGTCTCTTCTCATTCAGGTCATGTTGCTGTGGCTGAAGAAATTACTGAATCTGGGTGAGTTGGAATTAGAATCTTAGATTATTATTTTTTAAAGTGATAATTTAGGAGACGTGGCTAACTGAGGAGCTAAATGGTAGCTTAACTACCACAAGAAGATAAACAGATCAAGTGGGCTTTAAAAAGCGATTTAACATACAGCAATTTACAGCTCCAATAAGGTAATGCTCCGGGGACTACAAAGTCCAAAATGCTAAAACTTGATTTAAGGGAGGAAACATCTGTTCTGAGGACTTGGACAAGGCCTCAGACTCTGAAATGGCACATCAACAAAAAGGCAGGAGCTCAGCTTTCTAAATGTGGGATTATAGAGAGTCATATGCTTACATAACCTAAATCCAGCAAGTGCTAGCTTCAGACTGGGCAACTACTCTAGCCCCCTTTGAAAGATGGTTTGACACACTATCAGGAACCTTAAAGAAATTTCCAAAACAGCTAATGAAGCTGTGAATACAGCCCTTGAAAACCAGTCTGAAATTCAATTGCTCCAAATGACAACTGATTATGTAGCACTTAGGCTAGAAGAATAGGTGGAAAAACCTTAACCTTCATTATTTACCTGAAAAAGAGGGAGGGGGAGATATGGATGCATTTATAATCAACAGGACCATGAATCTCACTGTCTCCAGTGGATTTAGAGTGGGCTCATAGACTCCTGAGCAGGTGAAACTCCAAGAGACAGTTTGAGCGCTACAGGCTCAAGGATAGTCTTCAAAGTCATTGGGAATATCTGGAATATAAAATCTGATTCCACGAATAAAATCTGATTAATTAGCCCTGCCATGCTCAGAAGAGCCTTTCATGTACAGTATATGTAACTGCTCTGAAAGCAGCAGGCATATCATAAGCTTACTGTTCCTCACAAAGGAAGAGCGTGGATTGTAAGCACATACAGCAGGTTGATAATATGCTTAAAATGCTTCAGCTCCAACTTCCAGAAAACACTAAACACTGCCCAAATGAGAATGAAACATACCCTGGTTCACCAAAGGGGGAAGAACAAACAATACATTGCATGCACTATAGTTTTCAATGGCCACTCAAGTCTTTTTGCTGCAGCCATGATTCTGATAGTCCTGTGGCAGGAAGGGAGGACTTGGAGATATTGTAACAGCCCCCTTTTGCTCCCACCTAAGCCCAGATTGCATGGAGCAACTCTCCACTGCCTCCATGACTACCTGCTGGTTGAAGCCTGTATTCTTGGCAAATTATGTTTACAGAGTTCACTGTTTTATTTATAGATCTGGTCACAGTCTAGGTACTTATTCTGACAGTACAAGTCTTGCTATTCTCGACCCTATTAACAGGCCTTCATGGCAGTTCTGTCTTTTCCTTCCTTTTCTTTTCTTTTCTTTTCTTCTTCTTCTTCTTCTTCTTCTTCTTCTTCTTTTTTTTTTTTTTTTTTTTTTGCCCTACTATATGCTGAACTTCCCTCCACATTATGGTAGAACCTTATAGATTGGTGAAAGTGCGATCGCTCAGGGTTCAGGTGCTGCTGTTAAAAGAGCAGAGGTAGACTCTATCTTGCAAAAGGAAGGAATGGACATTATGCTTTAAGAAACTCTGAAGCTGGGTAAAGATTCCACAAAAGTGGACTTGTACAGACCAATAGCACTTATAAATGTGGATGCTAAGCTTTTCGCTGCCATTATAGTGAAGTACTTGAATGTTTTTATAACCTCCTACATCTCCCCTGACTGGACATGCTTCATGCCATTTTGAAGCATTGCAGGATCGGTAAGAAGGGTTCTTGATATAATTTATGAATTGCAATATAAAGAAATGCCAGTATTGTTACTTTCAGTAGAACATACCCATCTCTCTTAACTGTTCCTCATAAGGCTTGGTTTCCAGACCATTTATCATCTTGACCCCTCCTCTGCACAGGTTTCAAGTTGTCAGTGACACCACATACACAATGTATTTTTTGTGGAAATTGTATTAAATAACTAGACTTGTACCCAGACAGAAAAGAAAGGAAATGGTGAATCTATTTTTGAAAGCATGGCATCAGTGAGGTGTTGTATGGGCTTTCTGTAGTCTAGTATGAGCTGAGGCTAGAGTTCAGCTGATAGGTTGATAATTTCATTTCATTACTTCAATGCATTTAAAGATACAATGAAATGATAAGACCAATTAAAACTCATGCAGCAAGATAGGAGCATGAAAGGAATTTGCAAAGTTTTTACTATTAAACATATGCATACCTTTTGTCTCTTAGACTGATGATAGAGCCACCATCTCAGAAGGTAAGTTCTAAAGAAAACTAAAAGAAGCTTAAGGCCACAATCCAATACCCATTTACCCAGCAGTAAGCCCCACTCAACTCTATGTGACTCATTTTTGGGTAGAACTGTGTGGTTAGCAACCATCCAGACTCAAGCAGGGGGGAGTGTAATGTGCATGGAAGAGTTGGATGGCATTCCATGGTGCATCTTCAGGGTACATCTGTCCTGCCTCCAGACCTGCCCAACACTGACATGCTGGATGAGATGTTTTGACAGAAACTGCATGTTCAGAGTTAAACACACACAGACTTAATCTGCAGTCAATCCTTTGAAGTTCATGATTGCATCATTTGAGCCTGCGCATGTTGGATTCTACATTAGTGAACCTGAGTGCTATCCTAGAATGCCTTCTTTCCTATGGCTCTCACTGAAGTGCCAACATCATTTTTAAAGATACTCGAAGGGGCTTAGTCTGCCTAACATTATTTGTGCTAAATCGTTAAAGGGCCCACTTAGTTGTCTAGTGATTACACATCTATGGGAGGGGCTTGTACTGAGAAGGAATTTGCCTTTGCTGCAGGTTGATGAGAACCCTCGCATGTCCCTTCGTTCTCACAAGGCCAGTATGCAAGCAGTTATCAAACCTGTGGAACAAGATGGAGATGACAAAGGTCAGTATACTCCTTGGCTAAGTAGCAGAGAAGGTCAACGGTGAGTTGGATAGAATGTATTTTGAGGAAAGGCAAGTTTACAAGCCTATTATTTGCAAGATTCTCAGTTGCTCAAGCAAAAATAATGACTTAACTGGCCAATGCAGTATAGTAAATGGTGTATTAGTGTTTGACTGAGAAGTCCAGGTTCAAATCCTAGTTTGGCCATGAAGTTAATGAGGTGAGCTTCAGCCAGTTTTCTCTTGAACTAATCTACATTGAAAAATTGTTGTGAGGAAGCACTGTATGCTGCCATGAGGTCTTGGAAAGGAAGGGTCCTATAAAAATTCATAGCAAACTTGGCTATGTCACATACACAGGCATTCAGCTGGATCTTTCCCCCACTTACGTTTGAGTTGTCCCCCAGCTTGTTTCCTTGCCCTAAGCTCTGCAGTATACTAAGGAGCCAAACGAGCTCCATGAAGTGGCGCTCAGGGGTGATCATGTTAACAGCCTGAGCCATTCAGATTTCCAGAGGTCAGCCAGAGCTTTGACAGGAGCGCACGTCATATCAGCCAGAAAATCCCTCGGAGCAACCTGGAAACCTCCTGGATCCATCAGCTTCCAAGGCCAAACCATCCTCATAAATCTCAACCGGAAGTGATCTGACCATGACAAGGGACTAATGTCAATATGCCCAACTTTCAGATAAACCTCTTCCTGCCCAACTGAAAAAGGGTCTTGCGTATGTTGGAAGATGCCTGCCTGCTAGGCAGGTGCCAGGTCCCAAGAGACTCACAGAATGTATTCCTGCATATTTGGTGAATAAGGATGAAATCTCATCATGTATTGGCAATATGCTTAGTCTAAAGTAGGTTTCACCTCTTGCTGTTCAGTATAAACTTGGAAAGCAAGTGAAGAAACCCATCTGGGCTTCCATTAATATGCATAAGACAGGCATACCCAAGAAGTGTTCCACCAAGTCACTTCTGCAAAATCCAATTAGTAGTATTCTGTTTTTAAAGAAACATTTCATTAATACACAGCCCAATGTACTGAGTCTACACAAGCTTGATTTGCTACATATTGAAATTCTAGAAATCAGAATTATGTCTATAAGGGAATAAATAGTATACTCCAGAGCTTAGGGCAAGGAAACAAGCTGGGGGACAACTCAAACGTAAGTGGAGGAAAGATCCAGCTGAATGCAACCAAACAGTGCTGAGGGTTCATCGTCAAGCCCTACCTAGTGACAGTGAAGGCAGCAAAGACAACATAATTTGCTGCCTCCATTGCATCCTCTTCTGGGTAGTGCAGGACCTTTTACATTCTGGCCCAAAGGAGGTGGTGGTACTGTTGGTGGAACCAACAGTAGCTGACAGTGACCTGTTTGCAAAGCATTTTGGGGATAAAATCTTGACTGCTGTTACAGCAGATGAATCTCATGGGGTGTCCAGAGCACTGGCTAGTCCTATTGTGTTGTATGAGTTTCAGTTGGTAAAGCTTGAGGATGTCGACAAGGTGCTTGGATTGGTCAGGGTGACCATTAGGGCTCTTACCCTTGCCCCTCTTGGCTGGTTAAAAACTAGCAGGGAGGGGAAAGCTGGCTGGGCCAGGGAGGTGATTAATGCCTCCTTGTGAGAGGGGGCTAGTCCCTGCCTACTTGAAGGAGGCAGTGATGAAACCACTCCTTAACAAATCCTCCCTGGATTTGGAAAATCTAAGTAACTACCAACCAGTTGTTTGTGTCAGATCAGATCCAGGCGCTTATGCAGGAAACTGATTTTCTATATCTATTGGGGGTTTAGGCCAAATTTTGGCACAGAAACTGCTTTGGTTGCCCTGTGTGAGGACCACTGTCAGGAGAAATGTTGTCCCTGTTAATTTTCTTTGACTTCTCAGTGGCTTTCAATGCTATCAACCATGGTATCATTTTGGTGCGGCTGCCCAAGCTACGGGTGGGTGGCACCACTTTGCAGAGGTTTTGGTCCTACTTGGATGGTTGTTCCCAGAGGGCGTTGCTTTGGGAGTGTTCTTCAGTTCCATGGAGCCTTCAATGTGGGGGAGCCTTCTCAAGGTTTGATTTTATCCCCTGTGCTGTTCAACATTACATGAAACCACTGAGTAGATTTTATCCAGAGGGTTGGAGTACATTGTCAGCAATATCCTGGTGACACACAGCTCTACTTCTCCTTTACATCTGCAGGAGAGGTAGTGGATGTGCTGGACTGTTGTCTTGCCTTAGTAATGGACTACATTAGAGGCAACAAACTGAAGCTCAATCCAAATAAGACTGAGACACTGCTAGTGGGCAGTTCCCTAGATCAGATGACTAGGAAGTTGTCTGCTCTTGATGGGGTTACACTGCCTTTGAAGGAGTGGGTATGGATCTTGAGGGTGCTTCTGGATCCATTGCTATCTCTTTAAAGCCCTAAACGGCCTTGGTCCAGTATATCTGAAGGAGCGTCTCCACCCCCATCGTTCTACCCGGACACTGAGGTCCAGCACTGAGGGCCTTCTGGCGGTTCCCTCACTGCGAGAAGCCAAGTTACAGGGAACCAGGCAGAGGGCCTTCTCGGTAGTGGCGCCTTCCCTGTGGAACACCCTCCCACCAGATGTCAAAGAGAACAACAACTACCAGGCTTTTAGAAGACATCTGAAGGCAGCCCTGTTTCGGGAAGCTTTTAATGTTTGATGTATTATAGTATTTTAATATTCTTTTGGACGCCGCCCAGAGTGGCCGGGGAAGCCCAGCCAGATGGGCGGGGTATAAATAATAAATTATTATTATTATTATTATTGAGACTCAGTTGGCCTTAGTGATGCGGAGTGCCTTCCATAAGCTTCTGCTGGTGGCCCAGCTGTGCCCCTATCTGGACAGGGACAGCCTAACTACTGTTGTCTATGCTCTGGTAAACCTCTAGATTAGATTACTGCAGTGCTGGACTGCCTCTGAAGATGGTTCGAAAACTTCAGCTAATGCAGAATTCAGCGGCATTGGCTGCCATTTAGTTTCTGGGCCCCATTCAAAGTGCTGGTTTTGACCTATAAAGCCTTCAGCAGCTCAGAACAGCAATACCTCAAGGACCGCCTGTCTCCATATGAACCTACCTAGACCCTCATCCTCTGAGGCCCTTCTTTGTGTGCCTCCACAAGAGGTCCAGAAGATTACAACACGAGAATGGTCCTTTTCTACAGAACTATACTCCCCATTTGTAAAATGTTCTCCCCAAGGAGGTACAGCTGGCACCTTCATTATACACCTTTAGGTGCCAGGCGAAAAATGTTTCTCCTTAACCTGGCCTTTGGCTGACTACCATCCAATTCCCTTTTAAATGTTTTGTGTAGGGGGGGTATTGGCTTGTTTCTGTTCTTATTTTTATTATGTATTTTGGCTTTTTTATATTGTAACTTTATGGTGTGAACTGCCCTGAGATCTATGGTATAGCGCTAATAATAATAATAATAAATAATAATAATAACTCTGCCCTGACAACTAGAAGTATTCATCCATTTGTTGACTAAACAACTTTGGCTTCAGACCTTTGCTACATAAAATACTTCCACCATCACTAATTGTAGCTCTCTTTCTCTGTATGCAGGGGGAAGTTCTGAAAAGAGTGATGAGGTGCAAAAGCAGCCCCAGAGTGCTAGGTATGTTTTCTTCGGACAAAACCTCCATGGAGCAACACAAGATGATGATATCTGAGGATTAGGTGCTTAATTGTTCTGTTTGGTTGACACCTGTATGCAGGTTGAAGGCGCTAGGATATAAACAGTGGAAGAATGGAAGGAGAGGAAGTGAAGGGAAGATACAAGATGGGTATTCTTACAGTTTTTTTCTCCTGTGCGGAGAGAGAGGATTTTCAGAGAAGACTGCAAGCATCATAAGAATAGGAGAGCAGGTCCATTGGCTGGTTGATGGGTAGCTCCTATGTGAGAGGAGAGTTAATTAAAATACTTAACTGAGCAGCTATATTTCTTCTGGCCTCAAAGGACCCTAAGCAACAGAGAATGGAGCCAGAATCCTGTACTTCCCATGGTAATTCTGAGACAAGGAGGTGGTTCACTTCTCTGCTGGTGCATCCTATGAAATGAGCCCTGTATTAATATTTAATATTTACAGGAGGAAGCCAAGCTATAAAAGAGCAGTTTATGAGCAAGATGAAGGACAGCACTCAGAGGAGGACTTCTCCCCTGCAAGGAAAAGGGCTGTATCTCCTCAGTGCCCTGCCAGCAAAGTAAGTCGAGAATTCCATCTTTGGGAGCGAACCAGGTCCCATCATTTGCCTTCCAAGGACTGATCACTTCCTGTATTTTTCAGGTTGTCCGTCCTTTCAAGACATTCTTGCATACAGTGCATAAGAACCGAGTGCTCATGATGACCCCTGGCTCTTTGAGTCGAAGTGCAACCATGAAATCATTCATCAAACAAAACACTCCTATCCAGGCCACTCCCCAGGTAGAGTGAAGTCCTGTTTTGTTTTGTTTTGTTTTGTTTTGTTTTGTTTTGTTTTTAAATCCATGTATACCACCTTGAGTTCCTAGGAAAGGATGGATGTAAATGTAAGAAATAAATTGTACAAAAACTTCACATGGGCTTAAGGGAAGGAGGAGCTGTAAGAGTAAGAGGGCTTAACAGACTGAAAGGACTGACATTAGATTGGATGAGAGCAACATTTCTCCTTTGCGTTGAGCTAACCAGCTTATGTCTTTGACCTCAGGTTGTGAATTACTCCATCCCCACTCCATTGCTTAGCTTTTCAGTGATCTTTTAGCATAAGTTTATTGCATGCCATTTGGTTAAATCCATTACTGCTTCTTGGGTTAAACAGGGCTTGACTGGTGAAGCATGGCAGATTGCTGTCATTTGGTGAAGAGAGTTGAATCTGAAATCAGCCAGTAGGGCAAATCCTATATCAACTAGTGGTCTAGTCCTTTTGTATTGTTGGCAATGAAATACTGATAATTTGGGTGCTAACTTCCAAAGGCATTAATTATGTCTCAATCTTCTCTTCGTACAGCGGGGGTTTGTTGTAAGTAACAACATTTGGTCTCACAGTAGCTGTATTTGTATATCATTAACATGGTGTGTTATCTAATGGCATTCTTAACCTGCATAGTGACTTAACATTGCTTCCTCTTTTTAAGGTGGAATTCTAGCATTTTATTTAGTGCTTATTAGGGTAATCTTACTAAAAAGTAGATAATGGGTAGTAGCACTGTGCTATTTTGTTCCCTGTAGTAAGAAAGCCACAACCATTTCAAAACACGATAATCAATAACTGCCATTTCTTCTCTTGAATGTCTTAACATTTTTTCTATTTAATTATTTTAAGTTTAGAATAAAGTGCAAAAAAGAAACTAGATGCATTCTTAAGATCTTGGTTCAGTTTTCATTGGTGGACTTGGCCTTGGGTCTGGTGGTCCAGAGCTTTTTCACTTCCATTATGCACACTTACATGGTATGATCATTGAATTCAGGGAGACTTGCTTCTAAACAGGGATGCCTATTTTCCTCCTTCCTTACGTTTGTTAGAAAGTAACTACATAGCTTAATTTGGGCAGATTAAAAGGCTAAGGTTAGCTATCAGCTTCGTTTTTTCATCTAAGGCAGTAGATCAAACTTTTTTTTTTTTTAACCATGAGCTAGCCCAATCATATTGGCTGCTGCATTTTTATACTCCTTACAAGTTCTATTAATGCATGGATATTGACAGAAGTACCCAAAATGAAAGAATTTTGCAGGTGTGTTGCTTCTGTCAGTATTGTGTGATGGTGATAGTGGAAATAGCATCTGCTTCTATGCAACTGAAGGCAAAGGAGCCCTGTCTTGTGCTGGATCTACCTGTCAAATCACTTGATGGCTTGCCTGAGGTCTGGGCATTTCTAGACTGCATGTGTATTAGGAAGTGTAGGGTGCAATACTTCAAGAAGGTAGACAGAAATACCAGTGTGTTGTTGCTATGTGATTCTTCCTACCCAATCCACCATAAGGTGCATCAAAGCCTTTCTGAAATAAGTAAAAGATGCATGCTCTAGGTCTAACAATGCATTCAAGTACTATAGAGAGTGTTGTCTAATCACTAACTGTTTGCTGTGATTTAGCTGAGGGGGGGGGAAGAAGTGTAGGACAGGCATTGTGAGGGATTGAGCAGTTCTTGCCTCTTGCTCTTGGGAAAAATTGGTGGCTAAATTTGTGCTCTTTTTGTAGCTACTACACTTTCACTACAAAGGATGTTTTCACTGTTAGGAACATTTGCCACAGTGGAGAGAATAGTTCCTTCCAGTTCTGTTGCCTGTCTTCTACCGGGGGTGGGTTTCCATATTACAGTAACTGTTAACAGACACATCATTCTATTCATGTGTGCTAATGAACTTCCTTCCCTACCTAGCAAAAGGAAAGAGAACGGTTAGAGTCTCAAAGAAAGAGGGAGGAAGCAGAACAACTAAGGAGGCAGAAACTGGAGGAGGGGAAAAAGCAGCGGCTGGAGGAGATAAAGCGGTATGCATACATAGACATCCTTCCAGTCACTCCTTTCCTAGTTTTGCCTTGGAGCTTTTTCTAACTGAACTCCTGTGTGCCATCAGGAAGCGTGAAGATCGCCTTCGTAAGGTGTTGCAGGCTCGGGAACGGGTAGAGCAGATGGAAGAAGAGAAGAGAAGGCGGCTTGAGCAAAAGCTTGCTCAGCATGAGGAGAAAAATGAGAAGGTGAACATGAATATGGCCAGAGAGCATTTTGGAAACATGTGTTCTTCAGAGTTTAATTATCTATTTTGAAATCCTAACCACTCTCATCAGGGGAATATGCCCCATTGTATTCAGTAGGACTTAGTTTCTGAGTAGACCTGGTTAGGATTGTGCTGATAGTCTTATCAACCCAACAAGTCCCTCCCTCCGTGTGTTTGTCTTGTTAAAACAGTGAAGGGCTTAGAGTGTTTGGTACGTTATAAAGGACATATCTCTTACATTACTGTGTTAGGCTTATCTTGTTTTTAAAAGAAACATGACCTGTATAATGACATGATATACACAACCTATTGTAGGTGCGTGAGGAAAAACTGGCAGAGGACAAAGTTAAGAAGAAGGTAGCTGCCAAGAAGTTGGAAGAACTTGAAGCCCGGCGGAAACAAGAAGAAGATGCCCGTAAAAAAAGAGCTCTGCAGCTGGTAAGGGCAGGGGTGTGGGGATGGCTGGCCATGTAGGACAGTAGGCACACCCCTGTTGAGGCTAAATTCAAAGCCATGTAACTGCAGGACTTGAAGAGGCTACTCTTTCAAGTATTTCTATGTCTTTCATGGTCACCGAAACTGTAGTGATTTTTAAGGTAATTGCTACTTTAGCATAGTATATAGCTCCAGTTAAGGATCTTAAAAAAAAAAAAAAGTCTGCTTCTTCATCAAGCTTCAGAGGTTGACAACTTGAAGGGGAAACTTTACTAGAAATCTAAGTCTAATTTATAAGTTTGTCTTGCCTGAAGTATTCACTGTTGCTATTCACCTATGAAACATAGGCGAATAGCAACTGAATACTTCAGGGTGGTTGTCCCAGGTGGAGTTGAGGATTTGATTTATGCCATGCAGATGTTTGTGCGTAATCTATATGACTTCACTACAGCTCTTTAGGTCATTATACTAAGAGGAGTTGGCAAAAGTTTTTTGTTTTATAAGGAGGGCCCTGCTGGGTCAGATCAAAGGCCTGTCTAATCCAGTATCCTTTCATCCCAGTGGCCAGCCAGATGGACGGGGTATAAATAATAAATTTATTTTTAAAAATTTATTATTAGTCCCAAAGCAGGGCATGAGTGCAATAGCACTAGCCTGCTGCGTTTATCTTTTCAGGAGGAAGAGCGAAGGCACAAGGAGCAAATGCAGAAAAAAAGGGAAGAAGAGGAACAAGAAAGGGCTAGAAAGATTGCAGAGCAGCATCAGTTGGAACTAGAAAGGGAGAAAAAGCTGTGTGCTGAGAGAGAACTGGAGAAGAGGCGAGAACAGGAGAGGCTCCAAGCACAGCGGTAAGAACAGAATGACTGAGCAACCCACTTGAGAAGGCTTCCAGTCACTCAGCACAGCCAGTCCATATAGGGCAGGGGGAAGACTAGCTCCTCCTGGTCTGCCGCTGATGCCCTGCCCCCTTCAAAGGCTAATACTGGCCAGTTTAAATTTTAAAAAATGGAAGATGATCCCATCATCCCCCGCGGCCAATCATAGCTGAAGCCAGCAGCTAGCACCAAAGGGAGGATGGGGCTGCTCTCCCACCCCCAGGGAGCTGCAACAGTCGCCCACCCCAGGAAAGGGTATGTGTTCTTTTCACCAATCTAAAAAATATGGCTATGGATGAAGCTGTGAGGGGGGAATGATTTGAGCCCCAAGGTGTATGCCACAGGCTGTTGGGAGTGCTGCTCAAGCTAATGCTGGGTGTACAGGTCATGCTTAAGGTCATGATCCCCTTCTTTCTTTGGATGGTAATGAAGTGTCTTTTGTCTGCAAGGGAGCATGAACAGAAAGAGAAGGAGAAGGCTGCTCGGCTGCATAAAGAGGTTTTAGCAGCAGCCAAAGAGAAGGAGCGACTCAGAAAAGAGTTAGAGGAAAAGGAGAGGAAATTGGTAAGTGGCTCTCATGTTTCTATCACATGAATATATTCCTTATACTAAAAGGTATGTTTTCAACTCCCCAAATCTGGATCCAATTGCTTTAGGGAAAATTTAAATTGGCAGACACTGTATGCTTCTTCCTGGAGTTCACTGTGTCATCAGGTGTAGGGTGGGAGCAGTGACCTACCAACAGCACTGTGTGGCCTTTTTGTGTTTTAGCAGGAACAGCGGCAACAAGAAGAGAAGCGAGAGAAAGCTGCTTCTGAGGCTGAGGCCAAGGCTACCAGCAAACAACTGAATACAACAGTGGTTATCGAGGTGAGCTACAAACCACAGAACAGGCGTTGAAAGGAGTAATGAGGGCCCTATTGACTTGCTCTATAAGAGAGCATGTGCTGCAATGCACAGGCTTACCCACAGAAGCACATTACCTTCAGTGTGCCTTGAGGCCACTTAATAAAGGCTTTGAACATAAAGCCCCACACATGTTGTTCTGACCCAGTTACTTCCAAGTCTGCCTTCTACAACCTGGAGCACTAGATTGACTGCAGCTCCCATGCCAAAGTTGTAGTCCCAAACACCTGGAGGGCACAAGATTGGGGAAGGCTGCTCTTAAGTGAACAGCTACATTAAATGGAGCAATATATCTTAAACCCTGAAAAGGGCAGCATGCCAAAATCATGTACTTTTCTGTAAACTTTTATTGCAAAATATTGAAGTGCTGCTCCCCACTTTGTATGTGTGTGAGGGGGGCTTCTTTTGTTGCTGACCCTATTTCCCCTGCTTGGTAAACTTACTGCACACATGTGAGAATTTTGAGAATCTTACCATCTCTTCTCCCTCACCCCCTTGGATTTCGTAGGCAGAGGCATAACTTGAAAGTGCAGTGGCAGAATTTAAAACACACACTCCAATAAAAGGAGGAAGTTGTGAATGAGGAAGAATATTTAGACACGTTACACATTGGAGAATACGTACAGATCTGTTAGCAAGTGGGGTTTGTTATAGTCGGTGTGAAAAATAAACTGTTAAAGCTAACTGGAATTTGGAATTTTTGCTTTGGACCGTCAGCTGCTTTCTGGTTGACAGCTGGTTATCTCAACGGAGAAAGCTGTACTGTATAAAAGAAGGGGCCTTTAAAAAATAATGATGTGGCCATTGTCAGAAAAGTTGTGCTTCTTTAACTTTGAAAAGAGATTTGTTGCTGGTGGAGCGAGAGATCAGAGGGCCTAGGGCATGATTGGTTGCAGTGTGTTTTGATTGAGGGGGGCATGCTGCTGGGTGAAGTTAGCCATATTGACTCGTAGTTTGTCAGGTGGTGGTGATTCATCATGCTCTTCTGATAGAATAAGTTCTTTCCTAAAAGCCTGTATTGAGATTCTAGCGCCGAGCAACAACACTTAAGTTGGTAAAGCATGAGACTCTTAATCTCAAGGTTGTGGGTTCAAGCTCCATGTTGGGCAAAAGATTCCTGCATTGCAGGGGTTTGGACTAGATGACCCTTGAGGGTCCTTCCAACTCTACAATTCTGTGATTGTAACTTTGCCAGCAAAATCTGGTTCTATACCCAGTGACTTAGCTCTCCCCTCATCTTCTTTCCAGAACTCTACTAGCTGTAATTCCTACCCGATGACACCACAAGGCCCTAAACAGCCCAAGATTGATGTGAATAATTATGGAATGGATTTGAACAGTGATGATTCAACAGATGATGAGAGTCAACCCCGCAAGCCCATACCTGCTTGGGCTACTGGTTTGTTTGAATCCTTTATAGTTGATCTTTCCTTATATTACTGTATGGGATGGGCTGCTTCAAGGTGTGATGGTGAAGGTGCGAAGACCACTAACTTTTCCTCCATGAATTTGTCTATCTGCTGCTATTAGTCATGATAGCTGAATGGAACTTGTGTATTCAGAAGCAGCATGCCCCTGAATACTAGGTTTAAAGGAGGAAGAGGCATTTACCTGGCCACTGGATGCTGGGATAGACAAATCTTTAGTCTGACCAAGCTTGCAATGCTGTCTACTTAATGTTTATGCTCAAGTACTTGAGTGTTTATTACAGTGGTGCCCCGCAAGACGAATGCCTCGCAAGACGAAAAACCCGCTAGACGAAAGGGTTTTCCGTTTTTCGATGCGCTTCACAAGACGAATTTCCCTATGGGCTTGCTTCGCAAGACGAAAACGTCTTGCGATTTTTTTCGCTCCCCCCCCCCTTTTCTAAGCCGCTAATAGCCTTTTAGCCGCTAAGCCTTTAATAGCCGCTAAACCGATAATAGGGTTGCTTCGCAAGACGAAAAAACCGCTAGACGAAGAGACTCGCGGAACGGATTATTTTCGTCTTGCAAGGCACCACTGTAATATCTTTGTTCTCGGGGAGTATAACTTTTTTCAAACTTCCAGCCTGCAACTTAGGAAAGTGCTAGGAATCAGGTGTTGGTACTTCCAAGTCGTTTGAGAATATATAGTAGTACATCATTGTCTTATCTATCTATCATCTATCTATCTATCTATCTATCTATCCATCTATCTATTTAATACAGTAAGCTCACTACTTATGCACATTTAACTTAAGTGCATTCAGCTTTATATGCATCACAATTTAAAAAAATTAGAAAGGGGGCAGGGTTCTAGGGAAATGACATTGGCAATCCCACCCGGCATTTAACCCAATGTGTTTTGACTAGATGCAATGTTGGCTTTAGGGATGTAAACCTCGCATAAGTTGTGGGCTTACTGTATAGAAAAGTAGAACACATTATAAAAATTACATCCCTGTATTGATGCCCAGTATTTCTGTTCTGTAAAGCCGAGTCTGGGATATAATGAAAGGGCACCTTTCTTTTTTAAAAAAAGACTATTCAGTCCATGCTTGACTTTTTTTTAAAAAATGGACTGTGCTAATGGAAAGTCTTTCACAAGAGCAGTGGAACGCCCCCAGTTGCGAGAAACCATAGTGCTTGAATCCTATTTGCTGGTTTCCCATAGGCATCTGTTCACTGTGAGAACAAAATGTTGGACTAGATGGGCCATTAGCCTGATCCAGCAGGCTCTTAGGTTCACTGGATGCAACCTACTATCTTTGAGTTGAGTTCTTCATGTGCATTATTAATGGCACATAAAACTTGGTTAATTGGCTTCAACTGACTGTACGCTGTTCTTCTTTCCCTTAGGAAATCTACTAAGCCAGGCAATCATACATCAGTATTACAAACCAGTTGACACCACTGCCCTCTTTGGAGTTGTGAAGAGCCCTAAACTAGAAGAAATATTCAAGAAGAGCAAGCCACGTTACTTCAAACGCACCAGTTCTGCAGTGTGGAACTCTCCACCATTCCCAGGTGGCAGAAATGTACCATATGCTTTAAAGATATGATGTTTTCTAGATCTCATGGATGTGTGGTATTTTTGTTCAAGAAATGTATTTCTGTTTTAAATGTTGAGTCCCTTTTTTCTTGTTTATATTAATAAATGTTGCACTTCTAAGGCAGTTTTTGTCTCTGTGATGGGGAGAAGAGAGTACAGATTGCCAGCTGAAATTGGCAAGGATGAGTGAAAATCATTTGGCCTATATTTAACTTACTGAACTGCTAGGAAGAGTCTATGTGGTATAGTAGTTAATATGTCATGCTGAGAGTGAGGAATTATAGGATCAGATCTCTGAATGCCAGTTTATAATTTAAAGGAAACTCCTAAGTCTAATGGCCCAGGCTAGATAGACTCAAGCTGCTGATACCATGATAGATGATGCTCGAAGCATTTCCCAAAGGAGATTATTATCTACATAAGTTCCACTTGACAAATTTTGACAGTCATTATTGCATTCTGTGCAAGGCCTTGTTACTATTTTAGAAGAACCTGAAAAAGTAAAAAATTTAAAAGGTGGAATGAAGAACAGGTTATCTTATCAGAAGAAATTGATGTGGAATTGTCGTGCATTCTAGACATACTCCTTTTTAGTTTTCCTGTGTCACAATTTAATTACACCTTTTTGTAAATAAGATCACACTTTTGTATTTAATGATAATTGAGGTTTTCTTGCTGCATGAGGCTAAAGATGGAGAAGACAACAGACTGGAAAGGAGAATTCTGTTTGTCACCAGCAGCAATGAAAAAGCTGTTTTTTTTCTTTTAGGGAACAAGGTTGAAGAAATGTGAACATGTGCCCATATACTAATCATAAATCTCTAAACAAATTTTAAATCAAATACAGATAATCAGACTACCATTTTAACAGATTAGACAACCACTAATTAACTTTATTAGAAAAAAGCAAACCCACCTTCCCCATGTTGTAGGCCTATAAGCTTATTTGTATTCTAAAGTTATGCTGCTTCAATTTTCTAATCCTGCTTCGTTTATCAGCTTCCAGGTACCTCTTCAATTCATCGTTATTTTGTAGATCAAGCTCTCGCAGAGACTGGTTTGTTTTGAGAGCTGCCAAAAAGGCTTCCCAACATGCCTCTGTCAGTCCACATGAATCCAACCTAGATAAAAGTTCATAAGGAAAGGGTTGCTGTAAATGAAAACCACCAAGGTCAAAATCTATTGCAAATAACTCTCAGAAGGACAGTTGTCCTAGATGACTTTGCATTCTTCTAACTGAAGTTTTGACTGATTTGCTTCTATTGTAAGGAAGCTTCTCATAAGCTATTGGCCTATTGTTTTTAGAGTCTACCTTTGCTATCTAAATGTGAGACCCTCCCCCTCCACCAAAATGTCTGCAAAGATATCCAAGATGATCACTCTTCCTACTATAATGGTTTCCTTGAAACTAGTCACTTAAAAATCAAGTGTTAAAAACAAATGAACATAAAATGCAATAACAGAATCAGTTAAGGAATAACAATAAAAATACATGTTAAAATCCTTCAAGAAAATGGTTCCGAGCTCTTGAGGCTTTCATATACTTATAATCTGCCCCAGTAATAAAGTAGCAGCCAGGGCAGCACTCCAAACAGAGATGTAATATGATGACAGGGTGTCGTGTCATTCTTGTTAGTGCAGAATGCAGTAGTAGTAGTAATTTTATTATTTATACCCTGCTCATCTGGCTGGGTTGCCCCAGCCATCCTGGGAGGCTGCCAACACATATAAAAGCATAATAGCATGATTGCTAACTGCAGTTTGATGAAAGACTCTCCAAGCCACAGAAACCATGTCGCCTCTAGTGAAAAATGTTGATCCAGAAGTACGCCAGATTATATCTGCTCATTTAGGTAGAGTGCAGCTTTGTCCAAGGCAATTGGTCTACTTTTTCAGACACAAACCATTCACTCACAGCCCCTCCATTCAAGCTTGGTTTCTTTTCTCCCGTTCAGACCACCACAGTGTCCAAGCATGGCCAGGATCTGCATTGTTCTCCTGATACTATGGACAAATAGAGCTGGGTGCTTTAGCATACTGATGGCACCATGCCCCAAATTGTAGGGATCAGATGGGATTACCATGAGGAATTACAGAATATACATCAGGCCATTGTGTCCACGATGAAGACATTGTGTTGACTGGGTTTGATATATTGACAATAATTTCTGATTAAATCCCACAAGATTCTACATTCATGCCCTTTTGATGCCCTTTTGCCTCTGCTGCCCATTTCTCCTTGCTCTTCACTAATCACGTACACACTTAGACAGGCAGGCGTCCTGGGTCATCAAAGACAGTGGGCAAGTTTATTTGATGTAGGATCTTAATCTTAGGGCCAGGAAGCAGATCTCACATTAAGGTGATAACGGTCGCTGTCCTCCTGGCCATCCTCCTTATCATATGTGTATTGCTTGTTTATTACCTCCTGGGTTGCCAGATACTCTTCTTTGTAGTTCTCAACTTATTTACCCCAGAAATATTTGTGCTTAATTAGTTTTAGTGGTTTAACTTTCTCCCCACGTGGGTTTGTGGAAATGCTCAGAAGAAATCTGATTGGTTCTTACGAACACTCTGTAAAAAGTTCTTTTGTGACTAAAAAACGGCCTGGGCCAGGGGGCTGCAGACACGGACAAGCACAGAGAGACACGATTATATGCACCCTTCCCAGAGTCTTGCTGGTTTAAGCCTCTGTGTGTATTCTTATTAATCAGAGTTCAATCCTTCCTTTACTTTGCGAACGCAACACCAAATCTTCTAAAATCTGTTGGAAGCAATTCTTATCCAAACTTGGTATACAGCTGATAATCAATATCTTATTCCCAGTGTAGTTATGAACCACTTTGTCAAAGGTTCCCATCACTGTTCAATTTGCTTTTAACATCCCTATGATATTTCAAATACTTTGAAACAAGTACCTTAGTGAAACTATTTTGCAATTTGGATGTCGAAGGCCTTCGCATAAGAGCTGCACGCCAGCCTCTCCCATTTCTTCATTATGGCCTAGAGACAGCTCTAGCAGGGACTGGTTTTTACAGAGAACAGAAGCAAGATTCACACAGCAAGCAGCAGTGAGATTGCAACCAAGCAAGCTGTTCAAAGAGATGAAAAATCCATTACAAAGTTATTTACATGGAAGTAGCTTTAACAGGCTTTAAGTCCAGCGGCAGAATATTTTTACAATATCTGCCTTTGCAGGATCTATAACTTATTGCAACGAAAATAAAATGAGTCCTGTAGAAGAAAAGTCACTTTATGTACTCATTGAGGACACCCCCCACCCAAGATTTGAGACTTTGCATCCATTTCCCAATCTGACTAGTTTGGCTGACGTTCCCTATCAGTGGTGGCTTATGATGGAAATGTCTCTGCTTGCAAGATGTGCACCTCTCCCTGGTTTTGCCACAGTCATGATTACGCTAGGCTACCAGATTAGGCTACTCCCTGGAAAAGACCCTGATGTTGGGAAAGATGGAGGGCACAAGGAGAAGGACACGACAGAGGACAAGATGGTTGGACAGTGTTCTCAAAGCTATGAACATGAGCCTGACCAAACTGCGGGAGGTGGTGGAAGACAGGAGTGCCTGGCGTGCTCTGGTCCATGGGGTCACGAAGAGTCGGACACGACTAAACAACAACAACAACCAGATTAAATGGTCCCATGTGACAGAACTACAGCACCTTCTCAACTAGCCTGTTAGGAAGAAGAGATGTAGCAGAATCTTGCCCCCAATGTGCTGTCTCTTTGTTATAAAGGAATATGACATTTATGCCATCTGCAAAGCGAGTCTGCTTAGAAATTTGAGCCTGCTGATGGGGTGTATTGTCTCTGACAGTTAATTATTCATTTCATTTCTATACCACTTTATATTTTAAAGAAAACAATCTGGTTTGCAACACATTAAAACATCAGATAAAGCATTACTGGAGAAAGTCAAATATAAAGTATACATTCAAAGCATCATAATTAACAGGATACTAAAATATTACCTAAAGATGTCAAAATAAAGCATTACAAAGGTCAACAACAGGATGCATATTTAACGTAACAAACAACAACAAAAAAATCTTAAACATTTCAAAAGAAAACATAACTAAAGGAAGTCAAATACAAAATGCACATTTAAAACAGCATAATTAACAAGAGAATAAAATCTCAAGCATTGAACATACCTGTTGCTGCCAATCCTGCCAGGGCAGGTGGTGGCTGTGGAAGCTCAGGCTTGCTGACTTGGGTCTGCACTAAGAGACAGCCAAGATAGTCTCTATATGGTTCTGCTGTATTATGTCCTAGGAATGCCAAATCAAGTGTCTGGAGGTCCTAGTCTTTGACAAAAACTCAAATGATGTGTGATTTTCTCCATTACAGCTATATTCCAGAGTGAGCAGTGTCCAGTGTAAGAGTTGGGCTGTTTTCTATTGAGTTGCAATTACTATTTCATGCTGCCATCGTATAGAAGACCAATTCTTTTGACAATACATTTACAGTGTATCATCAAAAATCTTCGGTAGCATTAATTTCAGGCAACAAACAATAATTTCTTTAGTAATATTTGCTATTTTTGTCAAAATTGAGTTGGGGCAATGTGTACTGTGCTTAGGAGAAAATCTATACTGAGCCAGGCAATTCAGATGATGCTAAGTTTTTTTTTAAAAGCCAGTGGGGGGCTGTGGCCTCCAGAAGCTGTTGGACTACAACTCCCACATCCCTGGGCATTGGCCATGCTAGCCAGTGCTGATGGGAACTGAAGTCCAACAGTACATGGAGAGCCACAATTTGCCTATGATTGCAATAAGCCATTGGTCACTTACCTGAGTACCTGCAGTTGGCAGTCTGGATGCATCAACATTTGGCAGAGCTCTATTAGTCCAGCATCCCCTATATTGTTAAAGTCCAAATAAAGCATTCTCAGGTTCTGGTTTTTAGGAACAATAGAGGCTAGTTTCTCACATGACTTGGGGCTGAGGTTACAGCAACGTAATCTGAAAGGTTTAAGTGTTCAAGAGGAATTAATGATGACAATGTATTCAGTAAGTTGACTGTTTCAAAAGTAGGTCACATTTTAAAAAAAAACCAAAGTAGAAGTCCCATTCTCTTTGGCATTTTCCTTATCCGTAGTGCTTTGTTTCCTTTGTCCTCAGAAAGTGCATTAGAGATGGGCTGACTAGCACAGTGAGCAATATTCTAGATGTGGTTGCTATGCCAAATACTTATATAACAGTATAGATATTTACTAATGTGTTTTAATTTATTTCTTATTCCAATCACTGAGTTTAACATCACATTGACTATCCACTTACCCTCCAGTGACTCAGAAATATAGATCAGTGGCATGGAGATTTGCAGTGTCAGGACTCGGGGCAGAGCATCACAGACTACAATTATGTCTTCCAACCAGGCTGGGTATCCTTTGGCACAAGGCGGCCATTTTGGATAGCAACCCTGGCAAGTGTAACCCAGGTTCTGCCCTTTTGATAAAAGGCACCTATGAGCACTCACCTCAGTGTCTGCAGTTTGCAGTTGGGATGCTTGAGTGCTTGACAAAGTTTGATCACTCCCACTTCTCCTAGGTCGCTTTGCTGTAAGTTGAATTCTCTGATGTGTTGATTCATGGTGAGGACAGAGGTAAGAATCTCAAAGGAAGCAGCTCTGAGATTACATCGCTTAAAACTGAGGAAGAAATAGGGAGTCAGTCTTCCCTTTCCCAACTCTTTGCAACTTCTTTGGGATAAGCTTTTAGACTGTAGGAGCCAGAGAAAAGAAACACCATGGTGCATCTGCAGCAGCGCAACCGGATGCCTTCATCTGCTGCAACAAAGCACGTCTCTTCTGCATTGGTCTCTACCGCCACAGCAGGCACTGCCACCATCCAACAGCTTGACCTCTCCCCCAAAAGTACACTCCTCCATAGTCTCCCGAGACAGATGGGTGCCAACAGGAAGTGAATCATACTAAGGCCCATGCCTATACTTTTGACTTTTAACTAATTTGACATGGATTGGCAGTCCCTGATAACAGATTTCTCCTTTTTAAAATCAGCTTTGGAAATGCAGTCTACTCACTTCAGTAGTGACTTTAACTATTCATGTGATCATCAACAGAATCTCCTTGCACATCAAGGGAAAAGGCCAGGCTGCATAGCCAGAGATGGGGCAGCTGCAGGGAGCTGGCTTTCCCCCTCCCTCCTCAAAAGACTCTTCTGCTCCAACTTCCCACTGCCTTCATATACCAGAATGTCACACCTTCCAGTCCTCTAGATTTGACTTGCTGCACATTTTTCCAAAAAGTTGGCTGCTGCTATCTCAATAGCAATATAACAATAAAAAAGCCTTTACAATGGATGCTACTTTAAATAACCTAAAGCTGCAAACCTAAGAAAAACTATTCCTATCCAAGGTAACACTTGCCTACAGCAACCCTAGACTTCTATATGGTCTCATATATATTATTTTTAAAATTGCATTTATTTCCTGCCTTAATGGTGTAAAATAGAGAGCCATGTACACCACCTTCAATGCCTCCCTCCACTCTCAGACTCTGTCCGTTGAAGATGAAGGGCTGAAGGGACATTCCAATTGCATTCAGCAGAACATACTGAAAGGTGGGAACCCTAGTAATACAAGCTTCCAGATCCTGAGGAGGCTTCCAGCTGAACAGGCTTAGAATCTCCATAAAGTCATGTGGAGAGATGCTGGGGTGGGAGTAGTGTGCACAGCCCTCCCAGTCCCTACCCAGTTTGTGCCCTCGGGCATTTGGCTGAGCCCCCGACAGGGCTGAGGGCATCTGGGCCCTGGGCATGCCAACGGAAAGCTGTGTGAGATGAACTAAGGCAGAGTTGCACAGGACATGAAAGAACAAAAGTATCATTGCCAGCTACCTACCAGATCTCTCTTACATTACACCTTGGATCCTTCAGTCCTTCAAATAGGAGAGGCAGGTTTTCATCCACTCTTCCATTAAAATATAAGCTAAACAAAATAGAAAACTGTGTGTTGGATATGCTATGCAATTGGATCATACAGCTGCAGCAGACAACATTGCATCATGACCTGTGAAGTTGTAGGGTGTGTTTTACACAACTCCTCCAGGGCACAGAGACAAGATTGTTGATCAAGAGTAATTTTTAGCCCTAGAGGATAAATGTTGACATATGTGCTCATTCTGGGTGAAATCACTTCTGAAAGAGGTTGGCATAGCCATAAGCAACACGAAGGCACATTTTAGAATATGAAAAGTCAATTTCACATTGAGCGAAACCTTCCCTTGATAACCAAAACTAGGACTCTTTCATGAAATATGCACCAGCAAAGCTGGGTTTGCAACGAAGTATATGCTCAAAAGGGAGTGATGGCCATGAATGAACATGTACAATATAAATGTTTGCAAATACGTTTTTGTTGCATTCAGTTTGAGCTTTAGCAACAAAAATTTATATGCCCTGGCTTAACAAAATGGACTCTTTGGAAAAATCTGTGCCCTAGATTCACTGCTACCCATGCTCTAGTACCCTTGAACATACCTACATACAACATAGAATCTTAAATCTGGAACATTATTTGGCTTTCAGAGAATTACACCTTTTCTTAATTGTGTTTTTTTTTTAAAAAAACACCTATATATTTAATCATTTTATAGACCACTTGGTATACAAAACAAAACCCAACCAATTGTAAGATACAGGATATAAATAAAATTAAAATACATATTGTCAATAAAAACCCAGAATCAAAATTCTAACACAAAACACTCAGCACAGCAATCTAAAAATGAACACTCAGGAAATTCCTGAAAAAACACATTTGTTTTAGACGCCTCTTAAAAACGCATCTCAGTCAATGCCTCTGAGATTGCACAGGGGAGTATATGCAACTGTGGGAAAAACATGACATGACAACCTGGTCTCAAGTTGTTCAGGGCTATATTTGTTTATAACAGAACCTTGAACATGGCTTAGCACCTAAAAGGAAGCTAGTGCAGTTCCTCTGACACAGGTGTTATGTGTGTATAGATAGATACCCCGCTCAGTACCCTAACCACTGCCTTCTGCACTAGTTGCAGCCTTAAAACCAAGCCCAAAGGTACCCCAATATAAAGCACATTATAGTAATCTAAGTATGAGTTTACCATTGCATGGGCCATAGTGGTCAGAATATCCCAGGAAAGGGCATAATTAAATGGACCAAAGTTTTGGTTTGCACTTTAGCTAAAAACAAAAAAACAAAAACCCTGAACTGATCTGAACAGTGTCTTCTGATGGGTTCACATACCTTGACAAAAAAAGTAGATATCCAAGATGGAAGGACTGTTCTTTACGACAGTGTCTCAGGCAAAATGAAATAACCAGAGAGTTGAATGCGTTCCCTAGGCAGTTATCATACAGCTTAATCTCAGGGATACAATCCATTGCTTTTCCCACAAACTCTTCTTCTTGAATTTCATATAAGCAACTGAATATCTCAGATTGCTTTTGACAGCTCTTTGATGCCACCTCAGCTTCGATCCAGTCCAAAAGCACTTGTTTTGTTTCTGAGCAAATTTTATAGCCTAAACTTTTCTCTATGGTTTTCTTCCTTTTCTCATTTAAAAGACCAAACAGAAAGCGGACTGTCAACACTAAGTACTCATTTCCACCCTCTCCAAAATCTTTTAGCAACTTTCTCACGTCTTCATAACTGCAATCTGATTTGTCGGCCATTTCTGGTATTTCCTCTAGCACGTAGGACAAGGCTGCAAAAAACTCTTGGAAACTTAAGTGGATGAAGCTGTAGGCAGATTGGCAATCAATATCTTGCTGGAAAAGTTTCTTGTGAAGGAAGAGTGACCGGATGTCAGCCTCCTTTAAGCCATGTTTTTGGAGGTCATCCTCCTCAAAGAGTATTTTCCTTGTCAAGACTCCTTCTCTGGCTAAGAGACAAAGGTTTTGGAAATGTTTCTGTTTACCTCTTTCCAACACTGGACTGTGATCTCTGAGTAAGCTAGTTAAATAAAACATGTATACACAGGTAGTTGTTTTTGAAGTCTGCACGAGATCTTCCCCTCTATCCATCTGTTGCTTCATCACAGTGCAGATGATCCAACACACAATGGGGACAAAGCACATGGTGAAGAGCATCTCATTTGCTTTCACAACCCCAAAAGCTTGTACCGCTTGCCTCTCATTCCCAAAATACTTGTGGAAATACTCTTCCCTGTCCTTCTCAGAAAACCCCAGGATCTCTATGTAGCGGGGATACTTCAGACACTTCTGCAGTTGCTCCAGAGCAATTGGCCTTGTAGTGATGATTAAATATGATTTGGGAAGAATGCTTTTCCTGACTAAACTTCTCAGTACAACTTTCACCGGCTTCTTTTGACTAGGATCGAAACACAGATGTTCCTCATTGGATTCTAAGGAAAATTTCAGTTCATCAAGACCGTCGATTATGAACAGGAGCCTCTCTGGGTTTGCAAAAATATCTTCCAGGGGAGCATTTCTCTCAGGACAGTTCCAAAAGATTAAATCAATCAGACTCTGCTGCTCAGTCATCAAGTTAATTTCTCTGCAGTTTATGTAGAATGCATAATCAAACTTGCCTTGGTAGAGTTTGCCAACTGCCCAGTCCAACATAATCTTCCTCGCTGTCATTGTTTTTCCAATCCCAGCAGGCCCTTGGAGCACGACAGTTCTAGGGTTCACTCTGTTATCATCGGGATCAAATAAAGCCGCAATACTACCTGGACTGGCTTGCTTGCCCATCATGTTGGCATGTTTCCTTCCTGTGGACATAATTTCATGCTGCTTCTCTTCCAGTAGGCAATGTTTCTGAATGATCAAGAGTTGGGTGTATCTTCTGTTTAGGTTCACCCATTGACCAAGGAGGGCATTTTTGTCTTGAATTACTTGATATTCCTCCCATACATATTCTCTGTATTTAATCCTGTAATCTAATAACAAGAAAGAAAGCACTGGGGGAGAGTACATGAAACAACAATACTAATAATACCTTTATTGTCATTGTACAACTTGTGTACAATGAAATTAAACGAGCCTCCCCCCCCCAAACACTCAATCTCTTATCGAACAACACACCACCTCACAAGTCAATTTCTCTATGTTATTTTCCGTTCAACAGCCAAACAGCCCATGGATAGAAGCTGTTTTTTAGCCTGTTGGTATGGCTGATTAATCTTCTACCCTCAGGCAGGAGATATAGAAGTATAAAGAAGTGCTGGCCGGGGTGTGAGTCTTCCCTGAGAATTTTTCTCGCTCTCCTAAGGCAATGATCCCTTACAATGTCATCTAGTGGACTCAAGGGACAGCCCATGATATGTGCTGTATTCACCACAATGCAAACGAAATATTTAATGATATAGTTCCCAGGAGTAGACTTTTGATCTTGGTTTGGGCTTCCTGCAAATGGAGTCCCCCCCCCCCTCTGCAGACACAGACATCCGCAGAGGTAAAATGCTCCATTTAGATGAAGTGGTTTGAATTAAAACAGATTTTAAAGAGCCTCCCTGTAATCACTGATCAGCTACTCAGGAATGTCAGCTACTCAGGAACATTAAGTTCTTGATTATTCCTTTGCAGCTGCATCTGTGCCTGTCCCACACCTGACATCATATATAATGTCAGGTGAGGGGCAGGTAGAAAACAAATTGGGACCCTACTGAGGCCCGTGGATGCTGGGCTAGATACTGGACTCAGATCCAAGATGCTTGAGCGCTCAAGCCCTAACAAAGGAATTGCCAACATATTACCTTCCTGATGCTGTTGCCAGCACAGCTAATTGTCAGGGATGATGGTAATTGTAATCCATCATCTGGAAGGCCACAGATTCTCCATTTCAGCACTAATACCTTACTGTGGCTGGAGCCTCTGTACAGGGCTAGAAGGTGGGGTTAGATGTCTTGTTTACCTGGATTGCAGTGGCAGGCAGGCAAGTCCTGAGAGGCTGCATGTAGGTGTGGCAAGGGTGTGACCCATTATTGAAATGGACTGCTGGACTAGGTGGGCTTTTGCTTTGGTTCAGAGAAGGCCTCCCCTGCCCTTATATTTCTATGGTCCGCTTGTACACAGGGAGGAAGGCCTCAGCACTCTACCCTCCGTATGCAAACAGGACTCTAGATCATGCTGCCCTGTATATGTATTGTGCAAGACCATGTTCACCACTTTAATGGAATAGCAACCACCCAGATCCAACACCCAAAATCATGTGCATTCAGCAGCTCTCTCAAAATACTTTCAAGTGAATCAGATTTGCTAAGGTGTTAAACCCAAACTTCTAAGGCTTTGATAAGAGGAATGACCTGCTGTGGGTTTTATGTACCTTTTGGTGATATCTCCAGTGCTTTCTGACCGGACACCAAACCTGAAAGGAGAATTGAAATTGTTCTTAGAATACCTGTTTAGTTTAGTGTAATCTGACACATGTATATTATTCACAGAGGGACACCTGGTGGCCCAAAGAAGGATTATCCCAAAATGCATTGGGCTTGAAATAAATCTTTCTTCAAGCATCTGGAGTTTCTTCCTTTCTCTGCCCCCCATCTTAGGCTAAAAGACAATGTATTCCCCAAAGCTATCTGGTAAATGTAATAGTTGAGTCCAACTGAGTTTCTCACATACAAATTCAATGTTGCAACCACTGCAGTGGTGTGCTGTAGTAGATAATTCTGAGCAAGTTTGCCAGACTCGATAAGTGTAAACTCTCTGTACATAATCATTTCATAACTCTTTTCTAGAAGACACTTGCACTCTGGACAGAAGTGGTAGGTAGAGCTAGTTGGATCACCTGTGTTAAGCACAGCTTGTTCATGGCTGCTTTTTGTTCCAGCTGGAGATGCATGGAGGGAAATGAGTCGCAGGTTTTCTCAGAGTCCCTTACCTTTCTCTTTCTCTTTTCTGAGTTTAGCAGCAGACTCTTTCTGATTAATATCCGAGAGCACTTGTATGGTTACATCTATTGCGTCATCTCCACCATAACACTTGAGCAGGAGATTCTTGGTATCTACCCTGTCCGCGTTCTCTAGCCGACTTCGGGGAATTATGAAACGCTTTCCTTCGAGGTCTGAATAGGAGAGCTTGTCTTTAAACCTTTTGAAGTCTTCCTGAGAAAGGTCATCGAGCACAAGTAAGAGCAGGTCACTGATTCGGCTGCTTTTGTTTCCCATCGTTAAGCATCAAAGAACTAAACTGAAATATAAAGAAGAAGCAAAGTAGCACTTTAATTACATAATTTAAAAAGGAAATTTAAAATAAACATGGTGGATGGGATTAGTTGCCTACAGAAAGGAAAATAAATGGCTGTATATCTAGGTCGCTTGACTATGGCAAGTGCTATACTCTCAGACTGGGGAAACTCACTCTATACTAATGTGTGCATGTATACTTGTCTATGTGTGCACTGTCTGTTAGTTTTGAGACATCAGAGTTATTTTTTGGAATGTTTATTTTAATATGAATCAGTTTATAAAAGCAGTGCTCACAAACTGCTCCAAAATTGCATACCTATGCCTTGAACGTTGCTACTACTACAACTAATGAGGATTATGGTATTTGAAAATGCGTTAAACACTGCAAGGAAGTGAAAGGGGCTACTATGAAGGCTCTACCCAGCTCTGACACAATGTAGTTTTTTAAAATGTTTAAAAATAGAATAGAAACAGGAAATTTAAAGGAAGATGTTTTAACTAAGAACATCAGCAGGACAGTGATGCAAGAAAAACTGCTTACAGTCTTCAAGCAGTAGCGGTAGTTGTGGCCACCAGAGTGCCAGGGTGCTGAGGATCAGCTGCACAGCTGGCTGACGTCAGTAATGGCCTTAGAGGTTTCAGTTCACATCACGAGTCAATGGTGGTCACTCCTCGTAGCCCTCCATGGGCTGTGAGGAGGTTCAGGCAGGAAAAAACCAGGTTCCTCTATAATTTGGACAATTGGCATTAATCAAGAGGCACTCCTGGCCCACCCATTTCAATCCTAATTCAGTGTCTTTCTTTACTGCATTTATACTTCCCACCCCCCTTCCTCACTCCCCAGTGGCCTCCAACCTGCTGCACACGAGTCCGCAACACAGAGACAAAACAAGACAAACAACCCCCTACTGAAACCAAAGTATAATTAAACAATGGAAACATAAAAATAAAGAGCCATGTCTGTTAAGTATATGAAACATAATGAGAACATTGTAGAACACTGTAGGGCGGCACATAACTCAATGGGAAAGTGAGCTAGGTACTATAAACGGCATTAAGATGACTGAGGTGCTCAGTGCCCACTTTCGCCATATCTGAGCTGCGCCCTCACCCACTCAAGATGGGGCATCTGACAGTGGTACTTTCATGGCAGCACAGAGGTCCAGGGCCTGTTTAAAAGTGTGGCACTTACTATAACAGCTACAGTGGTACCTCAGGTTACAGACACTTCAGGTTACAGACTCCGTTAACCCAGAAATAGTACCTCGGGTTAAGAACTTTGCTTCAGGATGAGAACAGAAATCACGCGGCGGCAGCAGGAGGCCCCATTAGCTAAAGAAGTACCTCAGGTTAAGAACAGACCTCTGGAACGGATTAAGTTCTTAACCCGAGGTGCCACTGTACATGACGAGTACCTGCAACTTTTCTTCTAGAAGAAAAGCACTGCTCCCAAGTATTCTGGAGAGATTTGACGCCCTTTGCCTTTCAACTTCCTCAGCAATTGTCCAGTAATTGGTTCAGTTACACTTACGTCTTGCACCCAGGTCCTGGGTGTTCCCCTACTGGGGCCCAGAGTCATTGCCCCTCTGGCCAGTTTCATGACCAATTGTCTAGGGCAGTGGCTCCCAATTGCGTAACCCACCGAAGGGATCTGTGGCACCATCCACATAACAAAAACTACCATAGAGATACCAACATTTTCAAAAGGGGTCCATGGCTTGGCTTTTGAAAAATGGGGGGGGGGCACAGTACTTAGCTAATTGGGAACCACTGGTCTAAGACACAGTCATTTCTGATATCTAGAAATGTTATATCTTTGTCATTACTGGAACTCACACCTACCCAGTCTGTGTGGGAGTAACTGAAGTCACCCATTCCTACAGCCAGTGCTCCCCCACAAAAAAAAATGTTTAGGGGTACTCTTATTTTCCTACTCATGTTGAAATACTGCCCCTCAATGAGGCCAAACTTAGATTCACAAAATGTTTAGGGGTATGCGTACCCCTGCATACCCCCAGAAAAAGCACTGCCTATAGCACTTCCTCCTTTAGATGCCTCCCTAGTTTAATTCTCCATCTCACAATCCCCCTGGGGATTTTGGACAGGCAGACAATAGTACACCCCCAGTCCTAAATTACTCTTGTGGCCTGATATCAGCACCCACAATGATTCCATGGGGGAATCTGTCCCTTTGGGGATTTCTAACATGGTGGATTCTATGTTGCTTTGACCTACAGTGTGAAACCACTCCCAGTATGCCTTTTCCGGTCCCTTCTGTGGAGTTTGTCTTTAGAGAGATAACCGTGTCCTACTGGTTCTCTTCCTTACACCAAGTTTCCATTATGCCTACTATATCTGTATTCTTTATTTTTCCAGAAACTGTCTCACCTAGACAAAATCTAATGACAATGTGAGGCAATAGAATATTTATTGATACTTTAATACTTAACCTTGAACATCTGTAAATCTAAATCTATAGGTATTTATCAGTGTTCCATCCCATTCAGGATATTTCACCAAAGTAGCTGTTCCATTTAAAAACAAAACAACAGCAAAAGTTTTCACCAGAGTTAAGACTTCATATGCAAAAGCCCCATTGAAATATATGGGAATTAAGCTATAGGTACAGCTCATTCTTAAGGCGCTTGTGAAGAAGTTCCCCAATAGCAAACTTCATAGATCACAGTTGGCCTTTCATCAACACTATGATTAAAACCAGAAAATACTGGAAGATAATAAAGAAAATTATGTACTTACCATTAGTTAGCAAGGATAATGCTGTGAGTAAGAAATCTGGCTATGTCTTGGATTCACTTGGATCCACTTTCTGAGTGTTCAGAGGAGATTCCTACCTTAGACCCCCTGAAGAGGAAATAGGAAACATTTACATCATACTTGATTGTTGCAAAACTGTCAAACCCAAATCTTTCCTGTTTTCTGAACTGCCCTAAATGCTGTCTGACTGATATAAAAGGGAATGTGTGTCTTGTTTAGTGTTGTTCCAGTGTGTGCTCAGTTTCAGTAAAAAGAAAATACTTCTCTATTCTGTGAATTTTACTTCTTCGACTTAGCAATTGCTTAACGGAGTGTGTTCCCACGGTGCCTGTTGTCTCCTCAATTATTACTCTCTTGGCTTCTGAAAGTTCCAGGAACCTGAGGTCCTTTGTGGGCATGCACACAGATGCATGTGTTTTGTCTGTGAAATTGCACAGCAATACATCTTACCAAAACGAACCTTTCAAAAATGTCCCACAAAGAGCCAAATGTTCATTAAAAAGTAATAATTCTTTATTTATTTACCACTTTTGCGTAAAAAAGAAGTTTCAAGAGCCACTAAATTCTTCCAGCTCTGTTCTTTTCTGGCCATGTTGCTGTTAATTGATTCACCGTTTACATCATTAGCCAAGTCCTGCTGCTCGTGCCGGGAGAGCTTTCTTAGGCAAAAAAGAAGCCGGAGGGGGGCGCTAAAGAAACGGGGAGATTCTTTTTCCACTCTCCATGTGTGCAGCACAGGGATCCCCCCCCCCATCAAATAGTCCATGGATTCGGGAAATCCAAATTAATTAGGCAGAAACTTCAGGCTTCCACCTGGATGCTCTGTTTACAACATGTAAAACATACACACAAAATGCATCAAATCCACCTTAGACTGCCATGTGTGTACACCCTAAGAGGAAAAGAACAGCATAAAACCACATGCTACTTAAGTGTGTACCCAGAGAACTGTATTCTGCGGGTGGGTGGTGGTTGTTTTAATGTGTGTAGTGACATTTTGCTGGGTGGCACCTGTGCTTCTATTTGCTAGTCTCCTAAGCACAACCAGGGACGCGGGTGGTGCTGTGGGTTAAACCACAGAGCCTAGAGCTTGCCGATCAGAAGGTCGGTGGTTTGAATCCCCACGACGGGGTGAGCTCCCATTGCTCGGTCCCTGCTCCTGCCAACCTAGCAGTTCGAAAGCACATCAAAGTGCAAGTAGATAAATAGGTACTGCTCTGGCGGGAAGGTAAACGGCGTTTCCATGTGCTGCTCTTGTTCCCCAGAAGTGGCTTAGTCATGCTGGCCACATGACCCGGAAGCTGTACGCCGGCTTCCTTGGCCAATAAAGCAAGATGAGCGCCGCAACCCCAGAGTCGTCCACGACTGGAACTAATGGTCAGGGGTCCCTTTACCTTTAAGCACAATCAAGCCATCTTGTTTCTAACAGCTCAAATGATGTTGCGCAAAACAGCTGTATTAAAACTCGAACTCAAATTGGTCCTTGTTGGGCTACAAGGCAGGAAAGGGGGAAGGAAAACAGTGTGTTTCCAAAGCCCTCTCCCCAAATTGCTGCCTGCCTCTTGCCTTTACTGCTTATGTTCTTCTCCAAACAGCCCTCTGGCTCTCCATGTGTGGAGGTCTGGATTTCAGCTCCTCCACACACATGGGAGGTTGATGGCAAACCCAAGGCAAGGCAGCGTCCTGGGTTAGTCACTTATGACCCCTTTTCCTCTCCTAAATAACAGCAAAGAAAGAGATTTCTAGAAAATGGGCAGAGGGGGCCTCTCAGGTTTCATACATTTCATTCAGAGGAATAGTACAGCCCCTCAACAGGATTTCCTTCTTCCATTCAGTCATGCCTGCAGTTTTGCCTGAAATCAGAGGAATATTGCAAGCCTTGTAGAAGGCATGCCAGTTATTTTCAGCCCAGAACAGTAGGTTCCCTTCTGGCACCTTATCAGCAAAAGTAAAGCTGCCCCACACATTTTTACTGAAAGCTCTGAGTCTGAGGCCCCTGCTTGGGGGCACCAATGAAGGCCTTTGTGGGTTCCCAGGCATCCATGAGCACAGCATTGGGTGACTCCTGTCAGTTCATTTGAGGCCAGTTCATATATTTACTCAGCTCATCAGTTCTCTTTGCTTGGGGGAAGAGTGGGTTGGGTAAGTACATGAACCAGACCATAAAATCTTTTCTGCATACTTCCTAATTCTCAGGTGGATACCGTTGCATTATAGGGGGAAAGGTTTACTCCATTGTTCATTTCAGTAGATTTCCCTGTCAATATTTATTAAAATAAGAAGATAAATGTTGCAGAAAGTGATTGAACTAAGACTGTTTACGATTTGGCGGGAAGTCAAAACCAAATGTTAAAAGGGCAGGTCATTTTGCTGCCAACACCGTCACTAAGTGCTAAGCTCTTATACCGTTAGGAATTAGCACTGAACAAGTGCCAATAAATTATTTGTTTAAATTCATCTTAGTTTTCCTTTAATGGTGGGCAGTAGTCCACTAGAACAGTATTAATAATTTCATAATTACTGAAAACATGAACTATTGTTTAGAAATGAACTGGTCAAATTCCTATTAAGAACAATGTAACCTTTCAAATGAAGAAATTTGAGTCTGACAGAACCAGAAATGTCAATTTATAACCCCAAAGGTTTATTGCCAGATTCGCTTAACCTAAGAATAGTAATAACATTTCTAGCTAGTAACTGTCAGTATTTTAACAACTCAGCCTAATTTTTTAATAACAGCTGTGATTATTGTACCCTGGAATGCTCACCATTTTGGCTGATTCAAAAGTGACTGCTGGAGTCTGTCCCCGGGTCATTCTTTTAATGGATAAAACCACAATTAAAGGTTTTTATATATTTAATAGAAAGTCACCTGCTTCTCCAAAATTGCCCAAACCAGTTTTGTTGTTTTATAGCTTCTTCAGTTGTCACTACTGACAAATTTTATCTAAAACAGAGATTAAGGCTTGTTTCTGTGTTATTGGTCATACCTGAACTGGACATGAACTTCTTTGGCACTAATAAGCTTTTCAGTTCCTTTTACATTTTAATGTGATCCTACATAATTCATTCTTCTTGAAACCACATGCTTCACTTCTCCAGTTTGCAAAATATCCTTTATCGTTTTGCATTTGTGCATAGCAGGAACAAGTGGCTTCTATGGGCCACTTCATTCTCACGGGAACAAGATCAAAGAGCTATAGTTGTACTTTCCCCTCGCCCCTGCTTGGGAAACCTACTTCATGAACAAAGATGGCTTGAATTACATTTCTGAAGAATTTATTTCTGTAATTTGGCACAAATTCAGCTGGGTGGAAAACCAGCAGTCTCCTATATATATTTAAGCCTGGTCCTTAACTTTCCAAAGGAAGTCCATTGCCTGTTGCCATCTGGTACACAATAGACAACCATCTCCACCATGAAGCTGACAACTGTGTTTCTCCTGGGCACTCTGTTGGTTTGCTGTTATTCAGGTGAGTTGCTTAGCCCATTATAACAAGACATTTTAGTCTCAATGGGCCTTTTGGGGTAAGTATGGATGCTTCCATAGGAAAGAGTTTCATACTGGACAATTTCATACTAAACAGTTTTCCTTAAATACCTAAAATTTGTAAGTCATTGTTATCCTGCTGCTCAAATTAGTTTTCAGTAGCAGTATAAAGTTGCCTAGCTGTCAGGCTTCAGGGAATCCGATCCCCCACCTTCCTGGCTGACAATCAGAAATGGGAAAACAATAAGTTCTTACCATGGTATTTTATTCAATATTCACATAGAAAGACGGAGGATGCCACCTCTCAGATAATGGCGTCGCTCCGAGTAAAGTCCCACCCCTTCCGTCTCTACTATTATACACCATCCCTGCGCTGCCTGATCTGTGCTTTCTGCCTCTGTGCTTTCTGTTCTCCTACTCTCAATGCACGCCGGGTCCTGGGAGAGGAGGGGTCAGGAATGTTGTCTAAAGACACTGAGTCTGTCAGCTGTCTCTCCCCTGGTGCTTCTTCTTCCTGCTGCTCTCCCAATATTTCCCAGCTTCTCCCCTCTCCAGCCTCTGAACTATGACCTTCTGCAAACCACTATTCTAAATCTATACTGTCCTCCTCTTCTCGGGAAGGTTCAGGAGGAGGGTGGGGCGGTCCCCACCATTCCTCCTCAGTCCAGTCCCTGACACTACCCCCAAATGCATTTCATGGGCCAGTCTCTCTCTCTGAGTGATGTCCGTATGGTTGGATGGAGCCACCCTCCAAAGTCAGCTTTGCTTCAGCTTACCCTGATAGCTCTGTGGCAGGATGGGTGCACCAGCAGAGCCAATCCAGAGCTTCCATTGGCATACCCATGCAGCTCTGACCTTGCCGCTCCCTACTCTACCTCATCCTAGCCTCGCCCAGCTAGGATGCAGTGACACCAGTGTTAGGAGGATGGCTCTGCCCACTCACAATTCACAATTGCTTATTAGCATCCAGTGTTGTGGGTAAATGGATCTGGGCTTATGTGCTCATTTTTGCTTGTACAGTTTTCTTTGGACATATGTGGGGGGAAAGTATTTCACCCCACAGGTATTCTGGGTAAGACTGTTATGTTTATATGCAAAGGCTAGCCTGCACCAGCTGCTCAGTACTGGAGTTATTTAGAAGACAACTTGGTCAAAACAGAGAGAGTGTATTGCAGAGCTGTAAATAGCGCCAGTCTTTTGTTATCATTACAGTGAATCTACCTGAGAGAGAGAAAGCTAGAAGTCACCTACCCCAAGGGTGACCCCAAAATATAGGGTTGGGAAAGAATAAGTATGTGCACACATGTAGTCTTTAAAACCACACGGGTTGGGTTTTTTTGTACATAGCAGTTTGCAATTGTACATACCTTAATGCAATAACATCATACAAGCTGCAGCTACTACCCCTGTTGTCTGTACACACAGGTGGGCTTGTTTTCAAACTTGTGCAATGACATTCTCTATTTCACTCAGTGTTGGAACAGATCATATACCGTATATACTTGAGTATAAACCAACCCGAATATAAGCCGAGGCACCTAATTTTACCACAAAAAAACTGGGAAAACTTATTGACTCGAGTATAAGCCGTTTCACCACACCAGAGGCTGGTGTTAGCAGTGGCAGAGGAAGAACAAGCAGCCTGAAAGGGCTGTTTTCGGGCTGCTCGTTCCTCCTCCTCTGCCGCCAACAGCGGCAAAGGCAGAGGAGGAGGAAGGAGCAGTTCGAAAGGACCTTCACTCGAGTATAAGCTGTGGGAGGCTTTTTCAGCATAAAAAAATGTGCTGAAAAAGTCAGCTTATACTCAAGTATATACGGTATACACATAATAGCCTTTCAAAAGAGGGGATGGAAACCAGTGTGTTGATATGCTGTGGATATATTCTAGTATATAGAGGAGGCTATATGACTGCACTGTTTCTTATTTTGTCTATTTCATTCAAAGACAAATTAAACATGATGAGGGCCAGTGGCACAGCCCTGCAATGTCCATAGGGCTTCCCCAATAGGAGGAGGAGACCTGAGAAAGTGCTCTCTGTGTACGCATGTAGGCAGCAAACGCTTGAGAAGTGCATTATCGGTGCAGAACGGATTATAACTGTTCCAGCAGAATGTGTTTTAGATCAACGAATAATTTGGGACAGGGATGACATGGCACCTGTATCCAGTACTGAATGTACATAATCGTGCCATGTGTGCATACCCAAAAAAGAATAGGCAAATTCTGTGTGAGAGTCTCAAGAGGATTTTGGTGGTATGGTGAGGAGGTTAAGAAGACTGGTGCCTGGATCTATTTCTGGATCTATTTCTGGAATAGAAGATCAAATGTGTCCTGGACACCCGGCCTCCCACCCCAAGTTCCAATTTATGGACATGACTGAAATAATAAAATCCTTGTCATTCAGGGTCATGGAATCTGGCATGCTGTTTCATTTACTACCCTAGGGAGCCAGTTAGCAGGTGAGAAAGTGGAAAGCTGACAGATTCACAAAAATAACAGATTAATTAAAAATATTTTTATCTGTTATATATTTGGTTTTTATCATGCACTCATGCACTCATAGTTTCTGCTTAACTTGAATACCCTAGTCAAAGCTACACTACCTGCGTTTTGCCATGTGATGTTTAACTGGTTCAGAGCCTGCTCACTTCTATCACAGTTCAGATTTCCTCACTCAAAATCTAATTTTCAAGCATTTTCCATTCCTTTCCAGCTACTGCTATGAAAACTTGCCCCGTTCTTGTTGATACCCTCACAAACTTCCTTTTTGCCTCACATGATGACTACATGAAAGCAATTGATCGCTTTGCCACCACCGAAGAAATGAAGAAAGCTGCTTCTGTGCTTAAACAATGTGCAGTCGGGCTTCCGGAATCCGTTCTAATAGCAAAAAGCCAAGTGCTGGTAATTATTTTCACACACATATACCCAACACTTAAATCACAGTTTGGGGCAAATTCATAAATGCACATTCATTATTTGAGGACTTGAAGGTCTAAAACTGCTATGACAGATTGCCTCAAGTCACCACAGACACAATATGTTTCAGTGGAAGTAGGCTCTGAGGCCTTGTTCAGATATGGCTGTTTATCACATCATGACTCCAGCATAAGCTGGCTGGGTGTCTATGTGAGTTAACTGTATTGTTCAATAATAAATACTAAAGTCAGATAATAAAAAAGAACCACACAGAGAAAGTTTAATTAGATAGCAAAAAGGTTGTAATAAAAGCAGAGAAACACCAATAATTAAAGCAACCCATTAAAAGTTCAGAAGATTCAAACTGTCTTCATCTGTTGCCTAAAAATTAGAAAATTGGCACCAAAAGTGTATCTCTGCTAGCAAAGAATATTTTACAACCAATGAGCATAGCTGTGAACGTTTCCCCTTTTAAAACGGAAATTCCCTTATTCCGAATAGGATTCCTCACAAGTAAAGGGAAAAGCTGACAGCTATGCTAAAGAGGGTTTCCAGCCCCTGGGGATTGGTGGTGAAGGGCAAAAGCTCCCACATTAAAGAAGCACATTCAATCTCTGAGATTAGAACAGGAGTTGTCAACCTTTCTGGGCTAGAGGACTCATTCAGAATGTTGAGAAAGCACAGGGTTCTAGTTATAAAATGGCTGCCACATGTAGAAGAGCAGAATAAGAGACAGGACACAAAATGGTGCAGACCTCCTCCCCATCAGCCATCTCCATCAGTTGAGGAGGAAAAATCACCTATATTCGCCCCTACTGCACTCACTCACAGAGAGAAGCTGTTTGCACCTCTCCCCTGTTCAGCACAGATGGGAGGGTGTGTGTCTAATCCTGGCATTCACTGAAATGTAGCATGTTTAAAGGGGCACTCATCGTCTATCTTGGAGAGGTTGAGTAAATGCAAACAGGAACTGTGCAGGAAAAGCAAACAGTCTCTCATGCATTGTAGATTTTTGAGGGGCTATTTACTGAGCCCTTTTGCAGGCACCACAGGAGGTACTGGTGCCCTCAAGCACCACGTTGGCTAACCCTGGATTAGGACAGCCTAGACACAACCTACCATATCAGAGACAGATATGATTATATGATTAGGTTTTATCCTATTCTCCATGTGAATTACAGCATACCTTTCTATTGGCAATCTTTGTTCCAGTTAAATATCCTGCATGAATGTGAAAAGCCGCAACTGCTGCAAAACTGAAGCTTTGAGGAATTCTCCCGGTCCACCAGCCCCAGCCAGGACAGGAACCCATGATGATCATGCTAGCTATTGATTGCGTTTTCCTTTCGCCGATCTTCATCCTGCTGAAACGTATATTTGCTTCAAGAGCCGTTATTTTCTCAAATGATCCCGCTCTTCAAGATCGGGCATCTTCACAGGCTTCTTTCTAGTCACATCTTTCCTTAATAAACAAAAAGCATACCAGTGGCGTAGTTTGGAGGGTGTTTTTTTTAAAAAAAGAAACAACTGATAACAGCTCATCTCTTCCAGGGTTTCCACCCCAGTCTGTATCCATAGTGCACGTTAACAATTCATTAAGTTTAATAACTTTGATTTTCTAATTTATGGTTTAGGTTCGTACGTTGTGCTTTGTGTTGCCTCCCCCCCATAGACAAAGCCTTTCTTGCCTGAAAATCATTTTGTGAATTTTTCCCCAACTTGTCTTTAGCCAACCCCACTCCCCATCCACCTTCCTTTCATTCAGCAACCTGCCATGTCTACCCATCCTTCCCTCTCACACTTTCCAAGTGCAGCCAAGTGCAGCCAAAACCAAGATGACACATGGCCCAGATCATGCATTAGTCACACTTGAACTTTACAGGCACATTAAATCTTTATGACTACACATTACCATGGATGCATGTTATTTTCAAGATCATGGGCCCAGGGTTGTGATATGCCACAGGGATGTTGCACTGTGTTACAGTTTCCGGGGCAGTCACCAATGCATTGCTGAATTGGTTTATTGTTACAAAACACCAAAATGCTATCAGAGAGAAAAAGGGACACGAGAGTGAAACTGCCAAAACGAGAACAGAAAAAATGTAGTAAAACTTGGGCAGATAGTTCAAAAACACCACACTGCCTGGACCAACAGCTTACTTGCTCGTTTCTGTGACAAAGCCAAAGGATTACCCTGATGGCACAAGTGAAATAGTAGCACCTTTCTTTCTACTTTCCTTCAAAAATATAGTTAAAATATATGCAATATGTGATATTTTATGAGACAAGCGGCAAAAGCAAGCAGAAGTATAACCATAGGAATGGCAGAAAAGTTCTCATTTTAGCTATGGTTTAAATCAGAGACAGTGCCTGACTGAAGCTAAGCAGGTTGGCCAGAAATGGCCTTGCCTCGTAGCCAGATGACCTGCCTCAGGTGGCACCATGAGGGACGGGGCAATGAATATACGAAGCTGCTCTCCATGGTTTCAGGCAGGAGCTTTTGCCAGCTGTACTCAGAGACACCAGGGATTGAAGCTGGCACCTTCTTCATGCAATGTAGATGAGCTGTGGTCCTTCCCCGATGAATGCAGGCACTGATGCCTTAATGGGTGAGCCAACTATTGCATATTCACCTTGGCTACAGCAGAGGTAGTTCTAGGCTAGGCTTCAGGAAACAAAAGAGTAATGAGTAAGCACTTGGTTTGGAATTTTCAGTGTATTGATGGGAGATTGATTGGGACCCATCTGTAGAAACAAATACATTGAGATGCGAAGATGTTATTGGACAGCATGCACACCTCCACGCCAATGGCAAAGTGCTGCTGGACTCACTGATCATGGCATCACTTCATAGGAAATAGCAGCTCAGGGCAATGGTCCTCAGAAGAGCACAGAGAGTTTGCCTTGGCAGGATAATCTCCTAGAGAATGCCTGAGGAAGGTGGCTCTATTTTCACCCCCACTTCAGATGCAAGCCCTTCATCAAAGTGCTCAAAAGCAAATATTTGTTTTAAAGCACTGGAGTTTGTTCCCTTAATAACATGCAGTGTGTGCATAAAACATTACTAACTAGTTTTCAAAGCACACCATCAAATAATGAACATGCCAGAGCCTGAATCAGTACCCAAAGTAGAAAAGTCAATATATACAAAACAATTCCCCTAATTTAGGCAATTCCTTAATAACCTCAATGGCTTAGAAACAGAATTCATATTAGTTTCCAGATATTTTTGTCTGTTTAGAAAACCTGCGGCCATACTGATCATTTGGATACAAAGGCAATTCAGCCTGTCCTAGAATTACCTGCCCTTTCTTCTTTGTAGCCTTGAAAAACTTATGGCCAGTGGTCATTGCAAATACAATTCTGGAGTAGATTTATCAGCTACAAATCATGTGCATTAAGTACAACCAGTGCTTTTTCCCTTTAAGAAAATGTTTAGGGGCACTCTCATTTTGACTCAAGAAAATCACCATTTTATAGTACAAATTGGGAAAAATAAATATGGTAAGCAGACAAGAGTACAAGAATTCACAAAATGTTTAGGGGTATGTGTACCCCTGCATCCCCCCAGAAAAAAGCACTGTGTACAACATACGACATGAATATATTTCATTATTATTTTTTGTACATTTTGTATCCTGTATTTTACTTCCCCAAGAAACTGATAGACATTCTAGCCTCACAAAAATCGTGTGAGATGGTCTGTGCTGAGTCCAATTTCTCCAGAGATACCTAGGGTGCTTAATATGGGCGCAACCAGGGATTCATTCTACATGTCCAAACTCAGTCCTCAAGCCATGGCATTCCATCTGTTCTCTTACCTTTAAGCAAAAATCCACATGCATTGTCCATACAAGCCCACAGGGAACCAGGTTTGTCCTTAAACCCCTGCAATGTGCACAAATGGTAGAGCCTTACTCCTTTGGGCAAGGGGGCTGCCACACTCCTTCCAGCTCAGGGTTTTCCACAACCAAACACTGTCACAGCTATGCCCTGCTCTCTCAACAACCCTCCAGAGTCCAGCCTGTATACTTCATCTGCTTTTCCTGGGTAGTCATTTACTTCATCTGCTTTTCCTGGGTAGGTTCTGGTCAGCACAGAACATGGCTGCTGCAATTTCTTGCAGCTCATCCTCCTTCGGAGCCACACACGCACCATGTGAATCATATAGAAATTGCCTCCAGTGGAGTGTATTCTTGTGAACGCTCAGGTTCTCCCTGTTTTTCATTGGAATTGGTTAAAATACGTGTCCAGGGGACTCAGCTACATTAGTCAAAAAACGACGTTTTGAATGCATTATAAATATGCAACCTCAGGTGGCGCCAGAGAGCAAGAAAAAATTCTATGTGATTTTTACATAGCTTCTCCCCCTTTTGTTATAACGATTTAATTTCTGACTTATTTATAGCATGGTTTTTTCCTGTGTGTAGATCCACCCCAGTAAAATGGTTTTTGGAGCATTTTTAATGTTATTTTTGCAATATGCATTTTAATGCACATTCTAACCTTCCATCCCTAGACACCCTCCAAGTAATCCTGATGTAGCACCTTCCTGCTGGCACCCCCTCTTCCTGTGCACCAAAGGGTAAGGCTGCACACAATCAGTCACTCTGCTAGCCGCAGCTTCTTCATGCACAGGGTGTGATATGCACACAGGGGAGCGGCAGCTGGGGGGGGGGAATGATGTTAGCCTGATCTGGTGAGAGAAGGGGTTACAGGAGATGAGTTAGAGACTGTGGGAGCCGGCATGGGACTCTGTGGGTGAATGCACAAGATGCTTTGAGGCTGAGGAGATAGGTCCTCAGTTATAGATTTAGATGGAGAATAAAGATTTCTTGCCATGCAAAACCAAAAAACCAAAACCAAGTGAGAGGAACAGAAACCACAGAGAATGCAGAAATTAAAAACATCCTCTCAAACATGCCAGCTAATTTATATTGATCGCAGCTACATGCATTTGAGAATATAGATTCCTTCTACAGGAGCAATTGTAAACTTTCACATTCTGTAGAGTAGCTATGTGAAGGTAAAGGGACCCCTGACCATTAGGTCCAGTTGTGACTGACTCTGGGGTTGCAGCGCTCATCTCACTTTATTGGCCGAGGGAGCTGGCGTACAGCTTCCGGGTCATGTGGCTAGCATGACTAAGCCGCTTCTGACGAACCAGAGCAGCACACGGAAACGCTGTTTACCTTCCCGCCGGAGCAGTACCTATTTATCTACTTGCTCTTTGACGTGCTTTCAAACTGCTAGGTTGGCAGGAGCTGGGACCAAGCAACGGGAACTCACCCCGTCACAGGGATTCGAACCACCGACCTTCTGATCGGCAAGTCCTGGGCTCTGTGGTTTAACCCACAGCGCCAACCATGTCACTTAGAGTAGCTATGTAGTGGGTGCCAATCCTGCTGCCTGTTAGGCACCATGAGGAAGGCCATCACCTCTGGTGAGGATGCTGTGGAGGTGGGTGACCAATGGCAGCAGCCGTGGGCCCAAGTCACACTGCAGGCAAAGGTGGTAGTGGAAGGGAAGAGAACAGGGCTCTGTCCGCCTTCTCTGTCTTTGTGGGGCAAAGTGACAGACTGCATTAACTTGCATGGGGAAGAGGGGAGAATGTCTGCACCCTCAGAAATGGCTGGTGGGGTGGAGGAAATCTCACCCATCCACCAAAGTCTCCATTATTCTGCCTCACCAGCTCTAATGGGTAGGCATCAGCCGGTCACCCTAAAATTGATTTAAAAAGTGCATTTTTCACTCAAGCTTATCACTAACAGAGCTAACCAAAGTGACCCTCCTGGTGCCAACTAATTTGAGAATGTTTGAAGCATCTCTTTGTCTCCCTCAGATTCAATTTTTGAAGATAAGCAAACCAACAGGACAATTCCTCTCTCATCCATCTAATTCCTCCCTCGGGGTAGAATGAAGAGAACAAATATGACGAAGGCCAAGTGTCCTCCTATGTCCTGTTGTGGGTGGTGTTGCTCTTGCTACCTCCTGTATATATACATACACACCTGTGCTGTGCAGCTCACCATCACAGACAATTTCCCTGGTAAGGTAATCAATACACAGAGTGTTCTCCGTAATCATGAAGTTGGCGCTTGTCGTTCTCTTCATCACCCTGGCATGTTGCTGCTCCTCTGGTAAGCATCACTCATGATTAGAATTGCTATTGTTGCACTTTTATTGTTGTAATCTGCTTTGGGATTTGTTTTTAAATGAAAAGCGGTATGAAATGCTTTTAAACAAATCACCAAACAGTTATGCTCTTTTTTCCCTCAACACACTGAAGAAGCACAAATGACCTCATTCAGCACAGTGTTTTCAGAGATGGCATTTGCAAATGAAGTACAGTAGGGGAAAAGAACTAAAAAATTTGGGCTTTAGGCATCTGACTTAGGTGTGTACTCGTGTTGCTGAATGTAAAATGTGGAAAGGGGGCAATTGTGGATGGGGGGGGGCAATTGTGGATACAGCTGGCAGATGTTAATGTGACTTCAGTGGAACATTTTCCAGCCTCTGTGATTGTGGAAATTCCTGGCTCCGTCATTGCCAGCCTCAGGTAGGCTTCACTTGCTGTGTCAATGTGAGGGATTGCTTCTGTATTGAAGGAAATGTTTGGTGAAAACTGATCCCCAGAGATGCAAACTCACCACTTTGTTGACTAAGTCTCAGTAAGTCAAAGTGCTGATGCCCAACAGCTTGCGAAGGTTGCTCAGTATTTGCTAGCTGCTTGGAAGAACAGTTAGTCTCCAAGGAAGCACTGGAGAGATGCTTGTGGGATTTCCTGCTTCATGGGTCAAAATAATGTAACAAACCTTGAACAACATCCACCCTTGAGTCTGTGAAGGTATCATTTACCACTCCAACTCAGGTTTAAAAACAACAACCCAACAATATCTCAAGGGAAGCACTTTCAAAATTGTTACTATTAATATTTTTGAATTATGAACAACAACAGACCAAGTCTGTGGTGGTAGTTCCACACAACTGGGAAGTGGGGCCTGGTGCCTTGTAAATATTTAGGATTATATAGTCTGAGTAAATGGCATCCAGTTTAGATCAGAGCTAGTGCATTCTCAGGTGAGTCCTTTTCCTTCTAGCCAGCTATCACACAAGTTTTTTTATGTAAAGAGTTTTTAAACATTCATTTAATTTATTGAAAAATCCATTTTGATTTTTTTGTTTTGCTTTTTTCTAGTTACTGCTGATATGTGTGATCCTGTTGACGAGTTTCTGCAAGCAATGCTGAATAAATCAGATGAAGAATTTAAGGAGGTAGCTGAAAAGTATGCCGAGGACGACCATGGGGTAGAAGCCTCAATGAAGCTAAAAAAGTGTGCAGATAAACTGACAAGCGAGCAAAATTCTGCTTACCTTGAAGTGGCGGTAATTATCAGTTTTGCCATTTTCTTTTCTTGCTTTTTGCGGCACAAGCCAACAAGCAGATTCAGGATTTGCAATCAATCTTTGTTTTCCTCTCTGTTTAAAAAAGTTATATTAACACAGAGATCAAAGGTCATAAGATATAATATCCTGGTCCAAAAAGCACTCATAAACCTTGTCCTGCCTTCTTCCCCATAGATAACTGTATCTCAATTGTTATGGTGTTGTACCTGAATATGGTTACAATATAAATAAAATTTGAAGCAAGCAAGCCAGGTCAGGCCAGCTGACCTAAATTAAACTATGAGCCAGTTTTCTCCCGTTCAATTGCTTACATGCCATTGGGCCATCTGCTCCCAGTACACCTGAATCACCCAAAAGTAACCAGAGCTGCACTGTGTACCCATAACCCCCTGCTTCTTTGTCCCGCAACACTCTGTATTGACCTGGATTTCATTTCATTTCAGAAAAATGTAATGGCCAAATGCAAAGAAAGCTGGAAGGAGGATTGATCCATGGATGAATCCAAGCTGATTCCACAGGCTGACTACTAGCATCAGTTGCTGCAAAGCAACACTCATTGAACCATTCTTCTACTTCTTCTGTACTGTCACTATTCCGTCCTGAGATTTCTCTCTCAATCTGGATAGTATTCAACAAATACTATCGAGAACCTAGAGAAATCTCACCTGTTGTTCTTGAATCATTCATAAACAATAAACTCTCTGCCTTGCATTTCTGTGCTCAAGATTAATTTTTGAGTGTGTATTAACTTTTGTCACAGTTAATCCAGAGACTTCATTGGGGATCTAGAATTCTAGAAGGGTGACATAACTTTTGTCAATAAAGGGTCACTAAAGATTCAGCATTGCTATATTAAAGAATACCATGTTGGTTAGAGGTGGGGGAGTTGTATTATATCTCTCTGAATATTCAGAGCAGACTCTGAATAATCAGTCTGCTGCAACATTCAGGCACATATGAAAAGGACTTTGGGGTTTAACAGACCACAAGAGTCAGCTGTGTGATATGGCAGCTAAAAAAAGCCAATGAAATTTCTAGGCTGCATCAACAGAAGTGTAGTGTCCAACTGCAATAAATCATGGTACCACTGCATTTTTCTTCGGTCAGACCTCAGCCTGGAATACTGTGTCCAGTTCAGGGAACTGGAGTTAAAGGAGAATATTGTTGCACACCACCCCAATCTCTGAGCGGTACAAGATTCCAGAGGTTCCAAGCACTTACCCAGGATTCGTGTTTCCTTTTGGAATGAGGCACAGTGGAGACTGTGGTGTCTTTAGGCTATAAGGGTTATTTACACATACATACAGCCTGATCCTATGATGGAGGCATTCACAGCATCAATACCCCAAAAGGGACTTGTTTCTCCCATAGCGACAGCCTTGGATCCAAGCAGAGATCTGACATGGCGCTCTCTCTCTGCTTGCTGCATTGCTCACAACACAGCCCTGAAAACTCTGCTCCAAACTCTGGCTTTGTCTTTTGCAAGAGGAGCCCCCACCTTCAGAACTAGGGTCATCCAATGAAGCAGAATTGTAGAAGATTAGGAAAGACAAGAAGAACTACTGCGTCACAGAATGGAATTCATTGATGAAAATGAAGCAGAGATGGTTACTAATTTAGACAGCAGGCGATCAATAGTGACTAATGTTAGCTGAACACAACCTCCTGTACCAGAGGCAATATGCTTCTGCATACCCACCAGATCTCCCCATTTGAGCCATGAGGCCATTTCAGCAAGCCACACAGACATTAAAGTACAAGCATGTCCATAAATTCAAAAATGGCAGAAGCCAACCATTTAACAAACACAGAATAAATTCAACATTACAAAGAAAAAAACAAAAACCACCACAATCTAGATTTAAGTTACTGTCTTTTTGGCGACGATTGAAGATCCTCCATTTCTAATAAGGACCAATATACACTGGTCAGTTAAAACATTAAAAATGCATTATAAAAATGAGACATCAGCGGGCACCATAGAGCACCGATCCGTTGTCAATGTAAAATTGCATTGAGAGCTATATGATGAGGGTTAGGGTTAGGGCTTTTACAAATCAGTATAGATCCAGCCTAAATCTCTGAAGTAGATTTTTTTATCCCAATCTGTATCTGTATTGGATTTGAAAGTTTTGTAGTAGTAGTAGTAAGTAGTAGTTATTCATATTTATTTGATTTCTTACAAGCCCTTCATCACAATGTCCCAGGACACAATTTAAAAACATAATGTTAAACACAGTTTTTAAAAAATAGTCACAAAAATAAAAGTAAAAGTAAAAGACCCCTGGATGATTAAATCCCGTCAAAGGCGACTATGGGGTGCGGTGCTCATCTCGCTTCAATAGGGTGGGTCAAAAACACTTTCTGGTTTTATGACAATCAAGTCGTATTTAAATCAAGTGAAATAATAAATTTGTGTGTGTGTGTTTGTGTTGTAACAAATGAGATGCTGTGGGTAGCAGTACAAAATGGCTGCCATGAACAGCAAAAAATTGGTGACAGTACTCCATATCAGTGAGTACCAAAAAAACCCCCAAAACCAGCTGTGTGTGTGGTATCAAAGGTCAGGAAAACTGATGTGTCTTCAGCATATGACTGAAACTACACAACGAAGGTGTCAGGCACATATCTGCAGGAAGAAAATCACAACAATTAAGAATTCATAATTAAAAACAGTTAAAATCAAACCGCAGTCTCAGGAATAGGGTGAGCCCAGAAAACATACATATCAAATGTCAAAAGGGTAAAGAGATGTGTTGTTAGCATTCACCAAAAATTGTACATGCAGGTCCCACTATCCAAACACAAAGTGTTCTTAGGAAGTCATTTGTTATGTGAGCTTTCACTTAAAAAGTCAATGATTTCCAATTATTCCTACAGGGAAATTTGTGACTATGGAATTTTGACCCCAAAATGATGGGAAAAAACAAGAAAACCCTCTGGACAAACAAGGAAAGAATACATGCTCTCTTATTTGTCCAATCTCTGCCCCTCGCCCCATGGTTTATGGCAAAACAGTTGCAACATACAAAAAAACTTAAGAATTCTTTTTGTTTACAATACTACGCAAGGGTCTGGCTGTTGGGATATCTGAATCTGAGGTGTTATAGCGAGGTTTGGGTAATAACAACTCATGTTTGAATAAGTGAATTTTCGTATAACAAGTGTTTGGATAGCAGAACCTTTGCGTGTATAGCAAAGATGCCAGACTCCCTTCTGTGGTCAGGGATTTCCACAGCTTATATGTTTTGATTGTTAAATCACTACCTATGTTTCATGGGTAGCAATTCTTAAGTGAAATGAGTAAACTGGCACCTGAAGGGTAGTATAGAAATTTAATAAAGAAAGAAAGAAGCAAGCCACAATGTGGTGCCAGACATGGGGACAATGGTGTGTCACTTGGTAAAAAATGCCATCTCTGGGCAACAGGCCTCCTCAGAAGCAGAAAGGGCGCTGGATGGTCACTTGAGGGTGCCATATTGTTAGATGGCTGAGGAAGGGGCTTGGTCCCTATCCAATGCTGCTGTTCCACTAGTACAGCAGAGCTTTCCTCTCCTCTCCCCTGCAGCCCACCGCCATCATAAGCTGCTCCAGAGGGTTGGAAGATCCTTTAGAGCAGATATTGAAGGTGCACAGGTTAATGAAAGGGAAGTCCTGCTCTGTGAATAGAACCTGGGTTGCCATATTTCAAAAGGAAAAACCAGGAACTTTTTTTTTTTTTTTTTTTTACATAAACACTGAAAAAATGCGAATTTTCAATTGTCTTGCCTAAGCTCCAGGACCAAGTGCCACCTTTCGGATGTCAATTCCGCCTTTGAAATCCCAGTAATGTCCAGGGAAATCTGGACATTTGGCAGCCCTAATAGAACTCCATGCATGTCGCATTGGATATAACCCTTTATCCCCCCCCCCCGCCCACTCCTAATACAGGTCCTTCATTCAACTGACAACCTTAATAACACAGAGATATCGCCAACTAGTTTTCAAAGGATGCCATCCAAGCATGAAGAAGGGAAAACATGCCTAAATCCAAATCAATCCCAAAATCATAAAAGTCAATAGATACAAAGAGATCCTATATGGTAGGTAATCCCTTAATGACCTAAATTATTTAGAAGTAGCATTTATATTAGTGATCCCTGCCAAAGACATTTTTGACCGTTAATAAAGCCCAAGGCTATACTGGTCATTTGGAATTTAGCCTGCTATGGAATAGCCTGCTTTTTCCTTCCTACACCCCTCCTTGCCGCACAACAACCATCTGCTGTTTAGAGGCCTTGAAAATATTTTGGTCACTAATATTTGCAGATTCCATGATTGTGTCCTGCAATTCTTAACAAAAAATTTTCGCACCACTTGTTTATTTTCAAGCATGTTCATTGCCTTCAAATTTCATTTTCAATATCACCCAATCACCCATTATACATTTGGAAGATTGCTATCTTTAGAGACAGTTTTGGAGAAAATCTAATCCAAGAGAGGGTGGGAGAGTGAAAAAAATAAATTACAGGTGTTCTGGATTGATATTAAAAGAAACCTTGGTGAAATGTCAAACCACAATTTCAATCTAAATCCCATAGCTATTTTTAAAGGAAATTTCATAGAAGTAGTACCAGCTCAAGGACCTCCTCTCCACATATGAAATGACCAGACCCTGCAGTCGTTATCTGAGGCCCTTCGCACGCCTTCTCCATGAGTGGCCCAGAAAGCAGCAACACAAGAACAGGCCTTTTCTGTGTTGGTGTAGCACCCTGCTTGTGGTTAACGCTTAGCTGGAATGAAATATTCAACGCAGCAATAGAGAAATTAAAATAATAATTTATTTGTCAGACAAATAAATGAGAGACACAGTGGTATATGGTTACCAAAGCTCTGCCCACTCCAGCCCTGATGGCCAGCACTTATATTTCCTCAGCCCAGCCCCCTTGCTCCTCCTTTGGCTGCCTCTATCCAATCAGCCTGGTTGAAATTCCTATTGGCTGTTTGCTAGAACCAATCATAAAAGATACACCCATTTCCTATTACCTTTATGGGAGACAAAGAGCTATATTTCCTTCTATCCATAAATGGCAGACAAGTAGCCATATATCTTACATTTGCCTCGACAAGGCACCTTAATTATCAGATCATCTTTGCCCTATTGCCCTATTGCCCTATTCACTCCAAAACAGATGGCTAATGGTTTTAATTTTATCTTAAACAGAGATCTTGGGTTCACCTTCTCACACACCATCAATGAAATAAGAATCTAACATAAGAATCTAACATTTCTTACTTTCTAAATCCTTTGCATAATTACATTTAAGCCAATATATTTCATACATTAACATATATAGCTTTTTAGAAGGAAAGGAACTTAGTAAAAACAGTTTCCAAAAGCAACCCCTTAAATTTACACCCCCCTTTCAAGCCAGCTGCTGTTTCTATTAGCTCTTGCCCTTTAACCTTAGGAAGATGTGGCTCGAGTCTGATGGGAGGCACATGGTATTTTGTAATTTGTATGGTCAATATGACCTTTTGCTCCCAGCCTGTAATTTCCTTTTACAACTTTGAGGTACTCCTATAAATCAGAGGGGCCCTGTTTAGGAAGATAAACATCTGCCAAAGCACCCAGCCAGCTGCTTTATGCCTGGCATAAAACATACAAACATTTGCAAATATATTTTTAAGCTCATTTTAAAATGCAGGCCTTGATCTGATGCCTCATTGGCTCCCCATTTGTGGAATGCTCTCCTCAGGGACTCAACTGGCAGCTTTGTTACATATCTTTAGGCACCAGGCAAAAACATTCCTCTTTTCCCAGGCCTTTGGCTAATTAAACAATCTGTGTGTGCGAGGGTAATTATTTTGTTGTTATTGTTCTGGTATGCATTTTTGTGTTTTCATATTGTAAACTGCCCTGTGATCTTACGATGAAGGGTGGCATAGAAATTTAAGAAATAATCATAATACCAACATGCTATAAAATAGTGGAAAGTTTACCAATTATAAATAGCAAAGCACTGGGATGGGAGATGGGAACACACACACAATCTGGCACAGGATACTAGGGAACAAAATATCCTGTGAATAATTGTGGGAAGGTACAGTAAATATGATCAACTGAAAATCTGGTATAAATTTATTTCATACTGGAACAGTGAACTCAGTCCAATAATACTGGTAATGCATGTTGAGAATGTAAGCAGAAATGTGAGGTAACGATAACTATAGAGAACTATAAACGTGGTAGATCCTTCTCTTTTAAGTAATATTTCAACAAGGAACTCTTTGGAATGGATAAATATGATTCCTGATAACTAAAGTATACAATTTATGGTTCCTGGTAAAATGAAATGTGTTATATTTTGTCGCTTAAATAAATACATATTTTTAAAGGCACTGAGTGCAAGTCTCAGGGCATCTGAAACAGAGGTAGCAGCTACACACCTTGTATGTAAGAATTACTTCCGAGAGGGATCTGTTGTGAGGGGTTTTTTCACATTTGCCTCCTGTCCTTCACCCAAGTAACTCAGAGCCACTTTCTAGCTTCACAATAGGTTAGCTATGCCAAAAGGGTGATTTCCCCAGGACTGTCCTGCGAGCTTCATATGTCAATAGCAATTTTGCACATCCAATCTCAATATTCCAGCTGCCTTACTTTTTCAAAATTCTTATGTACAGCATACCCTCCAACGTTTATCCGATGAAAATAGGAATGTCCCATTCCATGATAATTTTACTTTTTATACCCCACACATCTTACTGGGTTGCCCCAGCTACTCTGGGCAGCTTCCAACATATATAAAAACATAATAAAACATTAAACATTTTTTAAAAATCCCTATACAGGTTTGCCTTCAGATGACTCGGGAGTCAAATAACTCCATACCCCCCAACATTTCTCCAATGAAAATAAGGACATCCTAAGGAAAAGTGGGACATTCTGGGATCAAATCAGAAACTGGGTCGGCTTCTCTAAATCAGGGACATCCCTGGAAAGTAGGGACACTTGGAGGGTCTGTATACAGTGTGCATATATGCCTACAAGGAGCTGACCCGGGCTAGGCCCCTACAGTTCACAGAAGTGGTCAAAAACCTGCTTCTGTCTTGCAAGGAAGTCCCTTATAGAGCACATCACAGCAGCCCATACTCTGGCCACTAATTTTGCAATATGTGAAGCCACTCTCCATCTCCTTCAGATCTGATTCTAGGACTGAAATGTTCCAAGAGACACTAATCAGTAAGAGAATTCCTCTCTCGTCTATATTTTCTCTCCCACGGAAGATAATTTTTAATGTAAAATGCTTAGAGAACTTTGGTTATTGGGCAGTATAGAAACATAGCTGTCAACTTTTCCCTTTTCTTGTGAGGAATCCTATTCAGAATAAGGGAATTTCCCTTTTAAAAAGGGAAACGTTGACAGCTATGTATAGAAATGTGCAAGGATGGCTGCAATGCTAACTCCACTTACCTGGGACTAGGGAGTAAGCACCACTGAATTCAGTAGGACTTACTAATGAGAGACATGGTTAGGTTGCCCCGTCAGTAAATATTTTAAGTAAGTAAATACCAGGAGAAATGTAAATAAGGTCATGTGCACTCTTGTGTCATGTTGTGGGTGGAGTGGTTCTTGCTACCTCCTCTGTGTGTATAAATAAACACACACCCCAAACAGTTTTGCTGCGTATTGGAACCCATACTGGGATTTCTTCTCCACCATGAAGCTGACACTTGTCCTTCTGCTCCTCGCCCTGGCATGCTGCTCCTTGGATGCGCATCACCATGGTAAGCATCACTCCTCTGGTAACTATCCCACTTAATGGCTCTTTGCCTCAAGAGGCAAAAATAATCCAGTCTAATGTCTTCAGATATGGCATCTACAAATGAGATGCAGGAGAACTTCAGCAAAATCATGAATGCCCGTACCTGACACTTCAGGCATACTCTCCTGAGGTAGCTGCAGTGGCAACCAGGGGCCCAGGATAAAGGATGGTCTTTGGGAACCCTCCACCAATGCAACCCCCTCCCCTAATAAATCAAGCAAAGCATCATTTATTGCAAGAATTAATAAGACATCTGATTCTTAAACAAGTAGCCAAGTTAGATGACTTGCTTCTAGTTTGGTGAAACAAATTTTTCAAAAGAGATTTGCCTAGCTAGCTTATTTTCTTCTGAGAGCGTAAGATAGGGGTCGAGCCTATCTTGCCCCTTGGTAAATCTTGGGTGCTCCTTTGTCAGAAGGGGCGAGGGAAGGATAAGGAAGCCCTGTCCATAAGTCAGATCCAGCCCATAGCTTAATTTCATATGGAGGCCATGCAGTCTTCTCCCCAAGAAAGACCTGGGTGGACATGAGCATTGGGTGCCACTGCCTGAAGGCACATGCTCACTTCCATCCTGCCTTCTCTATTCATCTGGTAGGTGCAGAGGCTGAGAAAACCAGCATGCCTCTCCACTGTCCCCAGGTGGGCTGGAGGGAGATGATGGAAACACTTCCTCCTGTCTCTCACCTGCCTGCCTGTCCATTAATGTAGGAGTGTCCACATTACACTCTCTCCATTTCAGGGTTGTCCCACACCTTTCCACCTTTTAATGTGGGGTTTTTTTTCAATCCTTGGAAAGCCCGAAGAGGCCAGGCTTGAAAAACCTTGCAATAATGAAGAGACAGGAAAGTGCAAATCCATGCTTTGCTCCAGTGTGGACAAGCTCATAGCATCTGCTGGTGTAAGTGCCTCTGTCTTGCAGTCTTCTTCTCTGGCATCCCAGCTGGATCCTGGGCAGGGCAGTCTGAAGTGGGCTATCATGGTTGCAGCCAGTTATCACTTAGTTTTTATTTACTTTTCAAAGATGATACTAAAGAAGAGTATGTGTGTGTGTTTGTAGATTTAAAGTGTTTTTAACAGCCTGTTTGGGTTTTTATTTTCCTTCTTCCTAGATTCCCACAAAACATGCAAACCTATGGAGAAATTTCTAGGTGCAAAGTTTTCTGGAACAGATTCTGAGTATATGGAAGAACTTGAACGTTATTCTGACAATGAAGATGGCATCCAAGCTGCAATGGAAGTAAAAGATCTTATTGAAACATTTTCGGCTGAGAAACGTTCGGAATACCTGAAACTTCTGGTAATTTTAAGCATTGTCCTTCTTCTTGCTGGCTTTTTGTGCTTCTAATTCATAAGAAGAGACAGGGGGAGGAATATGATATTGTGACTGCCAAACAGAATGATCTCCTCTCTCCTCCTGCCACATGCTGTTCTGGGGGTTCTCCTGATGCCCCAGAAGGGATTGGGGGGTAGAAGGGGAGTCGTATTGCACTAGTTGGAGCCTGTGCACTGACTTCTGCTAGCACACTGGGTTAATTGAATCCAACCCAGGATGTATATGTTTCCCCCCCCCCATCTAATTTTTTAATTTCATTTTTATTTATGAATTTATAAGAGTACAAAATACAGAACTGAAAAATAAAAGAAAAAAGTGAAAGAAAAGGAAGGGGGAAAGGGGGGGGGAGATACATTACATCAACCCATAATTCTATTTCATCGACTTCCCATCCATCCTTCCATGGTTCCCTAAAGTTTCACTTTCCTGCTGCATATTCTATTTTTTCTAACTATTTAAACATTCAAATACTTCCCAGTATAAACTATAACTGCTGAGCTTACTCCAAACCGATCAAAGTTCTAACATTTTTACAATGGTTTTTTAGGTAGTCTACAAATGGCTTCTGTCCCGGGGATGTATATGTTCTCACCTATCCCACAAATTACAGTCTTTTGGTTTTAAGAGTGTTTTACCCTGCAGATTGAAAGTCATATGACAAAATCTGATGCTCTAAAACGGTTTTAAATACGTTGCCTGACCCCAGCACTCTCCACATACTAATTTACATCCACAGCACACGTATCTGTATTCTCTTTTCATCCCAGATAAATGTTTGCATGCCCAGGCAGATACCCCTGACCCCAAGAGCCATGAATGACTCATGAATGACTCATGACGTGTTATGGGATTAAATTGACCACAACTTTAAACTTTCAGATGTAGGAAAACCTTAGCTTAGGCATTGGGCATGTATCCCTCCCAGTCCCCAGCTGGGGATTTGGAGCACACCCGGGTAATCAGATCTGTCTGGGAAGTGGGCTGGCTCTGGAAGACATTTGTTTACGCAGTGTCCACCACCATTTCACCGCAACACTGGGGAGTGCACTGACAACTTTTCAGCTTATGGCCCTTTAACGGGGAACCCTGGGATCGCCGCCGTAGAGGGGGAGCATCACCGCTACACCCCCCCCCATATAGGGAAGATAGACTAAAGGATTCCACCCAAGGCCTAAAACCTCCAAAGCTGTGACATCTGCTACAGGGAAGGCGAAACTTGCCAATGCAGGGAAATTCCTTCCCGGTCCCTTAACAGCAACCATCCTAAGACCATAGCAGCACCTGAATACCTGTAAAAGAAGTTAACCTGTAATAAAAGAGCATTAAACAAAGGGAGGGTAGGGAAGGTGAAGCTCTGGAGCTGACTGTGTGCTGTAAGGTAGGCTCCACCCCTTTTAACTACGCAAAGAGCTCTGCCTCCCCCCACCACAGATAGGTTTATTAGAACTGAGGTTTGGTGGGAACCTCAAAGAGCTGTGACGTGGGGAGGTGGACCAGGAACTTCTGCCATTGTCTCAGGGATCAGGGTACTGCGTGCGGCCATGCAAAGGGCGCCTTCCGGTTGATGGGAAAGCGGTCACTACGCAGGTTGCCTATGCCATCCATGCGAACCGAGGTACAGAGAGGAGGCAAATATACCACCCCATGAGGCAATCTCCTACTGTTTGAGAAGCAGGCTGATGATTAAATCCAAGACACAAATACTTTTTCTTCCAACTCCCTTGAGTTGGCTCAACTAGAACTCCCTCAAGCCCTGTCTACCTCACCCCTTCCCTTCCTCCTCATTCATAAGGATCCCTGAAGCCTGATGGCCAATAGCTGTGCCTCTCCCAGCTTTACATTACCTTTCTAATCTCCCAGCCATTCTTCACCAGCAGGCCCTGCTGACAAGGAGAAAGGCAGTGGTACGGCCCTTGGTGGTCCTTCAGATTAACCCTACTACAGTTTCAGCCCTCTTTCTTTCTTTCTTTCTTTCTTTCTTTCTTTCGTTCTTTCTTTCCCTCCTATATAATAAAAAAAATCTAACTGGTGAACAAGAGTATATGAAAATATGTACATAAAGTCACTGGAGCTACATTGCATAGCTGTGATTTCTTTCTTCTTTGTCATTCAGAAAAACTTAATGCACAAATGCAAAAAAGACTGGAAGAACTGATCTTTGGATAATGCTACGCTGATTTCACAAGCTGACCACCAATTCCTGAAATATCATATTATTGATCCAGTCTTCGATTTCGCTTGTACTGTCCTTATTCAAAGAAGCTCCCTGTGGGGCAATAATCATTATGTGACAGAAAACCTAGAGAAATCTCATGTGCTGTTCTGCAATCAGTCATATTCAAATTGTTATTAAACTTACTGCCTTGCATTCCTTTGCTCAAGTTTCATTCCTGTAGGCTGTTAAATGTGTGCCATTTGCACTGATCTCTTGAGATTTGCTAGAGCCAGCCAGGGACTATGTTAGAGCAGAACAAGGAATGTTCTGAACAGCGAGTTGCTGGCCCAGCCCTTCTCTACAACTTAGAGAGGGCCCTTGTGTTGCTAGTTTGAGAGACAGGCAGTTGTGCTTCCCTAACTTCCAAACCATTTTTGTGGGGGGTGGGGAGAGTGGCTAGTACTAGGGACAAAGTGCCATAATGATCAGTCAGATACATTGATTCCAGAAAGTCATGGAAGCAGGTGGTAGAGTTTATGGGCCCCAACTTTGATCCCAGGAACAGGAATGCAGCTGATAGAATTGATATGCTCACCTGTGAATAAATGTCTACACACACACACACAAATGTGAGTAAATGCGCTTGCACGCTCATGATACTGACATGTGCTAGACAGTCAGGAGCTTATATTACAAGGTTAAAGGAAGGCAGCAAAGATAAGCTAGAGGAAACCATTCATTTGTTCACTTTTTCAAAATAGACAAGACCTTTCTGCAGGCAATATGATTAGCCCAGGGATGATGAACAAAACATTTCAATAAGGAACAAAGACTGCCAAATGCATCATGTGACTCTAGTCAGTGGCCTCATCCGCACAATACAATTATAGCACTATCATAACACTTTAACCGTTGTGGCTTCTCCCAAAGAATTCTGGGAAATATACTTTATTAAGGTGCTGGGCACTCCTTCCTCCAAGCAGCCCCCCATCTCTAGACCTTCCTTCTTGCCAAACCACTGTAACTGGATATTGCAGAAAAATGGATTCAGTTTGGTCCCACAAGGCTTGCACTCTTGTTTAAGAAGTCTTGCACTTCTCTGAACCTGGTAGGACTCTTAACATAACGTAAGAATAGAAGATGTTCCTGCTGTATCAGACCAATGGCCCATCTAGTCCAGCTTGCTGTTCTCACAGGGGTCAACCAGGTGCCTATGGGAAGCCTGCAAGTTGGACTTGAGCTGGACAACAGCACTCTGCTCACCTGAAACTCCCAGCAACTGGGATTCAGATGTATGTTGGCTCCCAAGGTAGGACAAGGGTATCATTGCTAGTAGCCACTGATGGTCTTATCCCCCATGAATTTGTCTAATCCTTTTGGAAAGCCATTCAAGTTGGTGGCCATCACAGCCTCTTGAGGGATCAAGTTCCATAGTTTAACTATCTGCCCTGAATCTTCCAGCATTCCGCTTCATTGGATGCCCATGAGTTCTAATGTTATGAAAGAAGCAGAAAAACATTTTCTCCATGCAATGCATAATTTCTGTCACATCACCTTTTTCCTCTGAACCAAAAAGTCAAAAATTCTGCAGCATTTCCTCACAGAGAAATTACTCCACCTTCTTGATAGATTTGTATAATGGTGTTTTTATGATATCAGCAGTTTTATTTTTAATTCCTTTTCTAGGTATCTTCTGTTGTGGAGGTGAGGGGTGGTGGTGATTAACAAAATCAATCCTCCTGGCAATATCTGGGAATATCCCCTCACTCACGCAGTTTAGGACATTCCATACCTTTGCTCAGCAGAGTTTCTTGTTCACTGAGAAAAATAAAGCTCACGTATATGTAAACTCAGCTTTAATAATAAAGAAAACTGTAACAAAATAACATAATGAAAGAAACGAAATACGACGGCATGAGGCAAGTTTGAGGCAAGAAACAAGAAGAGACAGTTGGTCCCTCCTAACTGAAACTTAACGGAACACACTGAAGGGAGGGGCTGATTCTGGAGCAGAACACACAAGCCCCTCCCACCAGATACCTAGCACTCTACTATTCAAATTAGGCCCTAGTGTTTTTCTTACATCTTCAGCATGGGATTTGTCTTTCCACAGCTGCTACACCCTGGGTCAAATATTTCTTCAGCTACTACCCCAAAGTCTCATTCCTGATCAGTCACTGGCAGTTCAGACCCTATGAGTGTAAATGTGAAATTAAGATTGTTTTTCACCACAATATGCATCACTTCACACTTGTTTACCCTGAATTGCATTTGCCATTTACTGCCCATTCCCTCAATTTGGAGAGGCCTTTTTGGAGCCCTTTGCAAAATCTTTTCATGCTAATGACTCTGAACAATCTATTATCTTCCACAAACTTGGCTACCTCACTGCTTACCCCTAACTCTAGATCACTTTCAAATAAGCCAAAGATCACAAGTCCCAATACCAATCCTTGTGGGATTCCACTTTCCACATGTCTCCATTTGGAGGACTGTCCATTGATTCCTGTTCTCTGTTTTCTTAACCAATATCTGACCCACAAGAAGACTTCTCCTCTTATTCCATGACTGCTAACCTTACTAAACTTTCATGAGGTACCCTGTTAAAGATTTTTGAAAGCCCAGGTACACTACATCACTGGATCAGTTCTATCTATATGCTTGTTGACACTCCAAAATAAATCTAATAGCTTAGTCAGAAAGGGCTTGTCCATGTAGAAGCCATGCTGGCTCTGCTTCTTGATGATGTACAAACAGCCTGCCTATCTCTCATAAGAGTACATAAAAAAGGCAGTGCCTATCCCCAGAGAGGCGGAATACCCTCCAAGTAGCAGCATTGGGGTAAAGTGGCTGTAGCCACCTCGTATATTACTGATCTACAAAGTAAGCATGGCCAACAGACAGGGGATAGGAATGTTGTATTCCAGAAACATCTGGAGGGCCATAAGTTCTTGTTCCTTGACAAGATCTCCTGAAAAGGTTTTAAGGGTTGATCAATCCATTAATCCACCTGATAGCATGCTTGTGAGCACTCCTCTTCTACAGCACACGAAGGTGCAAAATTTGCCTCAGACACTTAATACCAAACACACAAAGCTGCTTTGCACAGGTTCAGATCATTTTCCATCTAGGCCACACAGACGTATTAGCGTAAGCACTAGATTGGCTCTGCACAGCCCTGACCTCACCACCACTTTCCCCTTCCAGTACATGGAAGTGATGCTCCCTCTGTCAAATGTTGTTGTTGCAGCTCCACCCAACCAGGTGAGCTGCTCTTGATCCCTCATAATAGTATACAGCATTTTAAAAATGGGTGAGATTTCTTCTCGTGGTAAGTCTCATGATTTTTATTTTTAAAATCTTTGGCCCTTTTCACTTTGTTTTTAGCTAAGGAATCTTTCTGCCCATGTCAGACCTTTCGCCCACAGAAAGTTATAGTACATTCCTCCACACAAGGAAAAGATAACAAGGAAAGAAAAGGAGAAGGAAATCAGAAGAAACCAAGCTGGTTAGTAAAGATAATATTGTCTATACTGTCTGCTTATGAAATGAATGAATGAATGAATGAAGATGATCTGGATAATTGGGGGGAGTGAATAGAATTCAAAGCAGAATTCATAGTTAGCCTAGCCCAAAGACAATAGGTGGTATCTAATGAAGTAGTTCCATCAGTGGTGGAGCTTGGGGTCTCAAATTTCAGTGGAGCCCTGCGCAACTTCAAAATTCACCACCCTCCCCTTTTCGTGCTCCATTCTAAATCATAGTTGTGGTGTCCCCAGTGTTGCCACTCCCCTAAATCCGTTCCATTAGGACATGAATAAGAGAAAACACACAGGCCTGGACACAAATCAATACACAAAAGAGAAATGTCAATATATACACATCCTTTAATTTAGGTAATCCCATAATGACCTAAAGAATTTAAAAGCAACATTCATATTAGCAATACCTGGCAAAGTCAAGATAGTTTGGACTGTTTATAAAACCTCAGGCTATATGGATCATTTGCGTTTACCTTACCATGGAACAACTTGCCCTTTCCTTTTTGCCTCCATCAACCATTTGCTCTCTATAACCTTGAAAATCTTACAGCCACTGATCTTTTGTCCTGAAATTTCCTTTGCATATAATTGAATGCACATTTGGAAGGTTACTATATATTTATAAAGTGGTTGGTGTGCGGGAATCAAATCAAAGACACAGAATGAAAACCTGAGTGTATTTGTAATCGATTTAGCAACTGCACACAGGGTCTATTAAGTATAACCCATGAGAGAGAGAGAGATTTTGTTCTGTTACGTTCTCGTCCCCAGAAACTCAGTGTGGCACTCGAGCCTCACAATACCCCTTTGAAGTATGCTATACCAAGAAAGAGTGATTTTCCCAGGGCTACCCAGTGAGCTTCATATGTGAGCAGGGATTTGATGCATCGAAACTCAAGAGTACAGCCATAACTCTCTCTTGGCTCTCTTGTCTTCTTAAATCCTACGTACACTCTGCATATAGGTCAACAGGAAGCCACACCTGACCCTCCTTTTGCTGTAGGAATTGATCTTGGTCTCTTCATCTTGCCAACCTTAAGTTTAGTTCACCCCATTTCCACAGCATTTTTCCCCCCTTCTTTTAAAAGCTGCCACAAAAATTCAGGTAGATGATATTCTGTATCAGTTTGCTGACAGACTGGCTCTCTCCCCCATCTGCAGTGCATACAAATAGTCAAAAATTTGATTTTGTTCCCTCAAGGAACTCTCTAATAGGGTGCACCGCAGTAACCAACCCAGTGCACACTGAATTTTAAATGCACACAGCAGCTCTCCATCTCCTTTGGATTTGATCAGAAATGAGGAGGAGAACAATAAGATTTAGGGCATGTGTTGTGTTGTAGGCGGAGCAGCTCGTGGGCACATAGAGCTATATATATAGATGCCTGAGCTGCGCAGCTCAGGATCCCAGATAGTTTTGCTGTGGGCTGCAACCCGTCTGAGAATTTTTCTCCATCATGAAGCTGACACTCATCCTGCTCATCGCCCTAGCATGCTACTGCTCTTCAGGTAAGCATCACTACTGAGACTTCTGGCTCTCGGTTTCAATAGACTCAAGAAGCAAACATTTAGTAGCATGGCATAACATTTCCAAAGATGCCATTTGTAAATGAAATACAGTAGAATCTCGGTGAAATGAACTCCCAAGAGCTGGACATTTTAGGCAATGAGACGTCCTGGACCAGCTCCGCAGGGCCTCCACTCAAGTACAGCACAATGCAAAGTAGGCTTACTCAAAAGTAAGTCCTGTTGTGCCCAATGGGGCTTTCTTCCCAGTGGCCTGCAAAAAAAGATGCAAAAAAAAAAAAAAGGAAAAAAAGGCTCCTGTACCTTTAAAAATTTCAGCAGGTGTAGTTTGGCATAGGAGGTGCATCTGCAGAAATCTCCTCTTTTACACAGCTGTTAAAAGGTGCAAGAGCCCTGTCCTTTTTTTATAACCTGGGCACCCTAAAAATCACTGAAGATGATAGTCAGTTTAAGTGGACTACAACAGGACTCAGTTTGATCTAGTGACATGTGCATTTTATGGTAAGTTAAGATGTCATATTTATGGCCTCCAATTTAGAAATTACTCGGCTGTGAAAAGGCCAGTTTTGGTTAGTGCTACACAGAGGAAGTATAGTATTCCCCCCCCCCCCGCATCTACGGACCCCAGGAAACATAGCACCCTCTGGTCAGGGCTGTGTGTCCCTGACATACAAACATGGTAAGGAAAGAACATTTAAACCATCCTCATGTGGTGTCAACACAAGAAAGTGCTTTTCCCGTGGAGCTTTCTTGCAGAGACATGGGCATCCAAGCTGGAGCTGAGCTGGGCCCTCTCAGCTGAATCATATTATTTCCATCCAGTTATCAGGTGATTATTTCTTTTTTCTAAGATGACAATAAAGAGTTTAAATAAAACATGTATAAAGTATTAAAAATTCAGTTTTTGTTTTTGTTTTGTTTCCTCCCCCCTCCCCCCCCCCAGTTTATTCTGAGCTATGTCCTTCTGTCCAGAATTCAGTGACTGCATTCCTTTCTGGAACAGCGGATGACTTAAAAGAGGAGCTTAAAAAACACGTACCTCGTTCAAAGTATGGGATAACCAATGCACAGAAGGTGCAAAGTTGTACCCAGGATGAATTTACAGAAAAGGAAAAAGAGGGGTTATATGATCTTGTGGTAATTATCTATTTTGCCATTTTTTTCTTGCCTGTGTTTGGGTATTTATTATACCTTGTCTTTCATCCCGTCAAACTTTATTTGCAGTCTGCTATTTAAAAACATTATTTTAGCATGCATGTGCCACAAGTTAATATCTGATGATCTAAAAAGGATCTAAATTCTTTGTCCTGCCATCTATATTACCAGAGCCTTCTCCATATGTCAGAGACTAATTCAGGTCATACAGTAATAACTCTAGTTTAATATGCATGCAGCAGGCCTGTGCCATCATATGGAAGACCCATCTTTTCCAACCCTAAACCTGCCCAGTTGTTCTGATGGTTGAGCCAAGTGAATCGAGGCAAAGTTGCCTTTTATTGACTTTCAGTCATTTTCACCATGGCATGATCTTCTACTGTTCAGGAAGCAATCTGTTGAGTAATGCTTGCCAAGAACCAGCTAGTCCCAACCTTCCTCATTTCCTTTATCGCCTGTACTTACATGTGTTTCATTTCATTTCAGAAAAAGATGGTTGACAAATGCAGCAGCGACGAGTAATTCTGATCTATGGAAGAAGTCAATCAAATTCCACATGCTTACTACTGATATTGGTTGCTGGAAAATATTGATCCATTCTTCTATTTCTTTCATCCTGTCATTGACGTCAGAGGTCCCTCCTCCCTTTGAAGCAATAATCATATGCTGCAGAAAAGCTAGAGAAATCTCCTGCCATGTTCTTCAATCATTCCTACTTGAATCATGATTAAAACCCGTGATTTGCATTTCTGTGCTGAAGATTCATTTTTCAGTGTGTATGATAAATGTCACAGTTAATCCAGAGACTACTTGAAGGATCTAGAGAACAATTCTAGAAAGGGAATTTAATTGTTGTTGATATTTATTTATAAAAATATTTATATACTGCCAACTCAAAGCAGGGTAGAACAAAAGATAAAATGAAATGAAATAGTTTATTATCACTTGTACAACTTGTATACAGTGAGATTACACGAGCACCCCCCACTCAGCTCTCTTAGTCTTAATTCCCCTCGTTTACTGACGCACACCCACCAAACCCAAAAGTCAGTTGCCCTGTTGTTATCTTTTCATTCAGCAGCCTAACAGCCCACGGATAGAAGCTGTTCTTTACCCTGTTGGTGCGACTAATCATGCTTCTATATCTTCTGCCCGATATTCTTGCTGATATTAAGGTGCAAGTGGTTCCCTAGGCACCATGTAGATATTTTTTGGACCTCCCCTCTATACGCTGATTCGTCTCCACCTGTTATTAAACCCATTATGGTGGTGTCATCTGCAAACTTAATAATTGTAGTAGATGGGTCAGATGATAAAAGGACACTAAAGGATTGTTGGGGTCCGCTAATAGGGTGCAAGCTGCCTTGGTCACTGAAAGGCCAATAAATGCCATAGACAGAGTCCCATAATTACTCATTTATTCAGCTGAGTAAAACAGAGCGGGCGAGCCACACTCACCAGTGTGATGGTGAAGCCATGCCTAAATAGCCTTTGTTCAGACTTTTTATAGGCATCCCCCCTGCCTTTCCCCCTTTCGAGGTTCCTAGTGCTGATCAAAACAGGACACCCTGCCTGGAGACCTTGAAGGGAAAAGCTTCCTGGCAGAGGGAAGTTTTCTGGAAAATTGCCTAGCAATGTTATCTGGTCTTCACATATTTGTGGCTCACCCTCTGAAATTATAAAGCAGGCAGTTTCTTTACAGAAGCAAAATGGCATCAGTTAGTCTAACCAAAAAACAGAGAAGAACAGGCCACTGTGGCTTTTCCTGAGACCTCACAGGATAATATACAATAAAAACAATAAACGGCAAAGGGCCAGCATTGCTGTATCAAAGGATTCTGTCTGAATGTGGTACACAACTCTAATACAGTTTATAACCATATTCAGACTTATGCATCCTGCCAATGACCTGCTTATCAAGCATTCATTCATTACATAAGCAACAGCACCCTCTACAGTGCAGTTCATGGTTGGCACAGCAAGCGGGAGCATAGCAAACAACTTAGTCCAGCCCACTCTGTGGAATGGAAAGATGAAGCATGTTTGGTGGGGGAGGAAGGAGGGAAGATGCACACTCTCCCACCATCACCCTGCCTTCTCACCATCCAAAGACACATTCAGTCAGTAAAAAAACAACAAAACCTCAAGGAGGCTGCAAAGCAGGGCTGGAGGTGGGGGATCTGAGCCCTGACAGAGAGACTTGGATGGCTGTATCTGGTCCCCAGAGCCCAATATTCCCTATCTATGCACCCTTAACAGAATACAGTTCCCAGGGAGCTGCCATTTTCTGCTTCACCTCAGGCAGCAAATTGTCTCGGAGGGCACATCTGGAGGGCACCATGCTGGCGACTCCTGACCTATTGGATTCGCCAAGTTTTATGCCAGGTTTAATTGTTTTAGTTGTTGTGTTCTATGCTGAAGTTAGTTATTTTTTTATTAGGCTTTTTTTACTTTCTGATTTATTTTAAGGTTTTTAATAATAGTATAAATGCAGTGTAAAAATGCAGGCTAAACCAGCTTCCTGGCCAGGAATCACCTGGGGAAGCACGTGGCTCTGAGAAGTGGACAGAGACAGGAGAATTGGCAGGTTTTAAAAACTGGCCTTGGAATGCCTGAGGCAGAAGGGGAGGGGCTGCGTTTCCAGGGACTTGGGGGGGTGAGAAAGGAGGGGTCAGAACTTCATGTAAGAGCTGAAAGGCAGAACTATCTTGGCTGCTGGCTGGAGAGGCTGCATCCCAGAGGCTGAGGAAGATGGCTGGCTGCTCTGGACTCAAGATGGCTGAAGCTATGAGAGACACCCTGGAGATGTAATGCTGTGTACTCCTCTATCCTAGGCTCAGGTTGTAAATATGTGTTATTAAAGACACTAGCCTCCTCTGTGCCTTCATCTGCCCAATGCAAACACAACCCTGGGTAAGTGCCTGGAACCCCGGAATCTGTGGAGATTGGGGTGGCATGTAAAAGTATTTTATATCTAAGGTGGCTAAGTTCTGTTAAGTTGTGGGTGAACATATCAGACAACACAGCGATTCTTCAAACAGCTCTTGTTTATTCACAGGCCGGAACAGAACTGAACTGCAGGGTTCAGCCAGCCTGCTTATATAGAGCTCCAGTACAACGCAACAGTAACCACTTTCTGTAACTATCCAATCACTGAATGTCACTTTCAATCCCTTATTTGCATATATGGACCTGAGTGAAAACTATCTACTGTATCCCCCTGCTGGCCAAGGGTGAGAACTTCAGTACATAACAAGTTCCATTAGCAATACTGTCTGTTCTTACGGAAACCCAAGGACACCTCTGACTCTGTACTATAGCATATCACAAATTATAATCTCCATGTGTTTCTAATTACTCCTACATTTTACAACACATGAAGTGAAGCTGTTTCACATATTGCAAAATCAGGTGGTAAGTGAATGGAAGGCTTAGCTCACAATTGATCTTGCCCCTGAAATTAGGGAAGTCCAGCAACTATTCTGTTCTATTTTGACTTCTTTGTGTTGGGTTAGTTAGTATAACCCCTTGCATTGGGCCAATGATCTGCAGAATTATTTCAGATTGAAGATGAAACTCTTACAAATATCACCAGCCATGTAGTGTGGCATATTACAAACACCCAAGTGACTGCTACAAAGTCAGCTTTGCAACCAAAACGTTTGTGCCCTTCCCAGCAGTTCAGCTGGTGAGCAAAGAGCACTTGTCATCAAGAATACACGAAGCAGAGTTTGAATGCAAGGCAATGAGTTTAATGAAACAGGAAGTTTGAGTGATTTAGAAATATTATAGGAGGTTTCTTCAAGTTTTGTAGATCATGATGGATGCACTCTAAAGGAAAGATGGGGCTTCTTGATCAGCGAGAAGGAAGGGATACAACTTGCAATTGGCTTTGTCTGGCTGTTGACCTGTAGCGTTGCTGTAGATTTCTTTTGAAAACTGAAGCTACTGGATTGAATCGCAATTCTTCATCACCTTCCTCTGAAATTGAAAGAACAGATGAAAGGTCAGCATAAAGTGCCAGTGTCATCCCAACCTAACAATATGGGCTATATATTGTCTGGAAAGATGATTAAGTTTTTATAAAAGTTTTTACATCCTTACTATACTGGTGCTAGCCTTGATCTGAGTGGTATAGGAGCACCGTGCCTCTTCTTTATATACTAGAAACCAGAATACTACTCACACTGATATCCACCTGTTACTTTTCAATGGAATTCTGTTTGTGCAGCAGGGCTTCCCCTCCCCCTCCCAGCCCACTCTCAAAATCTCTTCTGAAGGATCCTCCAATCCTCTGGAGAAGATTTTGAAGGCACATGCGTGGTGGACTACAGGGGACAGGAGGGAAGGGGAAGTTTTGTTGAACAAGTGGAAGTCTTCTGGACGGGCTGAAGAGCAGCTTAGATATGACCCAAAGACTCATGGGTATTCACTGGCGTTATACCAAACAAGGGAGTCAATAGGCTGGTCAGTTGGGAAAGAGGACGGGACTCCTGTACCTTTAACAGTTGTGTAGTAGAATTTCTGCAGGTGTAGCAAGTGACAACTGCTGGAATTCCTTCATCTAAACAATTATTACAGGAGCAGGAGCCACTATCCTGTTTTTGACCTGCTGGCCACCCTAGTTACACCTCATGAGCACCACTTTGTCCACTGAATTAGACGAAGGTAGGACCTTCAGTCATAACTAATTCAATATTGGTATCTTTGTTTAGCTCAGTGGTTATCAAACTTTTGGGTCGCACACCCCCCCCCCCGGTCCCATGAACTCATTCCCAGCATCCCCTACCCTATAAAAAGCATCATTCAGAATAGTGGTTTGCACAACCCACTAAGGAAGATAAGAATGCAATAAAATTCAAAACAGTGGCAATTAATTGCACAATTATTCAAAATAGACCGCTCCCTGCTGATAGGCCCATTTCCACCTGGCCTAGGGGGTGGGGCCCACACTCACCCTGAACACCCTGGGACACTGCTGGAACAACTCTTGGGTTGGGGCAACTGGCTAAAATGTTTAAAATGGTTCTAATTTTGGTTGCTCTGCTTCATTTTTGTTGGGTTGGTGTTGGTTAAATGTTTAGTTATTTTTTTAATGTTTGATATTTTGTTGTATTTATATGTTGTAAGCCATCCGGAGTGGCTGGGGAAACACACCCAGATGAGTAGCATATAAATTAAAAATATTGTTGTTGTTGTTGTTGTTATTACTACTATTATTATTGAAATCCAGTGAAAACTATTTAGTTGAATTAATTCAACAGTGGAACCTCTGGCTTAGCCAGTTATCTCATAGATACACAGTTATGCTGTACAAGTAGTCCACCACCTGAAATATGAAGGTAGAAATGTGATTTTAAAAGTTAAAGGATTGCATGCATGCGTGCAAAGGCGTACCTAGGCTCCCATGCACCCCTGGCAAGGAGCTATATCGGTGACTCCCCATCCCCACCACCAAATCCCTTCCACCTTTGGCAAGGAGGTGCATCAGCACCTCTGAAGCCAGGAGAAAAAATGAACCAAGAACTCAAAAGGTTTGCTTTTTGTTGCCTTTCACCCTCCCCACTGACTTCCTCCATGAACATCGAGGTTAGGGTGTGTCTGCTGTGCCTCCCTTCCTCCTCCTCCTCCTCCTCCTCCTCCATCTGTCCGTCTGCCTCCCTCCCCACCTCAGCTTCCCATGGTAGAGAGTGGGAACAAAACTATTTCTCCTTCTCCCCCACTCCCCACAAATGACTTAGCTTAATTTTCTAGATAGTTGTAGCAAAATATAATTACCACCACAGGAAGCAGAGTTGCTTTTTGCAAAAGGCTTAATTCGTTGACACATTCTTTTAATTTAAATACAGCATTCTTGGCATCACTGTCCTCTGTGTGCTTAGAAACTTCTTTCTCAACTTCATCATCTGATTTAAAAAGCACCGTTTTTACGAAAGACTTGACAGGCTCACAGATGGAGAAAGCTGCATTAAAGCAAAAGAAACAAACAAAACAAAAACACTAAAGAGCTGGCGATTTAAGAAATAAATTTTCACATACATTTTATTTCAGATTTTTGGAGTTTTAAATGTATAACGACAGTAGTAACTGGGAAGAGTGTATGGCTTGATTATTTTTATTTATTCCTTGTTAGATTTATATACCGTCCTTCAAAAGATCTCAGGGCAGTTCACAAGATAAAAACACTAGATAAAAGCACAAATAAATAGTTAACACAGAAACAACAAAACCTCTCACAAACACATTTAAAAGGCTGTAGAATATTATCAGGGACGGGGAATGAGAAGAGGAAAAATATAAAAGAAAAAACCTTTTCTGCTTATAGCTTCCTAATAAGCAAATTCTGCCTAAAATGCAGGGGCTGAGTTGCAATATCTCAGTAGGAACACAAGCAGCTGTGTTACACCAAATCAAGCCACTAACCAACTTACACAGTCTACACTGACTGGCTGTGGTCCTGCAGGATTTCAGGCAAGGAGTCTTTGCTGGCCCTGCCTAGAGGTGCTGGAGTCTGAAACTGAGACCTTCAGCGTGTAATGCAAATGTAGCAATGTCCAAAGATCAATTAGATATCAGTAGAGAATGGCATCCATGATTGCCAGCCAGTTATGCTAAGCTCTGCATCTCCCTGCCATCGTTTTGCGACTGGTTCTGTCCCTGCACCACCACTTTGTGACAGTAATTTTCAGCCATGTCAGGTGGGACTTGAGGGATAGAAGGCTTGAGAAACCCTGCTCTACAGTGTTTTCAAGCGGAGAGTCGTGCATGGCATTACGGATGCTTACCAGAGTTGCAGCTACATGCCAGGATGAGGAGCAGAAAGAGAAGTGTTGGCTTCATAGCAGCAAGGACCGCTTCCTAGAAATAGTTGAAATGCTTTGTGACTTCCTTTGGAACCTAAGGCGCACAGCCGAGAAAGAAGGAGATATATAAGAGGCTACAAGACTGACTCCTCCCTCAACAGAGCATGGCAGGTCACCAGACTTCCTTCGCCCTTGTCTTCCTTGCGCATTTCCTTAGCAAGGACGCCCTCCAGCCAGTTTCAGATATGCAAGCCTCTGTTCTGTTCTCCGAAGCTATGACACGTTGAAAAGTTCGAGGAAACCAATCAGCCACAAGGACTGCCATCTGCACTGGCAACAGCCATGACCAGACGTAGTTGCACACAGCATAGAACGAGTTGGAAATTTCCTAAGCCCATTTTAACAACAAGAGCTGTTTCAAATCCCCCAAGAGAAATAACAACACCAAGATCTGCTGAGTTGGGTTTTCTCTAGAATCCTTGTATCTGATATCTTTCAATAAAATGTCGTCCACTAACTCCATCAACAATAAAGCAGGAGCATAGAAAGGATAATGTTTTATTTCAAACAATTTCTTGGGAAAGCAATGGCAGAGGTGAAGAAATCAGTACTCTTACCCAATCATCTTTAAGGCATCTAGGACAATACCAAACCTTACACACATTCCTCTGATACTTATAGGCTTCATCCACTCAGAAGACTACTATGCCTGCAAATTTCATCCAGTTTTGACACATTAAACCCATTTGCTGATCTCTCCATTATAGTTGATGGGGAGACAGCTGGAGCTTTGGAAAACTAACCAAAGCAAGGCTCCTCTTCAGATCTTAAATTAAGTTTGAGGGCATTACTAGGCATCAGCCTGAGGCTCCAAAGTGGGTTCTGAACCGAGTGATTTGTTTTTACACCCCTAATCTGTATGCAGTGGGAAATTTGTTGTTGTGAAAGACACTACAGTTGTCACCTCTGTGTTCTTTTTCCTGGAACTGCCATCATTTGTTTACTCACTTTTTATGGGGATTCATACAAAGCGGTTGCCAGATCGTTGCATTCTTGTATTTTTTTGTGGGGGTCTCCTATTATTTTTCAGACCTGGGCTTTTTCGGTGACAATTTTTGTTATAAAATACAATCACAGTAGCAGCTTGTCTAATCTGAACAGAGAAAACACTCTCAAGGCTTTTAAACATTAGTGTGTCTTTAAACAAAAGCTTTCTGTCTGAAATCCAGGACACACATTGATGGCGCTGGTCCCAGCAGGTAATTGGGCTGCCATGGCCTTGCTGCTAGCCCACCCAGGTTCTCAGCAGTGTCAGGAGAACGGTTCCATGACTCCAGCGGACCCCACTACCACCTGTTATCAATGTTCTTAAGGAAATAAAATACACTTATGGAAAGACCCCCTAATACAGATTTTGTTTGGGATTTGTTTCTATCATTAAGGGATTTCCTTAGCTATTGACATTTCTTCTCTTGATATTGGCATGCAGTTTCTTTTCTGAAGGAGCAGTTAATTTGGCCACAGGCACGCTTTACTTTTATTCCTGGTTTTGGCACGCTTTGAAATTCAGTCGCTAATTGTGCCAAACTACCGCACCACTAGTTAGTTAGTTATTTACTATTATATTCCACCCTTCCTGCAAAGGAGCCCTGTGCTGTTCACCCTAGGTGCTTGAGGTGTGTTTTAAGTTAAAGTGCTTTCCAACCATTGCAAATGCTTTTATTTCTAAGTATTTCAAAGAAAAGTTTGCATTGGGAGATACAAAGGTGAACAACATCCCACATGCAAATAGGTGTAATTGTGTTCTTATGGCCTCTAACTAACACACACACACACACACACAGAGAGAGAGAGAGAGAGAGAGAGAGAGAGAGAGAGAGCTAGCTGTTCTCTCCAGCATTTCCACCAACTTGAAAAGAAATTTCTTTCCATCTCCACCTTGTTGGCTACCTGCCTGCTACAGTAAAAGATGTGTAGAGTGTTGCTGGACCCACCCATCAGAAGGATCACCTAGTGGGGGGGGGCAGAATGTTTGCATCTGTCCTATTGGTAAGTGACTGATGGAGAAGCTTTGTCTCTTAATTCCCCTCCTCCTTCAAATGCTACTGCATCATTGAAGTGCCCAGTCTGAAGCCCTTAATCTCTCTCCCTCCCTCCCTCTCTCTCTCTCTCTCTCACACACACAGTGAACAAAATGGAGGCAGCTGGTACCAGTTTAATTTTCCATGGAGGCCATAAAGCATAAATGAGTGAAAATCAATTCCCAAAAAAGAAAAGTCCATGTATACAAACTAATCCTTTAATTTAGGTAATCGCTTAATGACCTGAATAATTTAGAAGCAGCAGTTGTGCTATCAGTTCTTGCCAAAGTCAAGACATTTGTGACGGTTTACAATGCCTAGGATTATGTTGATCGTTTTCGATTTACCTTGCTATGGAATAATCTGCCTTTGCCTCTTCCCCTGCCCAGTCCCCAACCATTTGCTCCTTGTAACTGTGAATATCTTACAGCCATTGATCTTTGCAAACCTCATGATCCTGTTCACCAGTTCTTAACACAAATGCTTCCTTGCTATTTATACCCATTAGTTATCTTGGCAGGGGTGCCAACTTGAATAAAATATTGGAGGGTCCAGATAAGCCCTTCCTCTGACCCTATCCACCTTAGGCTTCAAGCTTGGTTTTTCCCCACTCACCCTTGGCACCTCCAACACAGGAGAAGGAAACTAGTAGGCTCTAGCTTGTCTTCCCCCTGTTCTTTTCTGTTCCCCAACGTCATCATCATCATCATCACCACTGCCACATCATAACCATGAAAACCTTATGGCTATTGATCTTTGCAAAATCTACCATCCTATTCTGCATTCAGGTAGGTAGCTGTGTTGATCTGATGCAGTTGAAATATAAAATAAAAAATAAAAAAATTGTCCAGTAGCACCTTAGAGACCAACTAAGTTTGTTCTTGGTATAAGCTTTCGTGTGCATGCACTAGAACAAACTTAGTTGGTCTATAAAGTGCTACTGGACAATTATTATTTTTTATACATCCTATTCTGCAGTTGTTAATGAGCACTAACTCTCCCTGATCTCACTACCTTTCCAGCAGCACTAACTTAATTTCATTCATTCCTAATTTTCTATTGTCCTCAGATTTTGTTTGTATGCCACCAAATATATATTCAGATGGTTATTTTCTTTTTACATAGTTTTGGAGGAAATCAGAGACATGGCATGCAAGCCTGAGCGCATGTGAAACTGATACAGCGCTTGCAAACCATGTACATGAAAAATGAAAACATGTCAGGTATATATAGATATTGTTGGTTTTGTGACAGTTATAGCTTGGTTCATACATTAAGAAACTCGCAGGAGTTTCTAAGCGTTTCATCTTCACCATAACCCTATGAAGTAGATTATGCAAAGGCAGAGTTGTTTTCTCTGAGTGGCAAAGTGGTACAGTTAAGTAATGTTAGGCTTTGGACTTAGTGGTCTGACAGCACCCCCTTTTGATGAGCACATGAACTACTTCAGTTGTGAAGCACACAGTTAACATTTATTTCCTCCATCTCCTCCTCCTCCTCCTCCTCCTCCACCACCACCACCACCACCACCACCACCAATTCCACACTTTAAAACTGTTTCTACATTCATGATAAATTTAAGCAAGTGAAAAAACAAACAAAAACTGTTTGTCAACCCTGATTTAAAAGAAAAAACAATTATGAGCACCTGAAATTTCACATTTTAAAATCATTTAAAATCATAGCACTACCATGCCTACAAGAATGAAATGGAGTCTGTTTCCCTGCTGCTAAATACACAAAAATGGGAATAAACACTATTTTGTTCTAAAAAAAGAATAAGACATGGTTACGGGGGGGGCCGATTTAAAAATGAACATCTGTAGCCATGCACATGCCTGGTTGGCTGGCTGCCCCCTAACTATAGAATGTTTTTCAAAATAAGAAGGAAAAGATGTTAGCCTTGGTGGGCTCCGACATGTCCATGCTGACCCAAGTGCTGATGCAGGGCCTATTTGCCTTTCCTTGCATCATCTGAACTGTCACTGTGGTCTAAACCACAGAGCCTAGGACTTGCCGATCAGAAGGTTGGTGGTTCGAATCCCTGCAACGGGGTGAGCTCCCATTGCTCGGTCCCTGCTCCTGCCAACCTAGCAGTTCGAAAGCACATCAAAGTGCAAGTAGATAAATCTACTTGCACTTCCTACTTGCACTTCCTCTGGCAGGAAGGTAAACGGCGTTTCCGTGCACTGCTCTGGTTCGCCAGAAGCGGCTTAGTCATGCTGGCCACATGACCCGGAAAAACTGTCTGCAGACAAACGTGAGCTCCCTTAGCCAGTAAAGTGAGCACTGCAACCCCAGAGTCATTCATGACTGGACTTAACTGTCAGGGGTCCTTTACCTTTACCTAGGGATGCAGGAACCTGGACTTTGACCCTGACATCCAGCCCTCATTAAATCACTGCTTAGGGGAAATGCATTACCAAAAATGAGGACAAAAGAGAACATTGATTTGCATAAAACTGGCACATCTCAGCTTCTCAATAACCTTGTGAAGCAAACTATGCAAATAGAGAGTGATTTTTTTTGCCCCAAACCTGCTGGTGAAGTCCATATGTGAATGGGATTTTCCATATCTAAACTCAGCATGTTGCCCACAAATTTTGCAATGTTTAAAACAGCCCTCTATCTCTGCTAGATTTGCTTTTCCAAGCCAATGAAAGGTTTACTTATTATTATTATTATTATTTAAATAATTTTTACCTGCAGATTTCACAAAAAGGGGAAGGAAAAGGAATGGGGTAGGAAAAAATCAAAATAAGATGTGCTGATGGTTATTGTATCCATACTGGGAACTGATGATTTTTTTTTGTTAGTGCTGTTTATATATTCTTTTTCTGTCCTTCCTTTTATTGCCTTTATTTCTTCGTCTTCTTCTTCCACCAATGGAAGGATTCCCCTCCCATCCATCTTCCCCCCACCTCAAGAAATAAAGAAGATAACAGATGTGAATAAGTTTATAGTGCCCTCTGTTTTCATGTGATGGGTAGAACTTCTGTTGCTATTTCCTGTTTCTGAACTATGTAATTAAATAAGTTACATGCCCAGTTTTGCACCTCCTAAAGTGTCTGCCCCCTCCCCCGAAACTGACACTTGTCCTTCTGTTCATCACCCTTTCAGGGTGCTTTCAGAGACAGCATTTGTAAACGACAGTAAAACAGGTTCCAAAATGAGGACATTTCAGACATCTGGCTCTCCATGTGAATAGTATCACCTGCATTGGGACATGCACCCGTGTGGCTGAATGCAACATCTTCTCTTTAAGCTGCAAAATGTCACATGAAGGAAAACTTCCTTCATTTCTAGTATTAATATTTTGGCGTTGTGATGACTAGCCGCCTTTTTTCAAGAGAATGTGATGGTTCTCCCATTGCCCAGAACAAGGTGTTATAGGAATTCTAAGGTCTCATATATAAAAATAATCCATTCATAAATGTAAAAGGTAAACACATACCTAAGTATATGAGCCACGTGTCTGAAATAGTGCTCTTGGATACCCCATAAGGCAGTGGTGTCCAAACTTTTTTTCAAAGAGGGCCAGATTTGATGAAGTGAAGGGCCATGAAGGGGCCAACCAAAGTTGCTAACCTTTTTTTAGGATTGAAGTTGTTGACCTTTTTTATGATTTTACCCTGGGAAATAAACTGCCACAGGGGCCGCATTAAACCGACTAGCAGGCCAGATTAGGCCCCTGAAACGGACTTTGTACATGCCTGCCATAAGAGAGTGTGTGTGTGTGGCTGCACTCAAGAGCAGCACAATCTGCTGGAGATTTGCTCAGCTGTGGGTTCTGTTGTGTTCCTCGGGGCTTATTCCCTAATACCCTTATTTTATTTTGTGCATCTCACTGGCAAGCCACGAGATGGAGCTCTAAGAATCATTGAAGATGGTCGATGTTACTTGAGGAGTAATTATTTGCTCCATAGTGACCATCTGGATCCTGTGGCAACTTCAGGTATTGCACTTAGAGTAGATCTCACCCAAACCTTGTGGAGACTGTTGTAAGAAGAACCTTTGCTTGACCAGTGCTACACAGAGGAAGCACAATACTTTAAAGTTCCTACTTTCCTGCCCAACTCCAAGCAGGAATAGCACCCTCCCACCAGGGCTGCATCACATGTCTTTGTCATGCAAATGCATAAAGCACCGGAATGGGTTTACCTGGCTTGAGCTGTGCTGCCTCCAGAGGCTGGGGGAGCTACGGGGCTGCCCAGCACATAACAGCAACACTGTCACTGTGCATGTGTCTGCTTGCATGCAAGGGGGAGGCAGAGGCAGGTGGCTGCACCCAGAACAACACCAAATGCTGGTGGGAACTGAGGAAGCAATTGCTGCTGTGGGATCTATCAAGGGCAGTCTGCTCTGGGCACCCAATACTCTGGAGCTGGGCTTGTGTCCTTTAGTATATCAATGTGAACCCATCGTCACTTACTATTAAGGGACGGAGGGAATGTTGCCCTTCTAGATTTGTTCTCCAGATCCCCAAAAGTAGCCTCTGTGACAAAATGCATTCATCATACAAACTTAGAAATGAATCCTGAGCACAGGAATGCAAGGCAGTGATTCGAGCATGAAAGATTCAAGAACATGGCATAAAAATTCTCAAGGTTTTCTGTAGTATAATCAGGGTTTGATGTAAGGTTTGATGAGGCCCTAAGCTACTGAAGGTAATGGGGCCCTTTATATGTCCAGCTGTCCTTTGTCAACAACAAATTGTTGCTGTTTTTTTGTGTTGAATATATGCTATATGGAAATGTATGGACCTCATAGGTACCTAAAGCCATTTGCACATAACAAAATATGTATTTTATCAAAGTAATTGTTGAACTGAAATACAATTAAGAAGAAGTATATTAATAGTGAAATACAATTAAGAAGAAGTATAGCTTCTTAAGCCATAGCTTGTTTAGCTTATACATAAATCCAGCACTGTCTGTGACAAAATGCATTCATCATACAAATTTATAAATGAATCCTGAGCACAGGAATGCAAGGCAGTGATTTGAGCATGAAAGATTCAAGAACATGGCATAAAAATTCTCAAGGTTTTCTGTAGCATAATGATTATTGCCTCACAGGGGAAATGAAACTTCTTCATCAATGACAATACAAGAGAGGAGGAAGAAAAGAATAGATTGATGAGGAGTATTTCTCCGCAACTGATGCTGGCAGTCAGGATGTAGAATTATCTGGGCTTCATCCAAAGATCATAATTCCTAGAAGGCTTGGCATTTTTCCAGCACTTTTTCCTGAAATGAAATGTAGGTCAGTACAGGGTGCTGAAGTGTAAAAGAAGCAGGAGACAAAAGCACAGAGTACTTTTTGATGAACAAAAGTATTAATAATCTTCCCCAAATGTATGAGATTGCATCATGGCAGATAAGTGGAAATAATTAATATCTTTGCCTTCTCTTTGTGACTTGGGACACCTGCCTGAACTATTGGAACAGTTGGCCAGCTTTAGTGTGGCAGACCTGGGTTTGCCTCATAATTTTATAGGCATACTGCGTAAATTGAGAGATTATGCATAGGAATTTGTGTATAGAGAGGGCTGTTTGACTTTTGATCTCTACCATAATGTTTTTTACAAACAGACTGTACATAAAGTTTGAAAATTTTGAACCTGTTTGTAATCTTCAACTGGGGAAAAAACGAGCAAGAAAAAAATGACAGAATTACCACCAGTGTCTTGAAGCCATTTTTTTCCTCCTGTGACAATTTGTCGACGGTCTGTTTCAATGTGGTTACAGCAGTTATTGCAAGCTTTGAAGCAGAGTATTTTTCAAGAGCACTCTTCACATCGGACTCTGATCCATGAAGCATTAGAGACATAATATCTTGAACAACTGCACACTGATAAGAAGAATCTAGGAATAAAAAAAATAAATAAAAACCAAACAGATTTTTTAAAAATGCATGCTTTATTTAAACCCTTTGTGGTGGCTCA